ACAAACGAGGTAGCGTTTTTCTTCTTAACCGATTCTGTTCATTTCTAGTAGTAGGATAATTTAAATTATTAAGTAAGTTATTCCTAATAATTATAATTCTCTAATAATTATCTCTCTAATCTAAAGTAATGAGCGTGCTAAAGAGCGTCACGTCTTTATTTTGACACGTGTAGTGTGCGCAATAGTGGGCACTGTTGTATACTGTGATGTGAGAGCGAAGAGAAAGAAGTCTACTGATTCCGCGACAACTCCGCGACTGACATAAACGCGATATCACGTCGCGCGTTATAGCTCGCGCACGCTAGTGGGAATAATGAGTACGATGTAGCGCATGAGGGATGGACACGAAGAAGAGCCATGGCTCATGAATAATAATAATAATAATAATAATAATAATAATAATAATAATAATAATAATAATAATAATAACTCGGCTCGTATCTTCCTGCGCTGCGGCCTCCTGCTCCGCTAACCAACGATAAACAGCTAACGAAATTGCGAGTAAAAATTACACGCTGTAAAAGTCGGCAGCGCGATGCAGATGTGTGTGCTTTCCTTCAGACATCCATCGCGCTTGAAAATGTACGTGCACGCTTCTCTGTTCATACATATTTCTACTTGGCTGATGTATACTTGGCCTGCACGGTACATGGAACAATTCAATCTATCCCCTTGATAGCTCGCTAACTCGCTCGATACTTGATCTTTCGTCGGGAGGCAAGTGCGTAACGTCGAAAAATAATGGATACGCTGTGTAACACGCGATACGCGTTCACGATCGCGCAATCGCGCAATGAAATACGCGAAGTGACGTTAAACGTCTCTCGTTGAACGTCTAATTCATTTCTCTCTAGACGCCTGACCCCCTGGGAATTCTGTTTTACAAGTCTCGTTGTTTGATTTTAGATATTCGGAAATTCGTGCCGATATAGGGAGAATATATATGTCGTCCCTATTATCATGCCGGCTGCTAATAATTGTACCACTTTTATACTTTTGATAGAAAATAGCTGAAGGCCTAACAGTTATTATGTGAGGTTCGTCGCATAATATATTTTGCGCAAACTACCGACCGCATTATTGTCTCATTAGCCTCGTTCATCGTCAAACTTTAATGAAATATTTTGAATGGCGGGTATTGTTCTCTCGCCCCTCCCCTGGGACTTAATAACAGCTGAGAAACATCTCCGTCTCTTTGAGAGAGACCCCAGACGAAAAATATCTTCCAATTGATCCACGCGAATCGTATAATATTTTGCAAGACCCGATAATTTGAGGAGCTCCCTAATTGGATTATTTCGGTTTGCCGAAGCGTCTCTAGTAATATCGCGCGTTAAAGATCATCGCGCGAAAGTTTGAACGAATGGACTGTCTCTTTTACGATCCCATCAAGAAGGAAAGACTACGGTCGGGGCCACTGGCCTTCAACTGGTCGACGATCTTTGTACACTTCGTAAATTGTAACGGCGAATTGTAAAGTTACGTTGGTAAGCAAACGGTAGATTCGAGCAAATCACAATGTGCGCGCGCGCGCGCTCGTTCGCGCGGAAACATTTGAAAAAACGGCTACAACGCGAACCCTCGGCTATAACGAGACACGTTGGACGCTCTGCACGCTCGACGTCTCGCATCGAGCTATCGAGACACCGAATTGAGCTTTACGAACGGTGCGGGAACGTGTGCGTGCGAGCGAAGAAAGGTGCGATGTATCTTTCCAGTCCGATTGACCGGACTGACTCTGAGATCCTGAGCAAAACATTTTCCCTGTGATCGCAGGGAATGATTATATAAACTAATATACTTAATGATAAAGGTTGCGCACAGGCGGCGCCTCATCTGCGCTCTCTACTCCGGTCTCTGTTCTTACGACTTGCACCGGCGCTAATTGAGGATCACTTGAAACGCGCTTACCGAGCATTTTGCGAATCCCATTGAAGGGAAGAACAGCCCGTTTCCGTTCCCTTTCTCTCTGCGCGTATAAGAACAATCGTTTGATGTTGCAAAAACGTCGGAACTCGACGACGATGAGAACGCGCTACGGAGCTCCGTGATTTTCTCCAAAGTACCGCGCAATCTCATTAAAAGCTCACGGAATCGTCTAATTGTATATGTGCATGAAACACGAGATCGTCGCTGATTAATGATTTCTCTGATCGATGGCTAGCTTATTTGTGTCATTATTAAATCTCTCTCTCTCTCTCTCTCTCTCTCTCTCTCTCGGTGGCGGCGGCGGCGGCGGCGGCAGCGGTTACCTCGTTATACTGCAATAACAGAAGCTTTTTACAATGTAAACACCAACGTAACGTTGAGTTGTGTGCTTAATGGTAGAATAGCACCTTTTCAAACACTGCGAGATTGCGGCGTGGTAACAAGTAATCCTGAAATCAGACGTAATACAGGCTCTGTTACAAGCAGCTCTGTGTTACGAGTTCTAATTATAATTGCAACTCTAAAATTGCTATAGCTGTCCGATATATCGCGGTCCCCTCATCGGTGAACCCCCTCATAACCATTCTAATGCAGCAGCAACCCGCAAATATGATCCCGGACAAATTTATGTCTGTCCATGTTTATGTGCAACTGTAAACTTACAGTCCTTATGATAACGCCCTTCCCCCTACTTTTGCACGACACGTAACGTTGCACCGTGAATATATATATATATATATATATATATATATATTCGACACGAATGGAAATTAGCACGAAAGCTCGCGCACACCGGGTCCAACACACTTTGACATTCACCCCTCCCGATCCTTCCAAGTACTCTATCGCGAAAGGCTTCCTGTTATTTCTCGACAATCACGCAAAACTTGGCGCTAAACGTCGCGTGAAACTGTATGTCGTTCGCGCATCCGGGCGAACGACATACAATTTGCCTGGAATTATCCACGGCTCGCAACGCCGCGCGCGCGCACGCACGTTCAAATTGCACGACGCGGATTATACGCGATTACGCCTGTGTAATAATAATCTGTGTAAAACTCTGAAATCGAAAGATCACAAGGAAGACAAAGAGAAAAAAAGATAGAGAAAGAGAGAGAGAGAGAGAGAGAGAGAGAGAGAGAGAGAGAGAGAGAGTGATAGTCGCACACGTTCCCCGCGCACATAGTGCAAGGTCGATTGCAGCCTCCGTCGATCTCCAAAGAGAGTTTTTCGCTCGCCGAGACAAACGGTCGATCCCCTTTTACCCAGGGGAACGTCGCGTAACGGCCGTTGGATACGGCCACGGAACGAAAAGGTAAAATAGCATTATACGCAAAAGCGACTTCAGCGTCGTTAAGAAAATTGGATCAAATCTGCATCAGTTTCTATTGACTCGACGACAGGCGATGCTGATTCACTTACACGAGCGCGTAGCAGTACGCGTCGACAGAAACGCAGCGCGCCGCTCGCGGCCGAGGACGACGCTCGAACGAGAGTGAGAGAGAGAGAGAGAGAGAGAGAGAGAGAGAGAAAGAGAGAGAGAGAGAGAGAAAGAGAGAGAGAGAGAAAGAGAGAGAGAGAGAGAGAGAGAGTGAGAGAGAGAGTGAGAGAGAGAGAGAGAAAGAGAAAAGTATGGCACGAGAAAAATTTTTCTTCAAACACACAATCTATATTATTTGTCTTTTAATAGTAACCAGAGAGATACACGATCATGCCATGCACGAGTACGAGGGTAGTTAAAGCACCGCGAGCTACAAAACCGCCGATGCTGCGCAGAGTAACAGATTATGCGCGCGGGGTAGGCGCGGGTAATGCGAAAATCAAATCGTATTTAAACGACCAAGCAACGAGAGCCTCTGTCGGCTTTGTCGGCTCGAATATAATCAAAATTTAACCACCGCATCGGATATTCGTGTTGTGACATTCGCGATAAAATGTGGTCGCGTATTATTATAATGTGAGGATTACGAGCCATTAAAATTCGCGTGGCGCATGAAGTATAATACGTATATAGGCGCGATGAAGCCACTGTTAAAAAGCGCTCTCCAAGTATCGCACAGTGTAGCGCACAGAATACTGCGCGAAATATCGCGAAATATTCAACTGTCGCACGCGGGAGAGATCCATCATAAGGGTATCATAGTTTAATGAAGGCTGTGTGTACCGTGTGTACTGTGTGTAATGAAAAAAAATCTGCGCGTTTCACCGAGCTCGTCGGAAGAATTCGGGACGGCACGTGAAAACTTCCGTTCAATCTCGGAAATGTGCCGGGGACGTGGAATGTGTTATCCCGCCACGTTGCATGGCTCACGCGTATCAAGCGTTACAAATATACGTCCCTTTATTTATGACATTCCGTACGTCACGTCCGCATGAAGAGGAGGAGAAGGAGCGCGCGCGAAAGTGTATTTCTCTTATTTCGTCGTATGTCGTTTATTCGCCGACCGAAATCAACTGCCTCGTCGAAATCAACCGCCTGTCTCTAACTTTTCCTAAAGACGCTAAGACCGGACGAGTTGGGCGAAAACTCGGAGGAATAAAGCGGACTGCGATATCTTTAATATTCTTTAATATTGTATGCAAATAAGACCGAGCAGAAGAGGTAGGATGAACAATGGAGTACCACCGAAAAGAAACGCACACACACACACACACACACAGTAGAGGATAAAGACGCGCGCCCTCGGAAGAAGAAACGAGAAGTAGGGGGGGGGGGGAGGGAGAGAAGAGGCTTCTTGCGCGCGGAAATTGCGGAAGGAAACTTTATTTGTCGCCTCCGGATAAAGTCGCGCACCCTCGTCCCTTTTGAAATTTATCGCTATGGGCTCTCGGGCGGGAGGACGAAATATCTCGAAAGTGTTTACGCGCAGCGATTCCGCGCTCTCTCGATCGGAAAGCAAAAGCTGTCCCCACGCTAAGCACGACAGTTTAAAAATCTCACTCGAGTGTCTCTCGGAGTCTCGCGACATGGCGACGACAAGAGACGCTCGGACATATAATACGCGCGCGCTTATAATTCGGAAACTTTAAGTTAATCGTACTAATCCTCTTTTACCTCCCTTCTCCAACAGGCGACGTGATAGACATCTTGACGCTCATAAACTCGGCCATCAATTTCATCCTGTACTGCGCCATGAGTCGGCAATTCCGGACAACGTTCAACCAGCTGTTTTGTAGCCGACTGTGGCGACTGATCGGCAGGTGGATGCCGGTGCCGCATCAGCCGATGGAGAACAACGGGATAACCGGGACCAATCACACGATAACCCAGGTCACTCAAGTCTAGCGTCGAAGAGACCGACGAGCTCTTTGCTATCCGCTGTAAGAAAAGTGCCGACTGGCTGATTGCCTCCCTTTTTATCCGACACACGTACTCGAGCTCGGATTCGCGACTTTGAAAGAACGTTTTCTCAAATTGATTCCGTTTCCTCCCTGCCGCACTCCGCGGCACCTCTCTCTCTCTCTCTCTCTGTCTACCCTCTCCGTCGTCGCCGGACTGCTTTGTGTCGCCGCGCACTGCTTTCTCGCGCGAACAACGAAGAAAAAAAGATGAGATTTATTTGCTAACCACCTTCCCCTCCCGTGTGCCAGTGTCTACTGATTGCGACACTGCAAACTTTACAAACTGTTGGAACATGTGTGTTCCCATGACGAAGAGAACACCGCCGCCGTTTTCGAGGACACTCGGCAAATCTCGAGTGCGTTACAAATATTTACCTCGATTGGCCGACCCACTTCCTTCCAGCGCGTTTTTCTTTTTTTTTTTTTTTTTTTAATTTTGCTGCTTATACCTGTAATCCTGCGATCAATCAGCAGCGGCGCGTGCAGCCGTCGATGAAAAGTACGCACAATTATGTTACATCAGTCCACAAGTATGTATACACGCGTGCATTAATTCGCGCCACGAGAGGAGAAGCTTTGTTCCTCCACTCCGGTCGTCATTTTCCAGCAGCTGTTGCCAGAAACCAGCCGAGTCTGGCGCGAAATGTAAATGAACCTCAGCATGATGACTCGTACGTGTTCCTCCCCCCCCCTCCTCCCTCTCTCGGCCTGTTGGCAAAAACTTTTTTATAATATTCCGAAGAAACACGTTGACCTTAGAGAGACATCTGTTGTTTGGAATCACGTCTTCTTTTCATAATTTCGCGCTAGACCCAGCTGGCCTCTGACAACTGGTCGACCGAGAATAACGGCCGGAATGGGGAAACGACGACACTTCTCCTCTCGTGGCGCGAATTAGCGCACGTGGCTGCACACAGATACATTTCCGCGATAGAGAACATGAGTGAAAGCGTCTACTCGCGCTACGAATTCTTATCATTGTCAGAGTCGCGAGTTTACAATGGAAACCGATTTAGTATGCAAATACGATTACGAGAGATCCTTGTCCCTGTCTATCTTTGGAGAATCAAACATTTATCAATTCTGCAAACGATGAAGACAGACAATGAGCAATGAGACGACAATTATGACTGCAGTGTGCATTCGTAAGGCGCGATTTGTTTTTAAGAGTTGATTAAAAATTTTTAGTTGAGAAAACGTTTTGCAATTACGGTGAAATAACGTTGCATCGAAAATAACATCGCTAATAGGTAAAAATAATAATTGTACACACACACATATACATATATATATATATATATATATATATATATATACATATATGCATATATTTAGAGACACGATGCCGATTTAGAACAAAATATATTTTTTACTTATTAAAAAACTTTTAATTAATACCACGGAGGTAGGTACACCTATCGGATTTTGTTAAAAATATTCATCGCAAATTACGAATTGTGCGCGGAATAATAAACGTAAGTAACAAGTTGATTTTATATACGCAGAATGAGATGTTGCGTTGAATGCTCTCTCTGAGAGGGTAAAATAATTAAATACTCCCTCTAATTACATATGGAATAATGCGAAAATTGGTGTCATGTTTTTGCCGACTCACGAAACAGATAGACGACTTCGTCGCAGGATTATGCGAGAACGGAGCAGCGGGATGAAAGCGTGCGTAGTGATTAACATAATTAACGATGCAATGCGAGATGTAGGAATTCCGTCGTGTAAAGGGGCAGTTTCACCTCGCTATTCACGTTTATGCACATTCAGGAGTTGAATATTAAAAAATCTATCTCGTCTACGCAATTTCTTTCTCCTTTCCTCAGGATGCATGCGAATTATACTCGCAATTTGTTTTTAAAAAAACTTTGTTCTTAAAAAACGAGAGAGAGAGAGAGAGAGAGAGAGAGAGAGAGAGAGAGAAGAAAGGAATAAAGCAAAACCCGTCCCGCAAACTGTTTCTTCTTGTCCCTTCGAAGCGAGAAAGTATTCGCACGTACCTCGCCGTCAAGAGCGCGTTCACCAGTCTCTTTGAAATCGTCGAGCGCGCATTCCGATTGGAAATTCTTTTCAGCCGGTAATGAATCGGCCCGCTCAGTGAAATGTCACAGAGCGCCGAGCTCCGTGTGCGCGTAGCAGCGCGCACGATTAACATTCGCCGAAATATAACAAATATAACAAGCGAACGTCGAGGAACAAGAGATAAACCCCGACTGTTCTCGACTCCAAGCGTGCGGCCGTGTCGCTCAAACGAATAGTCGCTAATCGAATCGTCGCGTTCGCGACTCGGGCTCGCATTTTTTGTGGCGACCGGGCTAAGCTCGATATCTCGCGTCGATGGTCGAGCGCGGGAATTCGGGCGAGGACGGATGATGCGTGAAATAAAAATCTGCGGGCTGTGATAAATTGGAGCTCGCTTAAAATCGCCGTCAGCCTCTGCCTCGCCGAGCAACCAAAGCGCTCCTGTGCGCGAGCCAAATCGCCGCAATTAACATGCAACGGCGACTGATAGCCGCAATTATTCGTCGCCTTCCATTTCGCGGCGAACTTTTCGCGTCTTGAATGGAACTTGAGTGAAATTGCTTCCGCACGAAACCAGCAAGAGCTGGTAATAAAGCATATTACGTAATATCGGCCAACGTTAGTTTTCATTTATTCGAGCTTTATTATTCATTTGAGTGTGCGCCCCATGGGCGAACTTGATAAATTGTCGCGAATAATTGTCCACCGCGCCGTATATATTATATATCGCAATTTTATTTCTTCATTTGTCGTGATAGCTTTTGGTCAAGATAGATTTTCATTGGTCCCTCGTTTGCACATGTTATCTCAGCTCGAATTGTATTACCGACGGTATTACATAGTTGATCCTGCGATAGATAGAAAGAGGAGGGGCAGGAGGAAGAGGAAGAGAGTCCCAAATCGTAAACAAATCAAAATCCGATTCTTAGGCTCCAGGCGTCTAGGCGCGGAATTGAATGAATAATTTTGTTCCATTTCCTCGGCTCCTCCAATTCCTCCAATTTATCGGTGGAAAATGAACGTGATTTCCCTCCCGGTGGTAAAAGCACCTCGATTAAGGAATTATAGTCTATTATAGTCAACGAAATACGAACTCGCGCCCGGCTGGATATTTCTCCCTGCGAGAAACAGATGATGTCCTCTTTTAGTCAGGACGACTACACGATGAGTGTAGCATATATCATCCATGTTAAGCTCATTTCCGCGCCGGCGGCGGAACGGAACGTTATCCCTAGCGCAATCTCGTAATAACAGAAGATAACGTTAGGCGCTGCGAGTAATGTTCCCCTCTCGTGAAAGAGAATCATTAGCGGAACCGTTGGCAGAAGAAACAACACAAACACACCGCCCGGAAAGAAAGAGAGGAATGTCAACGCCGTTGTCATCCTATGGACTTCGTGTTTGCAGCGAATAGCAAAGTCGTTCGTCGGTCCCCCCGCGATGGGAATTGATAGTAGTAGCTGATAGCTGATGAGAATCGTGTGTTGGATCGGAACGGTTCTCGTTTAAACGATGCGTCGCGAGCTGCAAGCTTTTGGAGGATCGTTTGCGAATAGATATGTCACGAATAGATGTTTGTTCGGTGAGAGAGAGAGAGAGAGAGAGAGAGAGAGAGAGAGAGAGAGAGAGAGAGAGAGAGAGGGAGAGAGGGAAAAATAGAAATGAGAGAAAGGGAGAAAAACAGAGAAGAAGAAAAATGTTTCGTAGAGAGAACCGCGAGAGAAAACTGCGGTGTTAGATTGAAAGCTAATTATGGGGATCAATTGGTGGATTCGTGTTTCACGAAGCCTTTTCACAACACCGAGCTAACAAAGATGTGCTCCTCATTTTCAAAGACATTGATTTCCCAGTCTTTTGTCTCGTGTTTCTCGCGAAAGTGATACTATACCGTGTAAAGTGCTCGCGCAAACGCGAGAACGAAGAGAGCGTGGGACAGAGAGGAATAAATAAGCTGCTGATACTATCCGAAAAGGAAAGAGATGTATTCAGCAGAGATGAGGGGGAGGAAAAAGAGAGGCTTTGAAGCGCGAAGAAAAACTTGCTAAATGTCACATCAAATTATTTCAAATGTTGTAAATATAAATGTTTATTGAAAGAGAAAATACGTGTACGCAAGTCTTGTTCTATTAAATTTTTAATATCCTTTTTTCTTCTTTCTTTTATATTTTTCGTTTAACATGAGTGATCACATTTCCGCGCGTGCGTGTGTGTGTGTGTGCGTGTACGCGCGCGCGCGCGAGCGCGCGTGTGTACGTGTCTGTATGTTATTTTATACGAAACGCAGCAATGTCAAATTTATAATTCTGTTCCATTAGTCGCGTGAGTGAATTATCATTGCGTTATCATTGATGTCACGATAACGTGACATTTATCTCGCCACGAAATTAATATTAATTATAGAAATTAATATTTTTTGGACAAAATGTTGTATACTTACTGTCATCTTTATTCGGATATGTCAATTTCTATGTTACATTCATGGATAAAAACGGAAAAGTGATAAATGTTCAACTACGGTAAAATATAAGCCATTATTGTTGTATATACTATAAGTCGGGTATACGTAAGATTACGAAAGATACACTGCACACGAAAATTGACACGAAACACGATGTAGAAAGTGAGAGTAAGCGGAAATTAACATTCTTCTATTCGTGCAACGACCGTATGTCTAGTCTCTTGTCACTGACACTTTGAATATTCACTAAAATTATACGACATATCGAATTTTTTAATAAAAGGATATTATTTTCAGGGGAATGCCACACGCATGTCTTCTTCTAACAATTAGCTTGCCGTAACGAACTAATTAATAATTGCAAGTGACAATTAAGAACTAATGTGCGTGACGATGAAATTGCTTCGAGGGAGAGAAAGAAGAGAGAGGAGAGAAAAATTTCGTTTCATTTCGTTACCTTGACTAACCTTTTTCGTACTTGACACAACGAGCGTACGTAATGGACGTGGGGAACAATGTTATTATATCAGCGTAACAGCGGTATCGTTCCTGACGTACGTTCAAGTAATTTTCAACACGGCCGAATGTCGCTCTTATCGGTTATTCCTTTTTCCAATTGAGCTTACAAATGACATTTCATTTTCACGCTTGACCCGGTCATTTAAAGCGACACGTTGTTTCAGCCGGATATAATATTTAGCCAACGACATACGAACAAATTACCCCGGCATTGCAGCACGTGTCGCGATTCGTGAGTGTCGCGTGTTGTGTTTTAAATCCACGTTTGTTACGACTCCCCCGGCTCGCTGCATCGATGTGCAGTAAGTGAAATCGCTGTTTTAACTTTTAGCGTGATTAAATAGGAAAAACGTAACTCACATCAGTAACGTATCTACATTTCGAAAAATTTCGCATCCGGCGAAACATCCGTATCTTAAATCTTAAACACACAATGTGTGTCCCGAGCCACTCACGTAACTAATTTAATCTTTTTTATAATTTTTATAATTTTTAAATAATTTAAAAAATCAAATTCGCGATTCTTCCATCGAATTGAAAGTTTATACTTTCGATTAAACGATAATTTGATTGAGTTGTCTGTTCCGCTAATTTTATACACATAATATGCACGCCTCCAAGGGTTAATCTCGGAATCATACAATTGTTTTAGATCGTAAAAAACATCAATGTCTCGACAGGTTATGTCTTGTGACGAATCAACGAAAATAATAAAAAAATGAGACACGATCGGATCTGCGCTGTACACGGTGAAAGAGAAGTGAGAAGAAACTCAAAACACTTTATAACTCGGACAAACGTTAATATTTTATTACACAGTCAAGCACAGATATCGCATCGAAATAAGAACGTATATCGATGCCGATAACCATACCGGTAATTATTGCCGGTGAATTGATATTGCGAATCGAACATGCCTCAAACGATCGTGATACTTAACTGTTATTGCCGCCGCCCAAAGTGAATCTTCCTTTTCTCTTTCTCTTTAAATTTCCGATAAATTGGAAACTTGTTGGAGTATCTTTAAGCTAGAAGTCACGGAGGTCTTGTAATTGCTTCGTCGCAACTTAAGTACTTCTTAAATATACATTTAGCCCGAAAAAGAGTTGAAACTGATTTCACAGAGTTTAACAGAAAGAGTTTAATTAGAAGCTGTATTCTTTGAAGTAATTAAAAGTCCTACCAACCAAATTCCGGCCTGCCGCGCCGGAAGTACAAGTTGAATTGAACATATCTCGATCTACCTTCCGAACTAACCACATTTTGCTGCGATAGCTTTCGACTGTAATTATCTAATATATCCTCGATACGAAGGCCGGATATTAGATAAAGCAGCCGTATATACTATATACAGCTGCGACACGTACGCGTGGAAATTGTGGAGAAGGTGATTGAAATAAATGTAAACCGTACATGTACCTACTTGCCTTTCCGTGCAAGTAATCATCATTTAACGTTCATCCCTACGTGTAATTTTTCTCTGTGTCTTTGAGAGAGAGAGAGAGAGAGAGAGAGAGAAAGAGAGAAAGAGAGAGAGAGAGAGAGAGGGAATGAAACCGGAACATTTAATTCCCGCAGTTTTCCAGCGAAACACATCGCGATAACTTTTTGATTTTTCAGGATTTATGAATCTCGCGAATATGAAACGCGTAATGAAAACAAGACCGCATGAATCGCGGATACGTTACTCGTACTAGTATAATGAGGCGCGTAATGAGGCTACTAGCGCGCTGAAAAGCGCCGTAATTTTCAAAAGATTTAAAATGCGCGGCAACGCGGAAAACGAAAAAAGAAAGAATCTCCATACTAAGATACATTCGGGGACATCGTGGATTTTCGCGCGCATGAGAGAGAGAGAGAGAGAGAGAGAGATGCGGGCTATGTACATACGCTATGTTTCCGCCTTGTTTTCGCCTTGTTGATTTCGTTAAATCACCTCACGTCGGGATAACGCTTATACGGATCGGAGCTAGGGAACTTCGAATCGGAAAAACCCCACAAGTTTGCGAAAGGAACACGAAATACGATACGGTATATCAAACATCTCTAACAATCGATGCCACAACAAACGAGCCTTCATAAATTCATGTATATGGATGCGGCGGATGTATTTCCAGCGTTATGCGTTACCTATCAAAGCTTCGCGCGGTTTCGATAACCTCATGCGCATACTTTTGTCATAAATCCTGTACATGCGCCCGCACGTATAGGCACGTGTAGAGCGTCTCGAGCATACGTCTCGGACATATGTATTATTCGACGGCAAGCGGGCGGACTTCGACGTTAAATTCAACAAAAACCTACCCAGCGAGGGGAATATCCAACGCTTAAATCGTACGTATCCCATCTGTAAATAATATTAACCTTTTATCGAAAAACATAGAGCGGCATATCATTTTTGAAACGCGACCATATGCACCGATGTGCACAAATGCACTTAGATGTGCGCGTCCATCCATTTGCGATTGTCCATTACGTCGAGTCATATTCAGGAAGCAGATTCAGAGAGAGAAAGAGAGAGAGAGAGAGAGAGAGAGAGAGATACGGCCACTGACAGACTCGCAAGGCTCGACAAATCGCCGCAGGTTGCGCCTGCATGCATGCATGCATGCATACATACATGTATTCATCCATACGGAGAAAGCCGCTAAAACCGCAAAAGGGGCGAGCGCATCGTACACGTCGCGCTCATTATTTATAAACGTTTGTTACGCCAGTTACAGAAATAATTCATGCTTCCCAGTCGACACCGGCGCAGCCAAGTTGCACATGTTCTATGCGATATGCAGGATTCGTCTCTGCACTATTACCAAATGCCATTTCGATCGATCGAAACTGACCCGAGGGTGAGATCGCATCAATTTCAAATCACGTTTCTATGTTTCTTCTGAAAAACATTTCATAATACGGATTTGTCACGCCTTAGTGATGCGCGCGCGCGCGCGCATGTACGTGTGTACGTCAAGTCGTTCAATTTTCTGCACCAATTGCGAGATTATTCAGCGATTCCCGGTGTCACGCTCGGACGTGAGCGCGACTTATAATATACGACTTATAATATGCGACGTCCTTCGACGCGATATAAAGCATAATTCATACGACAAAATTCATACACGTCGTCGCATGGACTTAATTTCCTCTATTTGGAGCACTTCTTTTCGCGGCTCTGCGGCATCTGCCATACTTTTCTTCGCGAGGAAACCTTCTCTTACGGTGATATCTCACAAAATCACAGATACTTTGTAATGCGCGGATATAAATTCCGCTGTCGCACGCACGGCAAAGGATAAATGAATGCCAGATGAGTAAACTGGCTTTTCTTGTCGACGTTTTGTGCAATCTGTCATGAAAGTCCGAAGAAAGTCGGTTAATTAAAAGTTATTAGAGGGAAAGACTCGGGCAAGGTAAAAAATAAATGTACCGAATATTTTACAGATTACTGTTTCTTTATGATGAACCTTTATGGTCACCTGGTCACGGAAAGTGAATGCGTTGAAGAGAAATAATTAAGTGTGATAGTAAATGTTATGTTTTAAATAATTCAAATTATTGTATATATACCAGGAGAATAATTCCATGTTAATAATTATATGCAATAATAATTATTTATTATTATGCATTAATAATTATTTAACAACAAATTATTCCTTTCTTTCAAATTTCCCCTGTAAATTGATTAAAATTGTATAGAAATAGAGTTGGAATGGAAATATCAAATGCAAGATATTAAGAATTTATGTTATTATGTTAACGTAATTAAAAGATATTTAAGATTTTTGGAATGTATCGATAACGATTTACTTATTTGGAAAGATACAACTTGGAATATCGTGAATGTATCACCACAATTGCCGTTTGTTCTATTGTGTCGACATCGAGATCCTAAGAAAAATTCTGTGTTTTACAGTTATCGGTAAAGTAACGTACCTTAATAAGCCAATTCATACTTTATCCGTGTATCATACCGTGTATTGATAATAACATTAGAAGCAGCCTACTATTTTACCGACGTATCCTTACATCATCATGCTTGACTCTGAGTTTGAGTCCTGGAGAGGCATGCGCAGGATGCGCACGGTAAGTGCTCTCACGTGTGTTGTGTTTATAGCGGCTCGGATTACTACGTATATTGCATTTCATTATATAAAGCAGTCCATCTTTTATCACTTGCATTAAATTGCAGTAAAATAAACGTAACTGACGATAAGGAAGCCGAGCTTTAGATAAAGCACATTAATAACAAGTATTAATAATTGGCAAGAGAACAAAGATATTCGTCGAATTTTCGCAGGATTCTATCAAACAGTATGAGTGACTCCGACGATGACAGCAGCTCTGATAGCAGCAGTGATTTCAGTAAGGGTTTCACCTCTAAGGATCAGCTAACCGCGAGCTTCTTTTCCATCAAACCGGTGAAGCTTAGTCAAGCGGACGCGAAAGACAATAACAAGGATGACAGCGACGACGACGATGACGATGACGATGACGATGACGATGACGATAACGATTTCACGAGCATTGGCGAGAACAGTAATATGGAATTGTTCTCTGAGGTCGTTAAGAACTTGGAGGCCACCCAGAGAACTCAGATAAAAAACGAGGATCCGGAACGCTCCTGCAAAGATGATAACCTCCAGGTAGACTTTATGGAAGCTTCGTGGAAACTGTTCGAGAAACTATTTAGACCTATTGATGTAATTACTTGAAAACTTGTGGAATAGAAATTCAAAGATTCATCATTGTTTGCAGGGTATGAAAGAAATAAAAATTAAAGCTGAAAGAAACGACATATCGGATGAGATAAATGCAGTTTTGCTGCAAGGAGAAAGTGGAGCATTCCAATTTAATGAAAATGACGAGGACGCAGAAGACAAGAAGGATGTCCAACGTCCAGCTGACTATACAATACCTAAAGAAGGTATTAAGATAACCTTGCCAGGTACAAGTATGCTGTTCAAGAAGAAATCAGCCAATAAAAAAGAGTCAGATTTAGCTGCGATCCTACGCAAGAAATTGAAAGCTAATCAAATATTTGTGGAGAAAGTAAGTCGACTCTGTTGGCTGGCGCATGGATTCTATCTGAATCGCCAAGCCAACGATCCTGAGGTAATGACAACAGTGGTGTCGTTGGTCTCGGCAAACAACTATCCGAAAGATAAATTTGATCTAGGATACTTGGAGAAATTCACAAAATGGTTTAGAAGTATATTCACTACGGAATCTGTCGATAGCGATATTGCTGTAAATAAGGTAACACTATTGAAGAGGACAGCAGAGAAGAAGATATTAAACTACAGGGAATTGGTGGTACTGTATATAGCAGTGCTGAGAGGTATTGGTTTAAACTGTCGTTTAATTGTATCTCTCAATCCACCAGCTGTAAAAGTCCATACTGACTTACTGCCTACAACAAGCGTACCGAAGAGAACGAATCGAACAAAGGAGAAACTGAAAGAAACCAAAACAAAGGCAAGATCCTCTAAGCCCTCCACCTCCAAGGAAGATACCAAGAAAACCGATTCGAAGAAGAATCTCATGGATAACGACTTAATTCAGAACAGTAAAAGTGCACTGAAAAATGCGAATCTAATGGCAAGAGAAAAGGCGGCAGAGATACTTCGTTCTAAATATGCGTATAATAAAAAAGACAAGGATAAGTCAAATAAGCAAGGTAGCACAGCTGAAGTCAAGCACAATGAAGCAGCTTCCACTAATGTTGAAAAAGCAGACACGGTTGTATCTTCAAGAAATTTGAGATCTAGAAAGCTCCCTGATGCATCCTCAACAGCATCCAAACAGCGAAGCAATAAAAATAATAGCTCAGAAAATAATCAGTCCAAAGCATCAAGTTCCAAGAGAAAAGGACGGATCAATAATACTGATGATTCACGCTCGGAGGAAGAAAATGAAGAAGAAAAAGAATTGTCAAACAACAAAGCAAAGAGGAAACGCGGTAATAGCAATAAAACACAAACTGTCACTAAATCTAGAGAAGGGAACGAGAGGAGAGACAAAGCGTTAGAAGATGAGGAGGAGGCTGAGAAGAAAATAAAAAAGACGCAGGATGTATGGGCCGAGGTGTACGTTGAGTCTAAAGGCAGTTGGATATCCGTAAATATAATGGATGGCGACGTGGATTGTGTAGCCGAAGTATATGTAAGTAACTCGAACTTTTACAGTAATTATTATCATTAACAAATTATATTACCGAAAATGTTTCAGAAAAAAGCGAGCAGACCAGTATTATATGTGATTGCTTATAACTCAGAGGGACTGATAAAGGATGTCACAAGGCGCTATTGTCCACATTGGCTTTCTGTCACGCGTAAGCAACGTATCGATGAGAAATGGTGGACCGATACTATAAGTCACTGGCCGGAAAAAGAAACAGCCATATCCAAACAGGAGGATGAACTACTTCTGCAAAGGTATATGCTTTTCTTTCTAATATATTATACGTTTTGAGTTTATCATCGTATCATCGTAGAGAACGAGCCTCCATGATTCGTGACGAGATTCTAACCGAAATGTTATTTACAAAAGATGTAATTATTGACTAATTAAATAACATTTTATTCGGAAAGATACATATATGTACGTGTATATTTGTAGTATCGTTGTGGATTTGAAAGAAATTTTTTCCATTTTTCTTAAATTTACCACTAATATTTTACCTGCCTAAAATTTCGTCGCTAAATTTCGTCGAAATTTGAAGCGGGACTTTAGTGAAGCGACGAGAGACGCGCTTCTGCGATCGTTTCGGCATGACCGTAACGTGATAATGATAACAAAGGATAATGCCATTGATGGCGCATGAGAATACGCGAGAATATGCTTCCACAGGGAATTGGAGCAACCGTTGCCTAAAACCGTCGGAGAGTGTAAAGGACATCCGTTGTATGTATTGGTCAGACATTTACTTAAGTACGAAGCGCTGTATCCACCGGATTGCGTACCACTCGGACACCTACACAACGGCGAGGCTATTTATTCGCGGTATTGTGTACATACGCTGTGTTCGCGGGAAACCTGGTTGAAGAAGGCTCGTGTGGTTAAACCGAAACAAGAGCCGTACAAAATGGTTAAGGCGCTTCCAAAATATGACAAAGTACGTTTACGCTGATAAACCTTTCTTTGCCGACTTTGGCGATTCATTAAATTAAATGGAAAATATTTTATATTTTATATCGCGCGTTGTCGGAATTTAATTATTTACAGAGATAGATGTAATGAAATTTTTCTATTTCAGCTTTCAGGCCTGAGAATCAAAGACACCCTATTGGAATTATTCGGAAAATGGCAAACTACGGATTACGTTCCGCCAGAAGCTAAGGATGGCATTGTGCCTCGTAATGAATATGGGAACGTAGATTTATTTAAAATGTGTATGCTCCCAAAGGGCACGGTGCATATAAACCGTAAGTATAAAGTGTCACATACAAGTGTCATACAACAGAATGTGTTATCAACTAGCCTTACACCATTTATTTCCGCAGATTTTTAACAGATAATTTATTTTTCCATATTACATTCTAGTAATAAAATTAATAAAAAACATTCATCTAACCCCTTCCCCTTTTCCGATTTTTAACTTTAACAAAAGAATAAGACGGAAACATGAAAGGTACAACTAGTAAACTTTTCATCGTCGCGTCTCACTACAAAAACGATAATGTACAAATATGAATTATGCGATAACAAGGTGTACTACATAACGCAATTCTTACAGTTCCAGGATTAAATCGCATCGCCCGGAAATTGAACATAGATTGCGCATCCGCCGTAGTAGGTTTTAATTTCGGATGTATGGGTGCTGTGCCGGCTATCGAGGGTTTTGTCGTATGCGCCGAATACGAGGATACGTTACGAGAAGCTTGGGAAGCGGAGCAAGTGGAGGCAGCCAGACGTGCCACTGAGAAAAGAGAAAAGAGGATTTACGGCAACTGGAGGAAGCTTATTAGAGGCTTGCTGATTAGAGAAAAATTGTCGCAAAAGTACGAATTTACGTCGGAACCGAAAACTGATCAGTCGAGCAAACGTCCTAAGGAACGAAAAGGGACTGCGAAGAAGTCCAAAACATGATCCAAAATATGTAATATAAACTGTTTACAAGTTAATTCGAATAAAAGTTTCAATTAGTTATAGAGCGTTATTTGCAAGAGACTTGATCTTGACATCAAATGTATAATTGAATAATAAAATAATGATATAGAATTTATAATTAAATAGACACTGTGCTAATAAAAATCTTACATCTCTGTCTGAAAATATCGAATGAAATTTCCTCCATGATACCAGGGCACGTTAGATATTTATTATTTTCATTCATGCGACGTCTACTTTGATGATGTACATTGTAAATATATTTTTGTATGAAGTAAATTATTTTTATAATACAATGCAGTTCTTGTGTGTTTCCGCGGTTTCTTCATTAAACAGCAAAAGTGTAATAATTAACATCAATTGGACATAACAATTAATTGAACCGTATACAAAACGTATATATATAAAAAAAAAGCATACACGCATGACGCCCAATACGCAGAAGAATACGTCAGGCGTAACATTTATTTCAATCCCTGCTCTGTATCAATAAGCATTCATCTCCGCAGCATACCCTTCCCTTACTTTCCTTTCTTCGATCAGTCCAGCTTCGAAGAGGATCCGCACCTCCAATCCGCGGTGGCGGACTCAAAAAACGCCTTCTTTCCGCTCGATACTTCTGGTATTCTACATTTCACGAGATATTTATTGTCGCAACTAATTAATAATTCGTCACAACGAAAGCGTGAAACTTACTCTCGACGCGATTTCTACGACGCGTATACGGGAAGTATCGAACGGAAAGATGCCAGCGATCTGAATATTCAAATCCCCAATAGCCGCGATCTGGCAAAAGGCTCGACGCTCCCGTTTCCCGTTTCGCAATGTTTTATCACTTCCGCCTCTGTATGATGATTGATTTTTTAATATCAAACGCCCGTATCGTATCGCCCGTCGTAGTTGTCGTGTCTAAAAATCTCTAAAAATCGGTGAGGAACCGGTGAGTTCCGGAAGAGTTCTTTGTAATAAAGTTTAATAACGTATATTGTTGATGCAAAATGAAGAATTTCCGTGACACTTGGTTACTTGTCTGGAAGACAACGAGAAGGATCAAGCACAGTGAGTGGTTAAGCACGTGGTTTCGATAGTCGAAATTCGACGTCCCGTGTCGGATCGACGTCGGAGCGTCAAAGGAATAGCGTCTGATTTGCAACAGTGGAAGCAACAATGCGCGCAGAGCATTCTGAATTAGACACCACTCAGTGTCCAACTAGTGTGCACCGTGTTACAAGAGAGAGAGAGAGAGAGAGAGAGAGAGAGAGAGAGAGAGAGAGAGAAGCGAGGTTTCCCCGCGTTTTACGCGCGCGAGGGGCGCGCGGGCGCGTCAACGATCGATCACATTCGCGCGAAATATACGAATACGTATATCTCTCCGTTTCGCTTGGCGTATAATCGTGCGCGGCTGATCGATCAATTAAAGCTTCTCGCTCGTTTCGGTGCACTCGAATGCACGTGTGCATGCATCGCACCGCTCCTGGTACTACACCACACGGACGCCTAGGGAGGCCTAGCCGTCCAATTTCATATTCGCACAAGGCGCCCGGTGGTGCATCTTCGCCACGTCGACGCGGGCCGCGGGTCTATTTCAGAACGCGAACTTGAACTTAGACATTCATTCGCGCGCGAACGAAGAGTGATCAGGAAATTGGCAATTACGAACGAGCGATAAGTTCAAGCCGCGCCAGCGGCTTCGGGAAATCAATTTTTCAAACAAACAATTCGTCGACTTCCTGGTTGCGTACCTGCATAATGTATTAAGATTCGGCTCGCTAAGATCGAGTAGCTTAATTGAATCGCGACGCGGCGGCTACGCCGGAAGTTCGAGAGAGCGTTCTCGCTTTTGATGAAACATCCATCAGCGGTCCATTGGCGCCATGTCCGGTCGTAGGAAGTTTCGTTTCTACGTTGCTACGAGATCTAACGATCTCGAGTTAAAAATAAATTACACGAGTGATCTCTCAGAGACACCAAAAGTGTTCCGTCTAAAAAGACTGTGTCGCCTCATGTCGCCTCGTGTCATCATGTCGTACAATTGATAACATAGCAAACGAAGCAATTTACACCTTAGGAGGTAGCGAAACAAGTTATCAAAGAGCGATTTAAACAATCGCGTCGCGTCGCGTCGCGTTCTCCCACGTCGAGCCGCAAGTGCGGCCTAATTTCATTTCTACATCGCGCGATCTGATCGCGTCGGAATCGCTTCCGATTCTGCAACTTCATTTCCGATTGTCTATAAAGCCCGCACGAGAACAGCGCACGGAACGGAACGGAACACGTGCAAAGATGCGCAGCTCCGATAGATCTATAAGATAAGACGATCCGTATTCCGCACATCTGTGCCGAACACTACTAGTTGAAGCGTGGAGTAGGTGTATACCCGCAACGCAGCAACGCAGCAACGCAGCAGCGGTATAAAAGCGTGATTCGGCTAGGCCGAGGCTGTCAGTACGCGTGTAACAATTAGACCGCGTGGACAATTCACCGCGGCCAATCGCGCAGCCAATGGACGTTATCCGTCTCACGACGGATAACAAACATCTCGGAGATCTCACGCCGCGTATCGATCGACGCATCGACCGCGTCGCAACTGGATCGCAACCGACCGATCCGAAGAATTCGGAAACATCGGAGGCTTAAAATCGTATCGACCGCGTAACGGCGTAACTGGCCGCGAGGAACTTTGCCATTTGAGAGACTTAATTTGTGTCTACGCGACATAGCGTACAACCAGAGGTTGTAGGCGGCGTAATAACTCATTAAGCGAAATTGGCCATGTTTCCGATGCCGTTTCTCGGGCCATCCTATGTATAGGGTGCTCGCGCGCGCTCGAGGTGTGCGCTGAGTCAGCTCCTAACACAGAGGGTGTTAGTTAGAATTATTATTTCTGCCGGGGAGCCTGTCAGTGTGCATCGCAGATGAATGGGACAACAAACAACGCCGTTACCGCGTTACCGCGTTACCGCGTTACTTGCGTTATCATTTGCTAAAGATTGCTTGTGCTGACAAACGTGAGTTAATTCTGTCGGAAAGTTTATGCGCCGAGGATGCGCCGAAGAACGCTTCGGGTACGGGGACGAGTATTTTCATTTCGAGAATATGACGCACAACGTACAACATTCTTCATATTCTCCGACGCGACAATCAATTGAGTACACGCCGAGCATTTTGCCTGAAAAAATGAAAAAATGAAGGAAGATAAGATCGGAAGTAGTAAGGAAAGGAAGAGTAGTAGTAGTGTGGCCGCGATCGAGTGCGACAATTCTGAAAGACAATTTTGAAAGATTCGACTCAAGAGCGATCGCTCCTACATATCTATATGTACTATGTAGTTGAGCCAACAGAGTTGAGCGTTTATCACCGAACACACACACACACACACAATTTCGACTTTTTCCGCGCGAACGTTAGAGCCTGGCACTGATTGCCCAGGTGCCTATCGAGAGAATTGCCCTGGGCAAAGTACGTGAATTTTTAGCTGCGGCTCATTCCGCCTTCGGCGGGCAAAATGAGAAAACGTGAGAGCGCGTCGCGACGAAGCGCGAAGAAGCGCGCCGCGATTTTGCGGAAGTCGCGCTCGTTTAAGGAGCGATCGCTGAATGAAAACAAATGGCGTTTCATGGACGGTTGAGCTACGTCAGGCTGCGGATCATAAATCCGACGCATGAAGCGGAAGAGCGTAGGCATCATAGCCTTCCGTCGTTCTGAAAGTAGCTGCGGAAACGTACGTTTCAACGAACAAATTCGTCTCGTGGCCGCTGCTGACGTGAGAACATAAAACGACGAGCGCGACGGTGTGTAACGGTGATTTAGGCTTTAACGGTGGTTCTTGCTTCTTGGTGAATGCGTCGAACCGGTATGAGTTCGAAGTGATGAATTTCGTCTCTGAGGGTGACGCGAGCGAGAATACGAATTTCGGTACGTCCGAAATGGCGGAATTCACATGCGACGCGCCGGAGGAGAAGGAAGCCGCTGCGAAAAACGCGACGTCCACTTGCGACAAACGACACTGCAGGGAGATGCGAATGGAGAAGTTACCCCCTTACCTTCGGGACAGAGGTAAATGCAGTTTCTCTGAAACGCGCAAGAGAAACGAGAAAGGAGAGTTCTCTTCGTTACGGAAACGCAACGCAACTAGCGTTTTGATCTTAGCGCGGTCGTGCTGTATTAGCTCTCTTCTATAACGAGGTGCGTTATAATGATGTCGACTGCAAGCGTGTGTATGTATAAGGCGCGCGGGGGGCGTCGGTCGACGGTCGAATAGATCGATAGTTATGCTCGCTCGAGAGGTGCCGCGCTCGCCGATGTAAATTAGGAGCGCGATATATCGGGCTGTGCAATCGCCGAATGCAGATGGCCGTTCCGGCGCGAATTCGTAATCCGATATTTTGATTGCACGCGAACACGCGATCGCCTAGCCGAGCTACGGAGTATAGCAGTAGCAAAACCGGTGCCTTGAATGATATATATATATATACACACACGTACATATCCTCTTCCGTCGTCTAAGAACGATCTAATCGTGCGCGTGCGAGTTTCTTTCGCTCGTTTCGCGCCGTCGCGATCGTCCTTCGTCGAAATTTCCACCGTGCCAGTCTATAAAAGCAAATGAATATCGAATTATTCACCCCTGACACGCGTGCTCCCTTGCACGAGAAGGGCTCTTGTTTCAGCCATGTTTTTTGCTTCGCAAGAAATTTCAGACATTTCACGTCAGACGCATCACGAAGAAGAAGGCCTATGACGTCAGGCCTAATTGCGACAGGCGGCAAACTTTGTGCAGCGATCAGCATTATCGTGTGTCCCTTTATGAATTTTCTATCATCTCCGTTCAAGCTCGACCGGCGGCTCATCAACGGGCGGCTGAGTTCCGAGAAGCCGAGAACCTTGCTCCTCATTTTACTTACAGGTTTCGCCCCCTGTGCATGCAGACCGTTATATCCGACGTACACGCAAGAAGTGTAAAGACCCGAGCGTATCGTTATTCCGTGCTCGTGCGTAAACAACATCGCGCAAAACTCGTCCGCCTCTCCGTAAAGCACGGGCCATAAAACACGGGAGAAACACAAAAACCTGAGTATCTTCCAACTACATAAGAAAAGCGATCCATGTGCAAAATGGCCTGGGCCTAATATTTCAATTTAACGTTAAATCTTCATTCTTTCTCACAAGGAACTTGAACGCAATTACTCTTGAACGTTATTAGATTAGAACGTTATTAAATAATCATTCACGGTTACACAGTTAGGAATAAGTGAGGACGCTAATTAAATTAAGGCGTGGAAATTCTGAAAAAACGATTAGATATTGAAAAGAGGGAGCAGATAGGAAATGTATGTATGTTTTGTGATGTTAGTTTAAGACATCATGTGGAAATATGTCAGATTGCAAGAGGACGATTTATATGAGTTACGTGGTGATAAAAAGAGACAATATATAGAATAGGATTTGGAATGATGACTTAATTGAGATAAAAAAAAAAACATATTTCTTGAGAAAGCTTTGGGGAGAAAGAGGCAAGAAGCGAAGAGAGAACAAGAAGGAGAAGAAAATAAGAAAATAAGAAGATAATAAATACATATATATTCTCTCACACACACACACACACACACACACACACAGTTACACGTTCAATCATTGGTGGTATTACGGTCGTGTTCGATCGTTAACACGTTCTCTAGCAGATTAATTTCATCACGACTTGCCATTGGACCATTGGACCGATGATAATCGCATTATCGTAATCCGACTTTTATGAACCGACTTTTATTTGTCTAATGGTCTGATAGCCTCGCAATAGAAGACAGAAGTATCTCATGATTATTTCGTATTTCGCTTTAGAACGCTGAAACATCTAGAAGCGCTCTGAACGAAGAGTTCGATATGCGCCATCACACGGCACGGAACATGTTAGTTAACAATCGGGTAAATAAATTGAACAAAGATAGATTAGCAAAGTCCGGAAGAACGGACTCACGTGCGCTCAAATTACAAGCTAACAATTGGATATACGGCAAATAGACATTAGTAGGGCACGTCTATCGCCCCCTGCACGTGTCTCCTCGGACATTCGAATTGACACCTTCCGTGCGCGATCAGTCCCGATGGCGCAACGTATTTTGCGAGATGCCTGCACGCATAAGCACTGTACGTGGGCCTATATAAAGGAGGGGTGCGGATTCCAACACGATCCCAATTGATATCCGATATCCTGCCGGTGTGGTGGTACCGTCGGTGGTGACAACCGGCTGCGGCGAAGTGTCACCCTTACCGCAGCTTAGATCGCAGCTTGTTTGCACTTTGTTGCGTATCTCGCGCAGTGCAGTACCGCCGGGGGCGACGTAGACGTCTCTGTCTGTGTTTTAAAAGCAATCTGTTTTCGCGACAGAAAAATTTCACGAATGTATCTCCTCGAGATTGCATTATAATATTGTGAAGCGATAACAGCCCCCTCCGGCTCCTCGGTATCCTCGGCGCCCTTAGCAGTGTTATCGGCAGTGTTATCGGGGATATTTCGAAGAAAAATGCTGCTGTCGACTCGAGCAGCCCGATGCGCTGCTCTCATGGCCGAGCCTGATGAGCTTTATCCAGGTGTAAAAGAAGCGCTTTAGCTTTAGCGCTTCAAGATCTTAGTTGCCAGTATGGAGTATGAGTGTTTTCTTTATGTGCTTCAGAGAGGATACTTTATCCGCGTAACACGAGAACCCTGCCGAAGACACCGGTGATCGGTGGACAGCCTATCGAAGAGGAAACATGTATGGTAAGGCATTAACACGAGGCGTTACATCTCATCGTAACTCACTCTCTTACGTCTCTATACGACGTAGCGTCGCATAGGAAACAGAACTTTAGTTTGTGGAAGTTACAATGTTACGTATTATTAGTATTGCGTCGGAGTCAGACAGTCTCGACTCGCAAACAACTGCAAGAATAACGAGAATATCAAGATTATCTGCATCATACAATACTTTTAATAATATTTAATTAGGAATACTCGTGCATGTATTACATGTGTGTATTATCGCTCTGTTAATATGCTAAATATGCTACAAAGGCTTTGAGAACGTTGGTCTTCGGCTCCTGCGCGACCCCACCTAAGGCCGAATGGGCAAGAACCGGGCTGACTCTACGACCATACGGACAAAGTTTGGCCTTTGGACTGAGAGCGCCGAGGAACACAACGAGAGGCCTCGTCACTGCGGTGCAAGCTGTCATGCTAAAGCACTTTTTATTCAAATGCGACAGGCAAGAATTTCGCACCGGACCCGAGACGTGAGTGTTTTTCAGCGACATGTCTCATATATATTTTTTCTTATCGTTACGCTCGTAACAAAGGCTCGAACTCTGGTCTGCTGGTATTCTTCGCACTACGAAGAATCCTGTGTCCTGTCTTTTTTCTCAATTGCAGTCTGCTGAAGCCTTCGTACGATCGGCAGATCGAGGTCTTGACTTCCGCGATATCAGAGATCATTTGGCGTTGCGCCGGCGGCTTCTCTGTGTCCACATATCCGAACGTAGTCAGCAACATCGTGCCAGAGGCCGTGGTGGCTCTGCCACAGGAGACACCGTATGTTCAGCATAGCGTGCAATATTTCCAGGATGGATTAACGGAAACGGTATGTATCTTTCCTCGTAATATGGACTCCATCGAGAAGAGTTTGCGATCGTCAACCGACGATCTCTTTTCTTCTTCGTGAGCGCGAATGAGAAAGCACGCTTCTTATATCGCATACGCGCAGAGAGAGAGAGAGAGAGAGAGAGAGAGAGAGAGAGAGAGAGAGAGAGAGAGAGAGAGGGAGAGGGAGAGGGAGAGAGAGAGAGAGAGAGAGAGAGAGAGAGAGAGAGAGAGAGAGAGCGAGAGATAGAGATAGATATGTGCTCGTGTGCAAAGTACACGAGCTTTTACATCGTGCGAATGAATAACCCGGTGAGACTTTGCCTTTCACGCAAATTTGTGCAATTAATGTGCGACGAAACGCGACGACAACATATGTCAACTTATAATACGTAGCACTTATATTGGCACTTGGCCAAGTGGGTTAGGGTTAGGGTAGTTTCGAGATCGCGCGACCGATGTCAACAACGTATCACGAGACGCGCTACTCGATTCTCTCGACGACGTTATCGCACCGCATTCCCTGAAAGGTTTGTACTTTCCAGCTGCACCTCTTCGAGTTCAACTCCTTGGAGAATCTCGAGATATTTATCAAGAGATACTTGTACTTGGTGAGTATTTACACGTCGTGAAACTCAGATACTTTACGCTCTGAATATCAGACAGCTAGTACTTACTAACTGCAGAGCAATATCGTGCATCGTTTCTGTATCAAGTTTGAAACTCTCAACTGTCTTTCATCGCTTTATCTGTCTTCAATAAAAGCGGGAATTGACTAGATTTGTTAATATTGATGTTAGTATCTGTATATAATGTTTTTTTATTACAAGATGCAAAATTATTTTATTTTTCCTTTTTTACAAACAAACAATCCTTTCTTACGAGGATTCTTACGAGAACAACGCCAAACGCGCTTCATTTACATTCTTTCAGTTTCACGACGAGGGCGGACCCGGTGCAGTGTTGCTACTGTATAGCGCAGTGCTGTCAAGAGGTCTCTCAAAGTAAGATATTTTATCTTGTTTTTTACTCATCGACATGATCTTATTCTGGAGCAAAAACTATCTTCTGGAGTTCTGGAGCAGAAATTATTTTTACTTGACTACTCCAATAAATTGATCTGATGTAAGCACTTATAATCCTCCCCTCCTCCCCTCAGAGCGCGGAACGATTTAGAGGATCCGAAGGCATCGATCCTCGGCGGTTGCACGGAGGAAGGTCCGATTAGCGTCGTCATCTTCATTCTGACCGGTCGTGCTTCGCCGCATCTTCACAATGGAGTACTTCATGTTGGCGATGAAAACACATACGTAAGCCACGGTTCTAAAGTGTCAACGCGGATCGTTTCAATGTTGATTAACACACCGTTGGTTAAACTGACTGAAAACAAGTGATTTCAACAAGCTACTTTTTTATCAACTTAAAACTAATGCAATATTATTTACAGGCTGTGCCACAGTGGGGAGTTCTCATGAGAAGCGAAGTGGGATTTTTAGTACACGAAGGCGACAGCGGTGTGAGCAAGCAACTGGGTTCTCGTCTGAAGACACCCAGTCTACCGATATGGGTGACTCTCTGCCTCGGCCATCACGGGGTGCTCTTCAACACAAACCGAGAGTTGTTGAGAAACTATCACGCGGAAAGACGGTACGCACACATATATCGCATATATTACGGTTTGTCAATGAGAGAACAAACGCCGTAAGCGGAGGCTTCAATTCAAAATCCATTATTAGTTTACGAGTTTATAGAAACTCGTCTCGGCTTTAGGAAATCTCACGCTACATATAAGTGTGTTGAAGGTTCGAGATTCAATATTTCACCTGCGGCGGTAGTCACGCTACGTTAACGGTGGACACCAGGGCGAACGAAGCTTCCGGGGCACCAGATGCTGCTGCAATAGAAACCGCTGACATCGCCGCGACACCGTTAGAGAAACTCATTCGATCCAAGTCAGTACATATTATGTGACGAATGTAAATGCGTTCAGAGAGATCTCAATTTCATTCTCCTCGTAAGAGCCAGAAAAGATCCTTATTATCCTTCGTCGTTGATAAATAATCACACGATATCCGCGAGATCGCTTACTTTCGTAGCGCAGAATTCGCCGAGTCAGTTCTTTTATCAACTTGCTGTTTCACGCTGCGCTGAAGGTGGCAGGATGCTCTGATACAATGGAATGGAACGCCTGTGATGTAAAAATGTACGAGAGGATGACTGCACACCGGATCTTTTTCTTCCCGCGTTGAGCGCTCGTGATCCACATGATTCCACGCGACGCTAATCGATCAACGTTCCTCTTGTCGATCACATTCCGCATAGTTAAATCCGTTAAAAGCTTTCAATTGTGACTTTCAGTGAACGACCGGTAGAAAGTATTTGTATCGCAATATTACAAACACAGCTGCATTATCAAACACACAGTAGAAACTATTTGAATTCGCCTAAATAAATATCTACTGATGCCGTATATCACGCGACTTGTGCCTTAAACAACACTTGGAAGAGAATCATCTCTCTTTTATATCCCTCTTTAAGAAGACCTCTTGCATCTTTTTAAGAAGGAAGAGTACGAAAAACGTACGAGTTCGTACGTGAGAGAGTGGAGAATTGTGGCCGAAATGTGACCCAAATGTTCGCTGACTCTTCGTCGTCTCTCTAGAGAGATCGGACGTACTCGGATGTACCGTCCAGTCACGACGAACAACAAACTCGTGCCGGCCGAAGTAGCCACGCGATCGCGTGAGAAACGATAAGTACGTCTCCTTCAAATTACACGCGCGTGCAGTATCGCGATGCACTTACTACTTACGTGTCGGACTCGGATAGTATCCGAGATAAGGAGAAAAATTTCTATTTTAATCTGTCGCGATGTCTCATCGCTATGATACGTATATAAATACTTCCTCAAGACACACAGTAAATATATTGCTACGTCGATACCAAGCCGGAATAAACCCGAAACACGTGGACACGTGGAAACACACAATTTCGGAATACAATTTCAGATAGGGGACCAACAAGGAGATAAGTGCTGTCCTTTGCGTCGTGGGCACACTCGCGGGCACTCGAGACACACACTTTATACATAGCTTTATACATACACACACTTTATACTGGGCAGTTGCGTTTCAATAATTAATAAATTGCGTGTCCCGATCGTCGATGCGCGGATGCACCGTTAGTTAGAGCCATCTTCTTTAAATCGCTCGACAATGGCAGAAACTGCCTTAAAGTGGAGGCCTTAAGACGAACCGATGTTTATTAACTGCAAGCACCGTGCATAATAAAAGTCATTCCTCCCGTCACTGTGCAGAGAGGTAAGGGAGAAACGTACAGCGCCCGCAATTTCACAGACCGATGATCCGCGAGGGACACTTCGCGATACCATGCCGCGCCGCGCCGCAAGTCTCGTTCCACTTGCCGTCCACGTTTCTCGCACGTTAAATCGACGTTAAATCTTACGAACTGTTAGGCAAAACGAGACACGTTTGGCCATGCGCATTATCCAAAATAATTGCGTTCTTTTCGCAGCGAAACGACGAGCTGAGCTCGGCGAACAATTTACCGGCTCGTTTTGCCCAGCGACTTATTCGTACGTATTTGTTGCGTCATTAAAAAGTTGGATGTGTTACGGAAAACGCGAGCTTTCATTTTCATTTTTTTTTCTTTTTTTATAAAAAGTATTTTATAAAAAGTATATAAATCTAAAATTTGAATTATTATTCGCGGAAAATGAAGTACTGCCAACTTCTTTAAATTAAATAAAGCTGTGTTCAACGATTAATTTGTGTCTTTCGAGATTAATTAATGTGTTGGAATTCTCGATATGCTCATTATTACGCTACTGAAATGTGAAGCTGATAATTTTTCAAGTAATTCTATCACGTAATTTGGTACCGAAGCTTTCTTTCATTTTTGATAACTAACATAAACTAATTATTATTCTTTTTACACACACAATTACATTCTTTTCCCTACTTTATATTTCAACAATTTGAACATGTAATTTCTTATCTCCTTATTTCCACTTAAAAGAGCTTCTTTAGAGGGAACTTCCCGAAGAGACCGGATGTTCACACTCCCATGCCCCGGTAAGGTATGCCCGTCGCAGTCCTCGAAGAACCCTGCGGATAGGGGTCAGTTATGCGTGAGAATATATACATATATATATATATCTGCACAACCACGTCCGTTTCCCCCATGTATATGAAAGCAAACACCTGTTCGCGGTGAGGTTCGGGTAGACGTTTCTGTTGGTCACCGCGGTCCCCCCTTTCCGACAATGGAGAGCCCCGACTTCCCGAGTGCCGCTTCGACGCTTTGCCCGACAGCTCCGTTTTGTAGTAAAGAGTTCCACAGCCCTACAGCGCGGTCGTGGTCGAGTTTAATACAAGATAGATCCAGGTCGATCGTCGGCTGCCACGAAGTGCGCAGCATGTTATGTGTATGATGTGTATACCACTATTCAGGCAAAACGGGATGAGTAATGAAAGAACTAATTTCCCAAGTGAGTTTTGAGTTGTGATCTAGTTGAAAAAGAAGAATTTTACAGATATATATATATATATATATATATATATATATATATGCATCAGCGTTGCGGCGTTAAACTTGCAGAAACTTTGTACTTGCATCTGTTGCGAGAGTGAAAACAAGTGTGAGTTAAAAAAATGACCAACCGCATTGATCGGTAAAGACTAGCAAGGGTGTGTGATTCATAAAGCCCGTTTCATCGCAAACGACGCTGACTAATCGAGTGCGTGGTGCGTGGTGAAAGAGGATTAACCGCCGTGGGATTTAGCGTGTTCATGAGAAAAACGAGGATCTGCTGAGAGGATTATTCTTCAGTCTTCCCGCGCAACGAAATCGCGTATATATGAACGACGGGCTTCTACCGAGCGAATTTTGTGGTAAATATCGTTTGCATTATCGATCTTGGCATGCTACATTAAACGTACAAACAAACGTTCATTTCGTTCAATCGCGCGCAAAAACGCTTTCAATCACTTGAAGCGGGGGATTTGAATGACTGAGACTGTCGATACCGAACTGGCACCGACCATATTTCTTTTCTTTTTTTCTTTTATACAGTTATCCGCGCTAGAGCCGAGAGCGGAGGCTCTGGCCTTTTACGCCGGTTGCCCATCGCATTGCGTTTCAATTTACGGTCCGTGAATTTAAGCAGTATACCGCGCCCCACATAACCGAAGCATCCGGCTGATCTTTTCTGTGGCGAATCCAGTTTCTTTGTACGGCGTCTGAATCTCCCCCTTCGATCACTTCCGTCGCGTGATGCCGAAAACGTCCCGCGAAGAGCGCGGTTGAGTCAATGCGCGGAAATGCAAACTATATATTCCACTCTCTACATTCATGTGCATCAACGTTCTTTCACAACATTTCACAACTCGGACGTACGAGAAAACAAGAATTTATTGGTGCTGGATCTATCAGAGAGACTCTTTTAACAATTGCTACGGAACAGATATGGTAATATTGTAGTAAAAATGAACATTTTATTTGTAATATAATGTTATTTATAATAGTCGGTGAGAGACCGGTTGGAAATTGAATCGAAATAATAATTACAGCGACAAAGTAACGATGAAGAAATTAAACTGGCAAAACTTCATTTTTACAACGTCGAGTCGTCGAGGTTGTAAAAATTTTGCTCGCATGAATTCGAAAAACGATATAGTCAATACGTGTGGTTATCGCCGAGTATCATCGGTAAACGGCGAAATGCAAAAGCGAACGTTGATCCGTCGCGCTTTCTCGCATTAACGGCAGCCCGAAGAAGCTCGCTTCCTTCTTTCTTTCATTCGAACGTGAAAAGTAAGATCGCGATATAATCTCGGTGTTTTAAGCTAGCTTAAAAATGAATGACTACCGAGTTCCCGGCTGTGTGTGGCACAGCACGCGTCAGACAGACAAACAAAAGAAATTAGAAAAAAGAGAGAGAGAGGAGGAGATGAAGATACGTGCACTAGCGCGCAAGTATACGCAAGACGAGAGTGCAAGGTGCTAAGAGCTGTCTCCGGTGATAAGTTGCGAGTCATTCTAGCCCTAATGACGTGTAGTCCCACATAGTCATAGCTCCACGTAATAAAAGAGTTTCTCTGCATGCTTTCTAACCACGCGTTATGCTTGTGTTGCAAACGTGTGTTTCGTCGTCGGAGACGACGTGGAGATGGTCGGCCGTGTGCCCACCGCTTATATTCACCTTACACCCGCCCGTTAACGCAAGACGACAAACTCGATTACGTACGTTGTCCGCGCAAAATTGCTACCCGCAACATCGCTGATGCTGAGCCCGATCCGTCCCCGAAGAAATGCAGCGAACGAGCGGACGAGCGAACGATCAAATTTACGAAAAATCTCTCTCTCGTCTCGTCGTTGTGTCCAATCGCGGCGCCAGATCGCGCGGCGGTGAAATCTGAGGAAAAATCTCGGCGCGGAAATGAGAAACGTTCCTTCCGCGGAAAAACAATAAAAACATGATGAACGGTACGATGACTCCGCGAAGCCGTATGGGTAGAACGCCGGGTAATGACGCAGAATAACGACGGATCGAAGGTATCTTCTGGGAAAGATATCTTCGTTCCTCCGTGAGAGCCGCGAGAGGAGCGAGGAAAAGCAAAGGCCGATTGCGCAAACGTGATGACGCCTGGCATTGACGTCGGCCCGGCATTCGTCGCTTCTGTCTGCCCCCCCGTCGTCGCTTGCGTTGCTTGTCTACTGACACTCTTCTTTTGCAGATGCGTCGGTCGGCGAGATCGATGGACGGTGATCTTGAACCGCCATGGGGCGAAACGTATTGAGGATCTTGCTGTTCCTCTGTTGCGCGCTGCAGCCGCATGTCGGCCAACGTAAGTCCACCTTGACTCGACCGCCGCCGACGACATGAGTGTCGTCTTCCCTCACCGCATCTGCTCCACCTCCTTCGTTTCCACTGCATTTCGCGCGTTTAACAAAAAATGATGAAAATGATGAAAAACGAAGCGATAAGGATGAGGATGACGAGCAACTCACGAAGCTGTATCTCGCATTGTATTACGCCTTCTCGTGACTCGCGCTGTGCTCTCTGCGGCATTCGCCGTTCCGGCGTTTTTCGTTTCCCCGCACCCAAACGACCCAAACGACGTGCAAACGACCAACGAGGAGGCGCGTTCGTCTATGCTAGAGAAGAGGTTTGCGAAAGAAGACGGCGCGCTAACGTTGCGCCGCGACGATACGCCGCCATTCGGGTTCCGCGACCGGATCTCCGCTCCAGGGAAGCGCGCATACGCTCTACCCTCTCGCATACGCGTTAAACAGCCCACGCGTACGTATTCTCGTACCTCCAGCGTCCTTCTAGCGCCCGAATTCGATCAATCGGAAATAACGAAGCGGTCGCCACCAGAAACGACGTGGCGGGCTTTCCAGCTTGTCCAGCGAGTCGCGCAAAATGAGAGAAACGATCGCTTCGAGAACGAAGCTAATTCCTCCTCATTCTCTATTTCCACTCCTGTCTCCGCGAGAGAAACGCGGCTTGGCTCCCTCGCGAATCATCATTTATGGAAAGGAACGTAGAATTCTCGCGCTTCGCGTACGCTTTAGGTTACGGAGTTACGTTACGAGTTAAGTTTACGGTAAATCTAATTACTCTACGACGTAGCGCTTATGCGGTATGCGCGTATTCACGTGAGATCGTTTGGAGTCATTAAAACACCTGCAATTAATAACTAACTGGACAGCGTGTATTACGAGTAAGTGGGTGTGCTAATAGCGCCAGTCCGTACGTGTAAAATAATCATGATTCACTGTTATAAGCTAAGGGAATGAAGAAGGGAGCTACTCTCTCTTTATACATCGCTTTAGGCTTAAAAGTACAAAATACGTGCTCTCTCATGTCTCCTTGAATGTCTTCATGAATGGCGCACCTTTCCACCTCGCGCCATTCGGTAACGTTCAGTTTTCGGTTTTCAAGCAAGAAAATATAACGAGCAGCTCAATACGAATTGACTAATGATTAGTTTCAACGAGATATTTGAATGACTCGATCGGGACTCTTGTCACAAGTAAAATGTCTTACGCAGTAATTCGAGACAAGCGATGCTTCCTGAAAAGCGGAGACACCGCGGTACAACTCTTCGTCAGCGAGGATCTGCCCGTTGGCGACATCATTGGAACCCTCGAGGTGATAGGTGACCCAAGCTCGCAGGGTGACATTGCGCTGAGGTTGGAGGTCACAGACAAGGATATCCCCGTCGCGATCTTGCCGTACTCGAAAAACTTAACGCTCATCAAACCGCTAGACAAGGAAGGCGAGGAGGGCCCAGCCATCGTCCTCATCAACGTCATCTGCAAGAGGAAACCTCCCTCAGAGTATGAGGTGAAATTGTCTCTCAACGAGGGCAAATTGATTACATTGCCATATATTACTATTAATACGTCTGTTTTATGTGCATCAAGAAAGTGTCTATTTCATGTCCATTTAACTCTTTGTGTGTGTGGCATTGACAAGTATACTTACCACCTTTTTCTCTCTCATTCTTATGAGTGTACTGTCTGCTATTTGCAAACCTAATGAAAATAAATATGATCTCATATTTTTCTGATACATTACTTGCTCACTTTACATGTTTCTCATAGTTTTTATATTGAATTTGCCATTTTGAATTTTTGAAGTCTGACTTCAGTCAGACCCAAAAAACATAGATCTGAATGCAAGATTTTGCAGAAATCTGTCAGGTAGAAAAAATGTGCCACACAAAGGCATTGTTAACGCATTGTCGATTTCATCTAGCTCCGGTTTGGCTGGAAATCGTAAACACGTTATGGACACGCGCGATTCTTCTTTGCGTTGGTATTTTTTCAAACAGATTGTCTGTGATGTTTATGAAGGAAATTAGCATACCAGTGAACATTCGCGTGAAGGACGTAAACGATAACTCACCGCAATTCATCAATGCGCCTTATGTGCTGAATATTTCCGAGGTAAAATGCATTTTTCTTTTATTTTATGTCGTGCGATAACCAATTATTAATTACTAAATATTGAAAAGTCTGTTGAAAGTTCCAAAACACAACTTATTACACGATTGTTTTAATATCTCCAGTAATTTTAATATTCCATTTTTTTTGCGTCTTTTTTTGGTTTTGATGTCACTGCATGGATGTTCACAATTAGGTTACCGTTGTCGGCACAAGAGTTTTGCAAGGAGTTCGAGCCGTGGACGCTGATCAACCGGGACAGTATTCCACGGTGCAGTACGCAGTGCTGCCAGGAGCACATTCGGTAAATTTTGTAAACAACAGTTTAACAATTAAATTAACCATTTCCATATTTTATACTGCTTTATCTATTTGTTATATATATATATATATATATATTCTTTTCTTTTTTTCTGTACAAAGGAGTATTTCGTCTTTGTGAGTGCCTTGGAAGGTACCCTCGTCCTGAGAAAATCGCTGGATTACGAAACTCTCACTAACTTCTCCGTTGGCATTCGTGCCCAAGTGAGTGTTTGCTTGCGTTACTCGAAAGGAAGAGAAGATTGAAACTACAATTTGATGAATCTAGCATGATTTCTGGGGTAGTTGTTCTCGCTCAATTCACGACTGTCGAGATTTCTACGACTGAACGATAACGGAGTTTAACGTTCACAGAGTACTGGTAAATAGATCGCAACGGGCTCGAATAAATTGATTCGCATGATCGATGCGTATCGTCACGCAAGACCGAGCGAACGATAATCGCAGAGAATCCTAATGGGACAATGCTTTCTCCATCTATTTCTCACGCTCTGTGAGCCCTGTGTCAATAACAATAACAAGAAAACCGAAAACGCGCCGACACGACTCAATTGCACGTTATATTTATTCATATAGTATCATACCTTTTTAATCCTTTAACAAGGATTTTACAACAGTAAACCTCTTCCCTTTTCACAGGACCAAGGTAATCCACCTCTATCATCGACGACAACATTGTACGTTAACGTTATCGACGCCGACGATCAGAATCCAGCTTTTTTAAACGAACAATATAAAGTCATTGTACCTCGTCATGTAAAAGAGGTAAGATTGCGATCAAAATTAAAAAATTTGCCAAGATTTCAATCACAAAATGAAAATGCAAATTTGTATATTGTTATTAACCATCGAAAAATTGTTGAAAAGTGTTACACTAGATATTATTATCTATAACACTCTAAATATTATTATACACCTGCGACACACAAGAAAACGCAAAGATCTGACATTGGAATAGCAATAGAAATTACACGGAGATAATCAAACTTATTAACGTAAAGGGAAAATCGCTAAGAGTGCTTCCTACGGCGATAAAGGCCGCTGATCAAGATGTTGGTATAAACGCGCCGGTCCGATACACGATTCAAGGTGCGATTCTTCCTTTCCTGAATCTGGACTTTAAAACTGCCGAAATTGCTATGATCCGATCATTACACGAACACGAGCTAACATCGCCAGCAACTATCGTGATCAAGGTAACATAGGAAATGACCACTTTAGTTCCTGTAAAGATTCTTTTATACTTTACTAGTAGATACAAAACATATAAAGTTCGTTTATTGTTCATCAAATAATAGGCTACCCAAGTGGATAATCCTGATAGATATGCTCTTGCCACAATCGTTGTCTCGCGAGAAGACGGAGTCGGTCCTACAACTGTCGGTAAATATCTGTTTGGTGTATCAATTATTTCATGTATTAATTATTTTTCCCATCGATACTACGATTTTAATTAAACATACGTCATTTTACGTGTGCAAGATTGCGTGTGAAAGATTAACAGAATGATTAACTAGATCAAACAATTGTCAACTTGAAGAAAGATTTCACGCCGACGCAAAATTAAAGTACATACGTTTATGGACTCTAGGTGGTCGTTTACCCGTCAAATTCGTGCTGAAGGATCATCAAACAAGCGTGCCGGAGGACACGCCGTCTGGAACAGTCCTTCTAACGACGAGAGTCAACAACACCGGTGCCAATGTAAGTAGTAAAAATGCTACAGCGACACGGATCAATTGCGACCTAGCAGCGTAGTACAAATTAATTAATTCTAGGATCTGAGATTCAGGCTGATGGGCGCGTCGGAGGACCTCGAGCGATTCTTCATCACCAACTCCGGCGAGTTAATTCTTAGAGGCAAACTGGATTACGAGCGACGCGTCCAGCATAATTTTTTGGTTTACGTCACCGACGGATATTATGTACGTATATTTCCCGACTGGTTAGCGAAGCTAGACTAGTTGGTATAGCAGAAGACATAAAAAATATATACTATATACTGTACGTAAATATTCAAAATATCGAATTAGTCAATAATTTCGTACGGTCTTTTGCCTGTAAATGTAAGGTGATTTTTTTAGGAAGATTTTTATGAAAGAAAATTTTTTTCTTTATAACTTTAGTCGATGATATAGGATGTGTGGTGCTGTCGGGAGAAACGATATCAGAACTTTATGTAGTCAATAAATTAAACGTATACAACAGAAAAGGAAAACACGCTACGCGTCTTAATTGCGCATACGAAACCCTTACGAAAAAAATAGTCAAATACTGAATATTTACATTCAACATTTTGTTCGAATTTGCTCTCAAACATAGGTACATATATGTACTCAAATTCGAATGTATATGACCATATTTGAAGGTAAATTCGAGCAATTGAGTGTAAACACTCAATATTTGAATATTCTTTTCCATAAGGAAAGACCTGTTGTGTTTTATTTTTCGAATATCGAAGTCAAACGCAAAAGCCGTGTCTATCTCGTATACCATATTATATCTTGTCGTCTCTCTCTCTCTCTCTCTCTCTCTCTCTCTCTCTCTCTCTCTCTGAGCGTCGCCGCGGCTGACTTTTACTCTGTCCTTCTTCCTGTTATTTTCTCGTCAGCATTATAGTAGTAGCGATATCGAAGAGAAACAGTAGTGCGGTATGCACTATCCATTCTTTATTCTTAGTCTGTGCAACCAATTGTGCAACCTATACGAACTCTCCTCAATCTCTGCGATCTATAGTCATCGGCAGCTAAGCTATACGGAATTAATGGGGGACCGATCTAACATATAAATATATAAATATTAAATTTCTCAGAATGACACGTCACGTGTGAACATCTCGGTCGAAGGTGTGAACGAGTGGGATCCTCGGTTCCGACATGCCCGGTATGAATTCCACGCGCGTTCCTTGAGAGAAGGCTCCGTCGTCGGTAAACATTCTCTTGAATTAAACATCAATGCCTGATTGCCGTCGCTCGATCGAGTGACAAAAAATGCATGACTCTTGCAGGGAAATTAGAAGCGGCCGATGGCGACAGAGGCGAGAAAGTCAGTCTATCTCTCAGAGGACCGGATGCAAGGTACATGTATATGTCGGAACTAATTGATGTAATAACGGAAATTAATCTAATAACTAATAAGGAATTGGCCAGAAAATGGCACGAATTAGATTTTAATCATAAACTCTCGTGACTCTGTCAGGTTCTTCGAGATCAGAGATAACGGGGAATTGGTGCTGAGATCGCCAGGTCCTTTCAACGGATCTCTGGCTCGATTGGTAGCGGTGGCATCCGACAGTGGAACGCCAACTAAGTATTTCTGTTTCTACGTTTCTCCTCGTTTGCATTCCCAGTAATCGGTCCAAGTAGTAATTTGCCTTCGCGCGCAATTTCTCCAGATCCGCCACGACCCAGGTGATCGTACACATACCGAACGGCGGTTCGTTGCCAATCGCCGCGAGAGCCGCACCCGCTTGGCTCGGGAGCAGCGTGCTGTTGGTCGCAGTTTTCGCTGCGGTCTTGGGCCTCCTTGGTGTCGTCATACTGATCCTCATTCTTTATATTTACAAACAGTGAGTAAACATATCGACGAATCGAGATGTTCGAGTCGAGCGAAGATATCGAGACTTATTACTGTACTGACAAAGACCGAGAGATGCAAAGTGACATCTAATTCATAATTTATATCGTCGACCTTTTTCTCTCTTTCAAGCAAAAGACCGAAAAGCGGCGGTTCAGTCAGCTCCGTGGGTACCGGATATCGCGAGAAATCACCAGTGCCCTCGGCTCTAAGCCCGACGCCGCAGGTGCTAGGTGCCAACGTCCTCCAGGACGTCTTGGAAAGCCCACGCAACCGACGTCGCGCGAGCAACAGCAATGAAAATGATAACATGCAGAACCACAACGACATCGACAATCCCGTCCTCGGAGAAGGCAACGGAGAGGGCTCATACGGCGCCACGATAAGAAGTATGTTATTTAAATTAAATATAAATCCAGACGCTAATGAATAAATTTGTCTTGACACTTCCACAACAACAGTTGATATATTTGGTCTTCGCTCTTCTTCATACGCATTTCTCTCTTATTTCTAATTATCTTCTCTTAATTTCTAATTATCTATTATAAATCTCTTCGAAAATCTTCGTCAACAGTGTCAAAATTAAATACTGATTCATTCAGTTTAATTAAAATAACTAATTTCTTTTTGCAAAAATATACCATATGTACTTCCTTCTCCACGAAGCGATTTTAGATTAAGTGTCTATTGAAATTACATCCCTATCGCGAAAGGATCAGTTAAAGTGCCCTTGTTCCTTCCTCATATTACAGGTATAGCATCGGCAAGGCAATTACCACTGTATGCTAGACACAAAGTGGCACCCGCCCCGAATCCGCCGCCAACTTTATCAGCGACTTCAAACATCCCCAATATCGGTGGACTGGTGCAGAATATGAACGACTTGAGTGCTAGGACTAACTTGGATGCGGGATCCCACGATTCTTCCAATTATTCCGGAGATCCCCCAGATTCTTTGGCGCCAGCGTGGCCTTCCAGCTCGGTTTTACCGAGGATCAAAAAGCTATCCTGGGACGACGACGACAGAGTAATTATCTTACATGATGAAACGAATTCGTGATCCTTTTGCTTAAAAAAATATGAAATAAAAAATTTTTAAACTTGAAGCACACAACAATGCATAAACGCAAACAACGAGCAAAGAGCATAAACAACAGAGAACGTAGGATTCTATTATTTTCCAGACTGTGGACAGTGTCGAGGTTGCGGCAGAAACGCGCGCCGGAAGCAGTCAGACCGGCAACGAGAGGCTCAATCTTACCGTGTACTTCTAACGAACGATTATTGTTAAGACGAGAGATGTTCCCCGATTGTGAATAGCCAGTGCGAATTACGAATGATTGTCATAAATACTGTTCGACCAGTCCAAGTTAAATAAAGTCTCGCTGATGCCGGAATTCTATGAATGAACTTGGGCGCATTTGCAACACAATGCGACCTCACACGCGTGTGTTCGGTCCACGGAACATCTGTGCTATCGTCTGTTGTCCTGTGTTGCAGCTTATTAGCGTTAACTCGCATTATCTCGAATAGATTATGTTTGCGATCTGTTGGCCGTGCGACATCGATCTCTGATGTTGTAGAATGTAGGTATTGATAATTGCTGAGAGAGAGCGGAACAATGAAAATGCTGCAGAGGATATAATACAGAGGAAGGAATTTGAAAGAATTTCATATTAAATATGAAAAAATAGAAGAAGAAAGAAGAAACTTGGAGAATAAAGGATTTTGAGATATAATTGGAGTATTTTTCCAATTACTTTATTAATATACCAATTACATCGAGAATCACATTTTTTCATATACTTAACACATTTTTTGTTGCTTTAATAAGACTAACGAGTTACTACGATTAGATTTGTACGTACGAAACATTATGTTATCTCTGTAACTCGCTGTTTTAAAATGTTTCATCTTAAGTAACGTAAACGTAAATATAAGGAAGACAAACGTTTCGAGTGAGAGTGCATTGCAGCTCGTATAAATCATATCGGAAAATGTAGTTGATCGTATAATCGCCCCTCGTCTTACGTTCGCGGTCGTTATCGTGAAGTTATCGTGTTCACACTTTGTTGAATGCTTTTTGTTAAAAACGTTCGAGAATATCCGAGAAAACTGTGTCAGTGGGCCAATCTTCGCGAATATTTCCAGTAACGAGTAAATCAGTGAATACGTTCCTTCTCGAGCGGGATTTGAGACTCATTTTTCAAGAATCTCACCTTCAGTATTATTTATATTTCCATTGCCCATACGAAAAGTTTAAGGCTGCTTTTACGTGCAGAATTAAACAGTGATTTTGAATAACATTAGACAATATTACGTAATAATAAATTCTCTTTTTCTGCATAAAAAATGTGTAATTCTCAAGTCGCTGGAAACGTGATGTCAAAGGAAGAATAATTAGTCCTGGATGTTTTTAAAACTAATTTTAATATCTATTACCGCAAACGGTTTGCACCCGTTATTATATTTATGGAAATACGCGCATCAAATGGTTACAATACATCGCGACCAGTGTGTTTCATGATATTTACTGATGTGAAGTACATCGACTGTTTTCGAAGGCTACGTAACATCCGGCACAAATGCTGTCGTGTCCGGTAGCTGATTAAATCCTATCCGAGGTATGTTCGTCGAAGAAAGTGAGTCGTCTTATAAGAAGGGGAGAAAGTGACCCAGAGAGGTCTGGTCTACGGCTCGCGCGCGCACGACATCGTACTCGAATCTTTTCTTCTTCTCAGTCGGCCGTAACATTCGGTTGGGTGTGGAATATTCTCGATGCCAAGAGAGTTGTGCATAGAGAGTGCGGAAGTAAATAATCATCTTTGCATCTTCCATCCACAAGTGTTCTGTCATCGCTCTATTAAAACACACACATGTGTAAGTCTGTGCGAAAAGAGTGCGATGCATCTCTTAAGTTTCTTTTTAATCTTTCATTTTCATCTTTTGTTTTGTGTGAAATTGCATAAAATCAAATCTATCAAAATCTATACAACTATCCAGATTAACTTCAATCAGAAAAAAGCGGTCGACTTATGCGTCATGCTTATCCGATGTTTAGTCATGTAATGTATTCATGAGTGCACATTGGGAATTCCCGGCACACTCACATCCGGATCCAGCCATTATCTTGAAATACTGAAGGTCGTAATCTCCCTTGGAGAAAGTAAAAAATACCAGAAACATCGGATTCGACGGAAAGCGACGCTTCCTCAGTTTATCTCCGAAGTTATTCTCCGAAGGTTTCATCCTTGTTATTTACTTTCAGATCGGAGAACTGCAATAGAAGCAAAGATGAAACAAACTGTACAATCACCTTTTGTCATTATGCTTATTACGTTGATGGCAATCAGCACTGTGGTACTCGGTCAGTGCATACGTATCATACATAGACATTTATAACTAACCATAACCACATAACATAACATAACAAATAGCAATTAATATGCATATATTATTGTAACAATAATTCATTTTATAAAGACAAGATTAACGTTATCTTTAATTCCAAAAGTCGTTCAAAACAATTATACATATTGTTATAACAATATGCGTTAATTGTTATTAGAGAATTTGGCATCTCTTTATTACCACGATCACGGAAATATGTGTGTATATATACCATATATATATATATATATATATATATATATATATAATTTTATTTGTGTATTTAATTTTGTTTTTATTTGTTAGGCGTGCCATCTCAACTGGACAACTCATCGGCTGTTGCGACAAATCATGGTCCTTGGGCGGAAATTCTTGAAAACTGGATTACCTCTCAGTCGAATAATTCTCGTGCATCACGCACGATGAAGATCGGTGACAAGACAGTGTCGGTGTCGAGTAAAATCTCCACCGGGAATAAAAAAGACGTTTCCGAAACCGATCTTTATCTGCTTGGTATGATCTATGAAAAAAGAAAAAAGAAATCCCATGTGTATAAGATACATAAATTTATTTTAGTTTTTCTAAGATACACAGATTTATTTCAATAGCCACTAATACTGACTCAGTAGCAATTATATTAGCAACATAAGAGAGAAAGGGATCTGAAAGTCTTCTCAATGGAAATTTGTAGGTGCCATCGAGAAACTGGTGTACAGAGTGGATCATGTGGAAAAACGATTGAGAAGAGCGGAAGAGTTGTTGTATTACATTATCTCTGGCAACAACAAAGAGAAAGGTGAGTTAATTAAATGTGAAAAGAATAAGTAGAAAAATATTTAGAACGAAAAATAGCCGTGGTATTTAATTTATATGTTACAACGTGAACGTGTCATCAGCCATCTGACTTGTATATCATCGTTGCTTATCATCGTTATTATTATCATGCTTTTTACTATTATTATTATTATTATTATGTATATTATACTGTTATCGCTCTTTCAGAACCTTGTCCCGCCAATTATACAAGAATGGGTCAAAACTGCTATCACTTCAGCAACCGTGACTTCAACTGGAAATCGTCAGCCAGTCTTTGCCGTGGAATGGGCGGACATCTGGTCGAATTTGACACAATCGAGGAGAGCCAAGATGTAATTGCCGGTCTAACGTCAGACTTCAAATTAAAAGGAAAAGATTTCTGGACTGGAGGATTAAACCCAGGTCTTTTATGGATCTGGGCCAGCAGTGGTCGACCAGTCTATCAAGATACCAAACAACCAGTCATAGGTGACGGCAGGTTCGTATCATTCACTATTAATTTGCGCATTATTAATTCGTATTATTGAAGTCATCTCTGAGCATGGATTATTATTATCCATATATTAAATTTTTCATGTATAAATTAATTCTTGAAATCAGTTATTTTGCCCATATCGTGTAATTTTGTAATTTTGTAAGACGTCCAGGAAAAACATCATCATGATCATTTTATCGCATATTCTTATAGTTCTTTTTGAGACCTTTCCATTCATTTCTATGTGTTATATTCAATTCCTCTTGTGTTATATTTGCAACATTCTGAAATAAGCGGCAGAAAGTTTAGCGGCGAGAAGACTAAATGACATATATATTATGTTCAGTAGAAAAAATAACTTAATAAGCACCTTGCGATCTACTACCAACGACTTACTGCAACTGTTATAAGATTTTCTACGACACTTAGCGGTTTACCTACGTAGCTTTCTCCACAAGTTTATTAAGCGGTCCAGCATAACGCAAACTCGATCCAAACTATTCGTGGATCCAATAGCGCGATAATGACAGTGAGCACCATAAACCAGCGATAGCGCCAACGTTAACATTGCTGCGTTATATAGCGCTCTCGTTTTCGCGCAGCTTAAATACTTTTTCAATTTTAACATTCCGAAGATTTATTTGAACTGCAATTGTTGTTGCTATTATGTACATGAAAATAACAAATAGAATGTACCGAGATATCGTTTAACGATCACGATATAGTTTATAGCATTTTGGACGTTCGTGGAGTTTACATACGCCAGTAAATACTACCAGTAAGCACGACCTTGAAAAGATAGCGTTAATAGCGCGTAGTTACAACTTATGTACACGCTACTATTAGTGACATCGTGATGACACTTGTTAGCATTACCATAGCATACCAGTAGCTCCGCAAACAGTCTATACAGCTAAATAACACTAACAGCGTCTCCTTGAACACACCTTTCTGCTGCATCAAGCTGCTTTTTCTGCTGAATGTAATGATTAATACTGATTCTCGAGCACGCTCGCGTTCTTTTGTTAGAACCGTATCTATACCGCATTAAATCAATGTTTTTTTGTTTTTTAAGTATTATAACCACTTTAATTTGTATTCTAAGAATATTATTTTTATAGGTGTTTGAAATTATCCTATAACGCGTCGTCAAAGATCTACTCCTACAGAGGCGAGGATTGCGGCTCGAGACAAAGATACATCTGCGAGTTGACAGTCGACGACGAATCAGCGAACAAGATCAAGAGGGAAGTACGGTTATTGCTCCACAAGGATAATTAGTTGCGTTTAATGGCGAATGGAAATAGGAAGATGAAGGGAACAAAGGGGGCAAAAGATTATTCTTGTAAATATTATATATAATTTTATCAACTTATATTGTGACTTTCTTTGACAAAATAATTTATAAGTACAAATTATTCTCCCATACTTCAGGACATACAAGTTCTGTTTAAATGTACGCGAACTGTATACCTCGTGCGTGTGGATACGTTCCAAGTTCCGTTTACATAACATTACGCAACAACAGACATACATTAATATCTGTCGCAATACCTATTCGCAATACGTTCACGTGACAGCTTGTGTGCATGTATTTTTTCAACTACAAGATCGATTTTATTACTAAGTTTAAATCACAGGATTTCTCAAAGATTTCTCATCGCAAGATAGATTGTGCAATATTAACTTGGTGATAATACCAAGTGTAAAGGTTTCAATATAGTCCGTATAAATTCCCATTACCCAACACTAGTGCAGTACAATATCTTCGATAAGAGATAAAAAGTTATGTCCAAAAGTTGAAACATTTTAGTATTTTCAAAAGATATCCGTAGCATCCAACACCAGTGTATATGCGATATGTCCGATAAAAGAGAGAGAGAGAGAGAGAGAGAGAGAGAGAGAGAGTAGCACTCTCTCTAAATACACTCCCAGTCATTTCAATTCGTGTAATTGTTTTTCAAAAGACCAATCAACGTGTCGGCTATATAATCCAACAAATACCAAGTAACAGTAACATAACCGTTGGTTATAATTTCCCACTTAATAATGTACTATAATGTAAATGCAATAGAACACGTAGTGTTATATATATATATATATATATATATATAAAAGTTACATTGTTGAGTGAGAAATTATAACTGACAATTATGTAACTGTCACTTGATGTTTACTGAGAAATGATCTTCCAACGCCTACGCGAGTCTGTTTCAAAATTTTTACGAGATTCCCCTTAGGACATATTCTTTGCGGCGTGATGCGCCATTATCAGACTACGCTCGCCTTTGTTCACCAAGGACAAGACGCGTTCACTGGACACCACTAAGCCACCACTTTCGGAGATCGTGTTCTTAGCAATTTCGATATTGCTAGGGTTTGCACCACGGCAACAATCGTCGACAACGGCTAACCGATAATTCAATTGCAGGCCTCTCAAACATGTTTCCTTCACGCATACATCATAGGCTAAACCGCAAACATACAAGTGTGTGGCACCAATTTCCAACAAGATTTTTGTAAGTTCTGATTTATTGTCATTCGCGCCGAATGCCGAATATTCCTCAATATCCGAATCTTGACCCTTACAAATCTGAAGCATGAAAACCTTATTGCAAGAAACTGTTCGTAAATGTTAAAAGAACGGGAGAACAACGGGGAAACGTGTAACGAAGAGCACATTCGAAATGGTTTCGTTGAAAAATTTGCAAAGATATACACTGTATAGTTTATGTATAGGCTCTAAAGGTCAAGAATATTAAGAGAGTGTATAGATAAATTTTAAAAGGATTCATTATTCATTATCTCTTTAGCATAGTATATGTATTATTCATGTTTCATATATTATCATACATTACCTGTTTAGAAGAAGGCATGATTAGGAGATCTTTGTGCAGTTCGGCACCCCAAGTACCCTTAACGCAATGCTTCGGCCAAAGTACCTGCTTTATATGAGGTTGCGAAAAGATGACAGTATCGAAAACCTTCGCCGTTTTCTTAGTGACCTGTATTACGGTGTATAAATCAAGGTGGAATCAAGATAAAAAATGAATGCATCTCCGGATATACAAGCCCAGCAAATATAGATATATAACTGTTATATAATAATAATAATATAAAAATGAAATGTAATACGCCATATAACACGTATATTCTACAGACATTATAGACATTATACAGGGTGTTAAAAAAAAGTATACCGACAAACTTTGACAAAAGATGACAGAGAGATTACATATAAATAAGTAATATGAGAGAGGAAATTAATGAGTCGGAAACATATTGGCTTATTTACATATCTTCTATTATCTCTCAAATATGTCAGTCAATTTTCTCTTGACTTCTCATCATTCAACAGAAACAGTATAAAGAGCTTGTCCAATTGAATTATTCCATTTGAATTTACCTTACTATCCGGATGAAGTTCACGCATCATCAAGTTATCAAAAAAACTGATGTGGTCCTCGGGATGCCAATCAAGAGTGTATATCACTCTGTCCCAACGGCCTGCCTTTAAAAGTCGATTTATAGGTTCCACCACTTCTGCCGCTTCCTGGTTATAGCCGCAATTTCTAAGAGCTAATGCGCCATCGATAAAGTCATTTTGTACGTCCACCACCACCAAGACATTAATAGGATTTGCAGTAGTATGTATCCACTCGTAGCATCTGGAAATAGGAAAAAACCGGTTATGCTACTTATTATTTCTTCTCAAGGTAAAGCCGAATCTTAATGTTTATAATGTATTCTTCCCTCCGTTCCAGCCAACAGTTTCTTTGTTTTTACACACTCAAGTGTAAGGAAAAAATTATTAACGAATATTCTTCGATTCACATTTTTTCTATATTTTTTGTATAATATTCGCAGTTCTCATTGTTTATATATAATATTCATTTACTGATTTCGAGGCATGTTAGAAATATAATATATCGGCGAGATATCGCCTTGTAATCTGTCGAAATCAACTCGAAATAAAATATGCAAAAAGTTTTGTATTATTTACAATCTAATAAACGAACTAGTACCAACTAATGGTAACATAACATCAATGTTTTAACTTTTCATTCAGTAATGTAAGTGTTGTATGGCGCATGTTACGCATTTAGCAGTTATATTGTCGAATGAGAAAAAATAATAATAAATGTTAAATTATCCCCGTAAAAAAGAATACAAGAATAGAATATAACTATTATATAGCATAGAAGTTTGCACGTGATGTTATTACTGCTTATTAACGTTAAGATTACTGAAATTCTTTTTTTGCAACAGCAATATAACGCTGTTTTAAAATTGTTAAATCGCTTTGTTAGATGACTGATTATAACAGTGTAACATTATGACATGACAATGTAACACATTATATAACAAGAACAGTGTTCGCGTTACGTTCATGTTGTGCAACATTTTTTTATTCTCGCGCTAGCGCAAGCTTCACATCTTCTTCTTCTTCTTCGTTTTAAGCCTTTTTCCATTGCAAATAATTGCGAAATACGACTTTCTGTTTGATATATCTCCATAAAAATTAGTCCAAAGATAAAAATGTAAAGGTAAGGCGGGTAAACGGGGAACATTATTGAATTTATTATGGTATTATGGAATAAATTATATATTATAAAAATATATCTAAAATGTAAAGTCAATGCAAAAATATTTAATATTCTAATTATATAATTAATTGAAAGTCAGAAAGTATAAGGATTTATCTCAACATATAAAAGATACAGAAAGTATGTCTACTTGAAAACTATCTCAAAACCACCCAGTTCTTGTTACAGGGGTGATACTGCGCGCGCGCGCGCGCGTGCGTTCGTTACCTGTGCAACTCTCGCTCGTCCAAAGTACCGTCCGCGTCCGTGTCAAAGAGCTTGAAGATCTCTCGTACTTGCAATTCGTGCTCCTTTACTTCATCCATACCAAATAATTCGACGCACAAGTCCAGAAACTCCTTGTAATTCAACAATCCGTCCGCGTCGGTATCGAATTTTGCCCGAATCGCCATCGGAGAATTCCAGACAGCGTTGTCATTGTACGCTGAACACGACATGATCGATATCAGAATCTTTTGTACTGCGTTAATATATCCTTGGTTACGACCCAACCTCGATCCAAATGTCGTCGCAAACGAATCACAACGGCGGTCGACACCGGCAAACTGATGACAAAATGACAACGAGGCTCGTAGTTTAACGCGTAACTGTTCCCCCACCCTCCCATGAACTTCGAAAAAAATTCCCCTATTTGAGATATCAGCAATAGATCTGCTTAATTACTCTTTCCTTAATTACGTTTCCTTAATTACCAGCCTTCTTAGGCTTCTCAGTCATCTAACAAAGCGATTTAACAATTTTAAAACAGCGTTATATTGCTGTTGCAAAAAAAGAATTTCAGTAATCTTAACGTTAATAAGCAGTAATAACATCACGTGCAAACTTCTATGCTATATAATAGTTATATTCTATTCTTGTATTCTTTTTTACGGGGATAATTTAACATTTATTATTATTTTTTCTCATTCGACAATATAACTGCTAAATGCGTAACATGCGCCATACAACACTTACATTACTGAATGAAAAGTTAAAACATTGATGTTATGTTACTATTAGTTGGTACTAGTTCGTTTATTAGATTGTAAATAATACAAAACTTTTTGCATATTTTATTTCGAATTGATTTCGACAGATTACAAGGCGATATCTCGCCGATATATTATATTTCTAACATGCCTCGAAATCAGTAAATGAATATTATATATAAAAATAACCGAAACTTTATTATAATTTCTTCTTATCTAGCCGACATTAAATCTTATTAAGCTCTATAAAATACTTAAGGCTATTTTCACGAAAATTATGAGATACCAACAAAATTTATATAATAGGGCACTTACTATCTGATATATACGTATTATATTTTATATACAAATAGGAATAGCTCCCTATTTTATTTTCTGTTAAACGATTTCAATACATTTGAAAAATTGTTTAATTGTTGACTCAGATATAAATATATGGTGCAAAGCACTTTCTAAATATTATACTACTTTGTAAAGTTCGCTATGTAATATCACTTAAGATAAATAATGCAACTTGTAAGAGAATAGGCACTATTTTTAATCAAACATCGTTTATAAAACAAACACCACACTATAATGCTTATCATGTTCAAATTATAATTACATAATACAGCAGTTAGCTTGTATGGCAATCAATCATCTCTAGTCTCTAATTGACTATATACAAGCTCTTACATATTCTTCTCCTCTCTTTAGTTATGAAAAGTACATATTTTCGTAAACTTAATATGCATGATGGTAAATTGCAAATACAACAAACTTGATAATATCGTAATCTAAGAATTATTATTCTCTCATGGTGTAAACAAAAATTCGTAGATTGATTAAAATATAATGTTAAAAGACATTGCTATTATGAAACACTGAAAAGTATAAAGACGTAATAACCTCTAAAATGATGTAAATATTTGAGAAACATGTGGCGAATAATTAATATATTAAGTTATGAAAATATACTGAACAAAATTGTCAAAATGTTAAATCTATTCAAAGCTCGAAGCAAATTCCGCGTTATAAGTACCGGTCGCTTAAGCCACTCGTATCGCACGAACTTACACTAAGGTAGGGATAACAGAAAAAGTAAAAAATCATATATAGATACATATTTTGTCGTGTATGACAACACATTTTTAAACTTGTGCACAAAATAAAACGTCGATAAGGATTTCTAAAAATATCTTAAAGCATAGCGAGAAGAGAATATAAATAAAAACTATAAACATTTTGATCATAAACATTGGATCAAAGTATGTACATTTCATATTTGGATAATTGGAGTTATAAAGATAAGTATCTCACACACTTTTAAAATAGAACATCATAAAAAGGATAATATTAGCAACGATAAGATATAAAGGCAGTGGTATTTCTCTATTTCAGGCAGTGTTAAAAACGACATTAATAGCAATGTTTGGTATAATATCTGTATGCTATTTATATGCTTTAGCTTCTCCCTGCCCCTCTCTCTCTCTCTCTCTCTCTCTCTCTCTCTCTATATATATATATATATATATATATATGTGTATGTGTGTGTGTGTGTGTAATTTGTAGTTTAAAAAGAAATATTTGGCAAACGCTCTACTATTAAATACTAATTACGACCATAGAAAATGTACATGTTATTCCAATAATAAAAAAGAAAAGCAGACGATCCTTGAAAAAATGTCAAGATATACAATATATATATTTACATATAAGTAAACATAATATAAATAAATATTTTTCTTTTTATAGAAAATCTGTACAAATCTGTACTATGTGACAAACTGTTCACATGACTTCAGCATCGGATAAATAATTGCTGAATTACAAGATCGCAATGTATAAAAATTTTCTACTAGAAATTTAATAATCGTTGTAGTATATTCTTTCTGAAGTATAATACTGTGTGCTCCAATCTTAAAATATTATTTAAACTATTTGGAAACTTGCTCTTCCAAATTTTTGTCCTTAAGGCAGAATCTTTGTTATTTTGTGATATCTAAACCACTAAGCAAAGCTTTTCTGTCAGCCTCTATATCACTGGCAAGTTTACTAATGAAGGGATGTCTAATCTTGCCGTTCGTCGCAACAAAAAATTCTTCTAACTTCCCCAAGATGTTGTCCCTCTTTTCATATTCGAATGCTTGCATCATTAAGTCCAGTCTATCTAAGTCTTTCACGTACTGCGCTTCCGGGCTTTCCTGCTTCTCATATTCCTGATAGATATAGAAACGATAAACCATTAATAGACAAATCTATACCACAAAAAAGAGAAGCTTAATGTTTATTCTTTCTTATCAGTATATATCATATTAATCATATATCAATTAATTGTAATTTTAATAATTGGAGAATAAAACTTACAAACAAGTTCATGACATTTCTAAATTTTGAAAATTTGTTAAATTTTAAGACTTCTGTAATTGCGAATAAGAACAGACATTACATATTTTTCTTCCAAAACAGAAATAAGAGGAAGGGTTATAAGTAATTTCCTTACACGAAATATTTGCAATATCTCAGGTCCTTTATCACCTAACAATTTACAAATATCTTCCATAGCTTCATCTTCTAATCTGTGTTTTTCATCTGGTGGAACACCACAGTAAGGAGTTATATCTCCCACAATACATTCAGCTAAGTCATGAATTAATGTCATTTGCATTATTCTGTAAATTGGAAAATTATATTATATTATTAAATTAAACTGATGATTTTGATATGTTTCTACAATAAACACAGAGTAACTTTATGAAAAGTTAACAAATTTGTCAAAAATACAGATACAAATCATGATGAATATTCCATCTTACTTTGTTTTGTCTAAATTTTCTTTTCCATCTACTAGAAATGACAGCATTGCCATTCGATACATATGTCCAGCAATTGTTTCAGGATCAGATATATCTCGTTTTACCCATCCTGTCCTTTTCATATGCTGCAAACATATAAATAGAAATATTAGACACATAGAGAAATTCTTCCTACTTCTTTAAAAAATTTGATTTATTTATTTCTAAATAATAATATAAATATTTAATCATGAAAATATTCTGTTATTATTTTATATAACTGTATGCTGTATTTTATATAACTGTATATATATTTCAAAAACTTTGCACACTTGGATATACGTAATATCCTGATTCAAGTTTCAAAAATGTCATAAATATGTAAAAATAAAAAATATACTGGAAAGATACTTGAATTGCAAAACAAATAGCTTCTTACTTTTTTGTTCCAAAGTTAAGAACAAATACAATCAAAATACAATACAATTTACTTAATGGTTATATTAAAGTTGTGCCCATTAAGTATTAAATAATTTATTCCTGAGAAACAATATTGACCTCTGTACAAAAAAATAATAGGAAAATATTAAATATTTTCTAAACACACAATAAGTAAATTACACATCTATGTAACAAAAGTCAATGCATAAAAACAACAATATTAAAAAACACGTGATAAAAATTAATTCTAGATGAATCCTTTATTAAAACTGTTATAATTATATCATTTTTTATGTCTCTGTTGTTTTATTAGTTAAAAAAATCCTGGTCCCTTGTCTTAGCTATATCTGTATCCATCATATTTATTAACGCCACACACACAAAAGACTAACAGTGACCATTTTCAAACTGAAAACAAACATCATACTTGGAATACGGCAGACAATAATATTAACACAATAAAAAGCATGGATTTAACAAGCAATAACACTATAACACTTGAGATTCTGTAAGAGACATATGTTACATAATTGCAATTGACGTGCAGTTTTTCATGAAATGATTCCTATACAGACGGCATCCGGGGATAAGCGAGGGAATATGCAGAAAGAAATATAACTGATATAAATATCAACGCTGAATGAGATGAAAAACAAATTAATAATCAGAGCATAAACGCCAATATATCATTTGTAATTCACCTTCAACCGGCCTACTAGCTCCATAAACTGCTGCAGCTTTTTTGTATCCATCACAATCGATTAAAAATTTCACGTTAATCTCACCGTTACTGACAGGCCTGACCGGTTCCTGAATCGAAAATCCAGGAAATAGAAGGATAACCAAATGTTCGTCATGGAGTTACCAAATACCGGGAACAACATTACTCTAGTTTCGACATAGCAATCAGATGAGAGTTTCTGCAATACCGCCTCTCAGATATGGTAAACGTAAATTGTGAACGTTATTCGCTCAGAAATAACGTCGCAACATACGCGACCAATAGCATTCACGAATTACATTTACCTGATGGACGGTATTACAAAAACTCCCAATTATTAATCAACCCTGAATGTGTTGAAACCTATGGCCATTTTTCAGCAAGAAACGCCGTTACGCAAAAATACTTTATTGGCTATGCATTGTCTAAAACGATGTTGTAGATAACATGTAGCCAATAAAACACTAATGTATAAAGCCAGCAGCACACGATGCTTGTTTTCGTGCTGGATTGTTTGCTAGATGAAAATACTGCGTTCCGATTGGTACGTTTCCGAAGATGGATGAAAATGCACCAATCAGAACGCAGTATTTTCATCCAGCAAGCAATCCAGCACGAAAACAAGCACCGTGTGCCGCTGACTTTACTTCTTACTGCTTACTGCCATTGTAGACCACGCTTCAGACCAATAACGTTGACGAATTATTCAACGGTTGCTCAACCGTTGAGTGTCGTGAACGCACCCGTTCTCATATCTCTCTCGCACCAACACAGCGGATGCATTCGTGTGACATTTCCGAACGCAGTTAAAGCCAGCGGCACACGGTGCTTGTTTTTGTGCTGGATTGCTTGCTGGATGAAAATATTGCGTTGTGGATTGGTGCATTTCCGAAGATGGATGGAAATGCACCAATCAGAACGCAGTATTTGTCTGTGAGTCAATCAACCGTACTGTTCCCGATTATAAACTGATTTATAAGAAGTGACGTGTGTAAAAGTAAATTCGTGAAAATAATTTTTTGACAAGAAATATTATCTTTAATATATCGGTGCGACCAGTTGTAAGAGTATTGAAACAGGATGATCAGCGAATAATTTGTCAATTAATTACAGAGTTATTTCGTACCTTTTTTCTTAGCTGATAATTTACTCTGACGCTGTCTACGAGACAATGTTCAACGACAGAATAACCACCCGCCCGTCAGCACAGCAACACTTTCTAAACTACTATGTTTGACTGATTCAACAGGTACTACTAAAATAGTACCAGGCAGTGAATGCGGTAAATCCCCGGATTCTACGTGACATTTTCATATCACTCGAACTTAGCACATTGGGGATTCACCGATTTTAAAGCCAACGGCACACGGTGCTTGTTTTTGTGCTTTCTTTTTATTCCCTTTAGGCCCAGTTGCACCAACTTTGGTTACTTTGGTTGTAAGTGAGACTTAAACATAAGTCTATCTTTATCTTCCTTACTAAATAAATAAAGACAGATATATTTAAGTCTCACTTAAAACTAAAATAATGTTGGTGCAACTGGGCCTTAGAGAGCCAGGGATACCTTACAATGTCCTGATTTCGCGAAAGGCCACAATTTGATTTACTTTATTACTCTTTAGTGACATTGAAACATTTTTGATAATTTTTTAAGCAAGAGATAACATAAAATAGATAAAAATATGACGATTGCTCGCAATAATCAGCAGAGGAAAACTGGCAATTAGAATTGGTGGTAGTGAGATCTAACTTGATAATTGATAATATTAATGCGATTAAACCTTAATGCGGAAATGTACAAATCTTTCATACTGAAAAGAAACGGTGAAGCATTAAAATTCAGTTTGCGAGGTTAAAACGTCTATGATGGCGTCATTCAATTCAATGAAAGAAATACATATATACAGTATAACAAACGTCGCAGTAATTTAAAGTACGTATAAAAAATGTTAATACAGGCGATAGCCGATAGATATATTCATTGCTATCTCTGTGCTATCTCTATTGCTATCACAAAAAATAACAGAGAATACCAGGGTCTCAGAGGACAGAAAATTAAAGATAACAGAGAGAGATACAACAAATAATGTATTATTTAAAAGATAAAACTCTATCCGGAGTAAAGATATATTGATAATTGCTTTAAACTTTATGAACAAAATATGATTAATATTTTTTGCGTTTTTCAAGGAATCTTGCAAATACAATGGCTGCAAATAGTAATATAACTGTGGAGGAACATTTTGTAAGTTTTATTTTAATATATGCAATCGTACATTAAAGGGTTAGTAATAAACTGTGAGGTTCTTGAATATTGCAAACTCAATTTTAAAAACTTATAAGCAATCATATAAAATTGTGTAATGATGTTCTAAGTTCCAAAAGTCTTAGAAGAATTGAAATATCTATTGATAATGAATGTTATATACTAGTTGCTTATTTGTTTCCTAGGAAAACATGAAGGATCTTGCTATTGAACAACAACAATGCTTCTATGAACTTCTCTGTGATTGCATGATATATCAACCTGGTGAACATAAATACTTGAAACAAAATATTGGATATGCACTTTTTGGCCCACCAAATAATAATGAGAATACAAACGAAAATAAAACAAATGTTTATTGTAATAAAGAAAATCACAGTAAAGATAAAGATCACAATGAGGATGAAGATGTAACTGATGCAGTAGATTATAAAGATGACGCTAAAGCTCTCATACATAAGATATATTGTAAGATACTTGAATATACTATAGAAACTGATTACGACAAACCAATTTATTGTGGTATAATTTATAACGTGGTGATATGTCACAAATTGAAGAAACCCAAAAAGTCAAAGGAAATAGAAAGTAATACAGAAGACAATGAAAACCTTACTGCAATATCTGTCCAACCAATCCCTATTTTTAAAACATGGAAATTTATAATGAATAAAGAAAAGTCTGTGGAGAAGAAAAAAGAAGCAACAGAAAAATCAACAAAGGCGAATGAAGAATACAAGATATGGTATATTGATACCACGGGCAGAGTATATGAAAATTGGGCAGATTATAAAACGAATAATAATCTCTTTGAATGTACAATGGTTCTTCCAAAAGATGGCACTTACCAACCAGATCCATCCTGTCCGATCACAGAAGACTATTCAACAGTTTGGCTTGAGATTATGGATTCACCTGCATGTTCATTGGCAGCAAAGGTTCGCAATGGAATGGATATTGCTTCCACTGTTACTGGAGCTGGAGCACTTACAGTGGGTGTTGCATCATTGTTTACACCTCTTGCACCAGTTGTTGTTGTTGGAGGTATATTGTGCTTCTTAACTTTTAATTTATACAACAAAAATAACGATTACCTAGTTTCCTAAATAATAATAAATAATAACTTTTTAGTCCAATTTTAGTTCTACAATCAAGTGATATTATAAATTAATATTATATATATATATATATTAAGCATCGATATTTTATGAATTACAGTTAATTGATATATTTAGTTGATTTTTATAATTATTAGGTGTTGTTGCTACCGGCGTGTCCGCTACTTGGGCGATGATACGAGGCACTCAACAATTAAGAGATCGAAGCGTCCACAAAGAATCTATTAATCCTCTAGATGCAGAAGCATTTCCACAATGGCTTACAATTACCAGCTCAGTGTTTGGTTTAGGTGCGATGGGAGGAGCAGCAGCTATTTCTGCTGCTGTTTCACGTGGTATGACAGTAAATACTGCCGCAAGATTAGTATTCAATACCATACAAAGTGGTAATTTGTTCTTAAATGGCATCGGTATTATATATCAGAGCTATTGCTTAGTAGATAGATATAGAACAGATGGAACAATTAATTATTTTGAAGTAGTAAGTATGGCGACGCACCTTATGTTCTTCGCCGGTACTGTGGTGAATATACAATTCGCGAGTAAAATTATCAGAAACAATCAAGGTAAAATTCTCGATGACTACAGACAAGGTTTGCGTAGCAAACGTCTCCGTAAACAATACAATCGCGTCAAACGAGTAGCAGCCGCAAATAATACATGTGAGATGTCTGAAAACGCAGAAGTGATACGGTACATAAAAAATCGTAATCAGCTAGCTTCTAATACTGCTTCTAATAACGCTTCTAACGCTTCTGTCGCTATTAATAAGACGACAGACAGTACTAAGCCCAGTATAATCATATGGACGATTGAAAACGGTATATTAACAGTTAATGGCATTCAATTATTGGATCCTCTTAAATTTGTTACTCAACTTATACGATCAGGCATGCCTAACGATTCTAATCAAGACAATACATCAAACAAGCAAAGAGATGAACGTGATTTCCAAACTACAAAACTGTGGAGTATATTGGATGATTTATTGTTGCAATTCAACTTGCGCACTAATAATTCCAGTAACAATATAAATACATCCGAATTTATTCCATTGCTTAGGGAAATGGATTCTTTAAACGTGAACCAAGACCTTCTGAAAAAATTGTTTAAAATCGCTATAAGATTAATCCAACATTCCCAAACCCCATTAGATTTTTTGCTTAAGACTATGAGATTTATTTGGTTGTATTGTAAGAAAAATTTTAAGCAGTGGGGTATACAGACGTGCCTTCGTATGCAGAGTTTTGCTGGTTTCAATATTCTGTTTATAGTTATTACAGCACTTTTTGAAGCTGAAAAACTTGATAGCCTTTACCTCGCCTTTGAAAAGTATGTGGGGGCTTTAAGATATGCTGTGTAATAACACATAAAAAAATTAACACGCACAGTAGTACATATGTTACACAATATAATTAAAAAATGTTAGTAAACATGTGCCTTACATATACATATATATATATATATATAAATACAATATAAATTAAAGAACCTCGCGGGTCACGGGTGCAAAATGTGTGTAAAAAAAAAAGTATTTATATGATACTTTCTTTTTTACATTACATATTACATAAATACTTCAAATATATATAAAAAAAACCATACTAAATTATAAGTGAAAGTTGTCTATAAAGAATATTAGATAACTTTTAGATGTATTATTTAGTAATTCGTAAAAAAATTAATACACAATATGCACAGCAATATAATTAGTTTTATAGAAATATGTGCCTTACGTTATAATTGTGAAATGCATGTTGTATATACAGAGTGCTAAATTACAAATGTAACAGATCAAATATCTCAAAAATTAAACGATATCAAGGTCTGTTTTTTTTAGGTTGTATTGTTTCGAAGAAGACATTACACACACACACACACGCGTATATATATATAAATGAATGCAAAAATTTTGATAAATTTCATGGTGGAAAAATAGGTTAAATAATTTTATTAAAAACTATTTTACCAAGTAATCACCATTGTTTTCTGTTATCTTTGATATATTATACATCTACATATTTATAAGTGTTGCTATAAAATTGAGTCAATTATATTTCTGAGAAATTTAACAAAACGTGCATTCACCTAATATATAGATATAATATATAGATGCAATATGTTATGTTACATAAATATTTTAAACAAATGTTAAAGACAGTATGAGAGCATAAATAAAAAATATATATATTTTATATTTTCTCATGTTTAAACTACTTGTAGTTAATGCAGTTCTAATTATGAAACTCGTTTCATCAAGAACTACCATATCTATCGCTATCTGAATTCATACAAATTTTTACTCACTTCGACCTAAACAGAGACTTTAGGCCGAGTAACGACAGACAACTGCATATTTGTTTTACGTATATAGCATTGTATTACGTATTTATTGTATTTTTGTAATTCTTTTCATTCTTTTTACAATTTCTTTTACAACGCGTGAACGCTTTGAATCCTTCATCGTGGTTCTCATGTAGACCGATCATAAATCTTGCGCACGCGCGCACCAGCCTGATAATTGCGGATTGACACGCAACTCAGTCAGCTGACCTGTCTTGTGATATCAGCTAGGCCGGAGACACTGAAGATCGGACTCGTCGTTGGGTGGACCGACATTCGGAAACATCGCATCTTGCACACGCGTGAGTATCGCGCCGTTCGTATTAATCGCCAAGATCCGCGGCCTCGTTTTCTCGATCGTACGAGCAAATCTCAATTCAACGTTTCACGGCTAACGTGCGAAAACTCGCGCGAACAAACTCTGGCGCGGGTAGTATCGATCCGCGCATCCACTTTGCGGTGCGCCATCGTCTCGTTGATCGACACATCATACAAATTTTGGCTGAGTTTTTGATCATGAAACGCCTCTCGGCATTCGCACGCTGCCGCACAGAAGCTCGCGTGAATCATCGCTGTTTTTACTGTTCGGCGAGCACTCTTCCTGCATCTAGCAGACGGCTCATAGGCTTCGCGGGGCTACGCCTATTTTTTTGAACGTCTGCTCACGTGAATCGCCGAGAGCAGCCGGAGCGTGTGACAGCCGCCGAAATTTTCCGTGAGTCTGGCTTTCCTGGCAACGAGTAGCTAGAAATCTCTTATCGCGACTCACGGTCAGGGTAAGGGTCGAATTAACGGATCGATCTCCTTGTCTCCGTACCTTCTCGTATCTTATATATTTTACTTTTTAAAGAGTCTCTCGTGTCACGAGTGTGCGAAGAAAAGTGCGAAGAAAAGGGAAAAATATCGCAGAGAAAGGTGTAGAAAGTGTAGTCGAAAAGAATAGGTTGAGAGTTGAGATTCTATATATAATGAGTGTGTGTGTGTGTGTGTGTGTGTGCGTGTGCGTGTGTGCGTGTGCGTTATGTGCGTTATGTGCGTTTTGATATACTTATGTTCTTGTCATATTTTATATTCATATATTTTACCCTGTACAAGATGAAATATTATAGGAAACATAGAACAGTTACAGTGTAATTTCTTCTGTTTTCAGATAAATAACTGTTCAAAATGACGAACCAAGGCTTGCTGAAGATAGCGAATGAAGAACGGGAGGGCAAGTTTGGATATGTCTATGCCGTGTCTGGTCCTGGTGAGATTCTCTTGCCTCATTTCAATTTCCTTTACTTTCTTGTCTTATGTTTATTTAACTCAACATTTTTTCTTTTTATAGTGGTTACAGCTGAAAAAATGGCTGGGTCAGCTATGTATGAATTAGTACGAGTCGGTTACTACGAGTTAGTAGGGGAGATCATCAGATTGGAAGGAGATATGGCTACTATACAAGTATATAATAATTTTGCAATATATATCAAGCTTCATAGCTTGAAAGATAAAGAGCCTAAACTCATTCTTGTTGAGATATAAGATACTATATCTTTATCATTTGTATACTTTGTGAGACACTATTATAATTCAAATAATCCTTGCGATACCTTTAGGTATACGAAGAGACAAGCGGTGTCACAGTTGGTGACCCTGTGCTTCGTACTGGAAAGCCACTTTCAGTCGAATTGGGACCTGGCATACTCGGCAGTATCTTCGACGGTATTCAACGTCCGCTCAAAGACATTAACGAGCTCACAAGCTCGATCTATATCCCGAAAGGTATCAACGTGCCTGCTCTGTCGCGTACAGCCTCTTGGGAATTTAATCCGCACAACATCAAAAACGGCAGTCATATCACGGGCGGTGACCTGTACGGTGTCGTGTACGAGAATACCTTGGTGAAGCATTTGATGCTTATACCGCCCAAATGCAAAGGCACTGTCACGTACGTCGCTCCTGCTGGCAACTACACAGTTGACGTAAGTCTTTCTATCTTATATACTGCACTTTATTTTCTGTAATATTAATATTTATGATGACAATGAGATTTTCACACACACACACATATATAATATGTGTTGCAGGATGTCGTACTCGAGACGGTATTCGACGGCGAGAGACAAAAATATACCATGCTTCAGGTACGAAATCTAATATCTGTACCCTTGATGAGTACCACGTGAGAGTTCTGAATGTGTCGCATGTTGTGACTCGCGTCTGTTTATACGCACGCAGGTATGGCCAGTCCGTCAACCTCGTCCGGTCACGGAAAAATTGCCAGCTAATCATCCTTTACTCACTGGCCAACGTGTTCTGGACTCTCTCTTCCCGTAAGAGCCGCGTTTCCGCGTTTACTTAATGAAACTAGCATCGGCCAGAGGACGTCAGTCCGTAAGTCATTCTGGAATTCGCGTCGACGTGTCTGTTACAGATGCGTCCAAGGCGGAACCACGGCTATTCCCGGTGCCTTCGGCTGTGGCAAGACCGTTATCTCGCAAGCCTTGTCCAAGTACTCCAACTCCGACGTTATCATCTACGTAGGTTGCGGCGAACGTGGTAACGAGATGTCCGAGGTATTGCGCGATTTTCCCGAGCTGACCGTGGAGATCGATGGTGTCACCGAATCCATCATGAAACGTACCGCTTTGGTAGCCAACACATCCAACATGCCCGTAGCCGCGCGTGAGGCCTCCATTTACACCGGTACGTCGCCGCGCGCCGTCAACCGAAGTCGTTGAATCGCGCTCGGTAACATTCGAGACGGTGATTCGGACCGACGGAGCATGCATCGATCAACGCATCGATCGATGCTGTGCAATAGAGAGTCATAACTGTAACTTCTTACCATAACAGTATAATTATCATCATACATGGTCGTTACGCAAGTAGAATACACGGTAAAGAAAATGTGTCCACCGATAAGGGACACCTGTCGTTTGTTGAGTGAAAGTTACAAAGGTAAGCACAGAGGTGGTATTTGATTTAATTTTCCGCGGTTTGCGCCGCGTTCATCTTGTTGTTGATTTGTTACCGAAAGAACCATTACCGTAAGATTCCAGAGTTCGCTTTTTCTACACCGCGTTCATCTTGTTGTTGATTTGTTACCGAAAGAACCATTACCGTAAGATTCCAGAGTTCGCTTTTTCTACACCGCGAAAGCTTATAATATCAGATTAGACATAGAGGTGTACTTGTGATAAGCAAGTTCATCGTTTGCCGTACAGGTATCACATTGTCCGAATACTTTCGTGACATGGGTTACAATGTGTCGATGATGGCGGACTCGACGTCGCGTTGGGCCGAGGCTCTCCGAGAAATTTCAGGACGGTTGGCCGAAATGCCTGCTGATTCTGGTTATCCTGCCTACCTCGGTGCTCGTCTGGCTAGTTTTTACGAACGCGCCGGAAGGTAACGAGACATTATCGACGAGTAGAGTGTTTCGATATGATAAACATCGGTCGAATTCTTTATTAAGATGTTCTTGCCGTGTCAGCAGGCGCAAAAGATACTACTACTGATGTCTACAATCTTATTAGGAACATAATAGATTGTAGAAGCAACGTTTATATTATCAGTATACAAGAGAGAGGGAGGGTAGGATAGAGCGTTTTCCTTTTTTCCTTTTCGCTTACGATTCATTGGGTCTTTCATTTTTATATATAGGGTTAAATGTTTGGGAAATCCAGATCGTGAGGGATCTGTCAGCATTGTGGGCGCTGTCTCACCGCCAGGTGGTGACTTTTCCGATCCTGTGACTAGCGCGACACTTGGTATCGTACAGGTACAAAACGACGCTCGACGCTGTATGCGAGGTCGAAGTTGTCACGATAGCTGAGGAAGCCGACGATGCGTTCAACGACAAATTCTTCAATCTCTAGGTGTTCTGGGGATTGGACAAGAAACTTGCGCAACGTAAGCACTTCCCGTCTATCAATTGGCTCATATCGTACAGCAAGTACCTACGCGCGCTGGACGATTTCTACGACAAGAACTTCCCGGAATTCGTGCCGCTGAGAACGAAAGTGAAAGAAATCCTGCAGGAAGAAGAGGATCTGTCGGAAATTGTACAACTAGTAGGCAAGGCCTCCCTCGCCGAGACGGACAAAATCACGCTCGAAGTGGCGAAGTTGCTGAAGGACGACTTCTTGCAACAAAACAGGTGCACCGATAGAGAATTTGCGATGCTTTTCTTGTGCAAAAAGAGTTTAACATCAATCTAGGGAACTACTGGCTGTCGTTGGACAAGAATTCTTTTCTAGCGAACATTATCTTCCGATTCTTTCAGCTACTCGCCGTACGATCGTTTCTGTCCGTTCTACAAAACTGTGGGAATGCTGCGAAATATGATTGCATTCTACGATATGGCGAGACACGCGGTCGAATCAACAGCGCAGTCAGACAATAAAATCACGTGGAACGTTATTAGAGACAGCATGGGCAATATTCTCTATCAGTTGAGTTCCATGAAGTTCAAGGTGGGTATACACGGTTTTAATTGCGTAACACTATTACGTTAATAACGATTGATTCGGTGGTCATCCGCCGCAATGTGGCAGTTCTACGATCTGTCTAGCCTTCGTGTAAATTTCAGGATCCTGTTAAGGACGGTGAGGCGAAAATTAGATCGGATTTCGATCAGCTGCACGAAGACATTCAACAGGCATTCAGGAATTTAGAGGACTAAATTCCTAAACGTCATTTGTTAAAAGCAATTTTAAGATATTGATCGTTCTGTAATCGTTTGGCTCTAACATTTAAGGATGTCCCGGTCTAATCTGCAAAGATAAACCCGTAATCGATTACTGTGTATGTTATTTTTTGTCGAATTTACGTCATCCTTGTGCCCGTCTTCGAAGTGGAATTGTAAATAGAGAAGCTAACCAACGGTAAAACCTCCTGATACTCTGTATATCACAACAGCGAAATGTCATTCGAACGAAGCCAAGTCACATGTACGTGACGGTTGAGACAATAAAGTGGGACATTCTTAAATGCACTCGCAGCGTGTTCGATGGATACGCTCCGCGTTCTCGAGAGTCGGGCACGCCCGGCTCGAGAGGAGGGCTACCTGTAATTAGTCTGTTATATGAGAAAGAAAGTGACTTTTTCCCCTTACAGAGAGATATACTTTCGTCCGTTCTTTCTGCTTTGTTGAAGAGACGCAAATGTGTATTAGCTGGGAAATTAATATTCCCAATGTTCTCTATGTATGTATAATATAAACGAAAGTAAATAAGAACGGTTCTCCGTCTCATCCTGCCGTGCGGCGATTGGAGGGACTCAATGTACGCGTAACCGCGATAAGGTCACGTGCTGATATCACCGGATGACGCGGCAGCTGTTACTCGCAAGAGATCGAATCGTGGAGTATTAAACACGCTGTAACATATGATGTATTATTTAAAGACGATAGATAATAATGGCAAACGTTACATACACATGATGGAGCACATTATTATTATTATTATTATTATTATTATTATTATTATTACTACTTTAACGACGAGACGTTACGGGCATGATTTAAGAGTTTAACGAAAATGCACGATATCTTTAGACACATCTGTATGACGGACTGAGGTACGAGGGGTCTTCAGTATCGTGAAGATACAATGAAAACGAAAAAAATGTGTGCATGACCTGTATTCCATTGATTTCGACATCATTTCCATTGTATGATATGTAAGAAAGAAAAAAAAACAATAAATATTATGCACAAGAGGATGATCGCGAAGCAAACTCGAGAGAGAGAGAGAGAGGGGGGGGAGGATGCAGGGCAATGTTACGAACCGACGAATAAACCGCTTTCAATAGATTTCGTTTTAATAATAATTATTATATAACAATAACCTCGCGATATGTACATCAACGATATATTACATTTCGGTCTTTAACACGTTTGGTGAGTTGATTCCGGCGCATTTTTTTTTTTCTTTACTTTCTTCTGTAGAGTCGGTTCGTGTAAAGAAAAAAAAATGTTTTTTATTGCCAGAGTGCGTATAGATTTTATGCACATGTGTATGTCCATATACATATAGAGCTTTTCATTATTAGGCATTCATCTCAGGAACAGATTCGAAATCCAGAAATGAACAGAGTTAGTACACGTCCAAATTACTCAAAGCCATTCGGTGCACTATTACTCAAACTCAAAGGGTATAAACTGAATAAAATCAACCATATAAATCCTTCTGTCGATTCTCATGTCTTTAAATCTATCCCTGAAATGAATCTCAGTAGTAATGAAATATCCTATGTGTTCATATGTAAATACACACTCATAATTATATAATTAATCTATTTTACACAATTGCGATCTCTCTCGTAGCACGTCCTTATGAAATACTTTCTACGAAAACAGTATTAAAAATAAAAAATATTCAACGATCTCTGCACGCCACAGTCACGTAATTGTCATACAGTCAACAAAAAAGTCCATTCCTCAAGATAAATTCCGACTGCACTACACTGCTTGAATTATACTGTTTTTCTTTTGTAACAAATACAAAATATGATGCGCTGACCTTTCAGTACTCACAGCCTTGACTTTCCCATGTATACCAAGTTACAATTGACTTACTTTGTGAATGAATAATGAATGACATTCCCATATATTTTCAACAGGTCTTCAAGGTAAAAGTCACAACGCACAATCGTAATTCCGTCTATTGCCGATATTACGAATAGCATCATTCACACAATATCATTAGATATTCAATATGTAATTAAAAACATACAAAAATTTCTGAAAAAGTTCTCAGTAAATATAGAATCATTGATATAACTATATGCTATACCTTTATGCGATTGATATAGACAGTTGACACCAGAAAAGATTACCATCTTCCTAATTATTATAGCGTCATCCCATCTTGTACCTTATTAACAAAACAACATTATATATAGCAATATTATACACAGCAATATCGCAAAAATTATAAGCCAGAATGTTTTCTCGATGGAAACTTTTACGATGTTTTCGGCGAATCGATAAAATTTGTGCAAATGAAATGTAAATGTGAAACGAATTATGAATGTACAGTTATGACTTTATTATTAGAAGCACCTGATTTTTAATATTGTATATCTGTAATCCATATCGCAATACACTATAATTTTGCAAGATCAAAGTATAGTCGTCGGAAAAGAAAACAGAAAATTATATAAACTCGGCACCACGTACGCCTTTGTATTTAAAATTAGACGCTTCCACACAGGTTGAGAGAGAGAGAGAGAGTGTGTGTGTGTGTGTGTGTGTGTGTGTGTGTGTGTGTGTGTGTGTGTGTGCGCGCGTGCGCGCGCGCGCGCGCGTTGTGTTTAGATATTCGTAACATATGTACACTCCGTGTGTCCGGTGTATTTTCATTTTAAAACATATCTCTGGATTTCTCAACTCTATGTACGAACGAACACGGACGAGTCGAGTGTACATATTCCGTGTAAAGAAAAACAACTCATAAGTTCTAGTATTTACAGAAAGAATCGTTTGGCTTACAAATTAGAGGAAGATTAAGGACTCAAGTGTACAACTTCAACAGTGTTACCAGTCGAGGTTGTTATTTGCGACCTAAGTTGATGATTTTCGTGCTTCAATTGGGTTATTAACTGCTTCAACGCTGTAATCTCCTGTCGTAGCTTCTCATTGTCCCGCAAACACTGGCTCAGATTTTGATTAGTCGCACGCAGCTCTCCTATGTATTCGCAAGCCTTTGCTAATATGCCTCCTTTACTCTATCATGACATAACAATCTCTTATGGTAAAGAATGACAACTGACAAGTGCAAATAATACTAAATAATACATATAGCTCGGACTTTACCTGAGTCTCATAGTTAGCTTTTCCCTCTCCGCCGCTATTGCTGCTGCTATTAGTAGTTGTACCTGTTACATTACATTCAGGTATGATTTTACCCAATTTCGCAATCCAATTGTTTATTTTATCTCTACGACGACGTTCGACTTCATTGTGCGTTGCTCTCCGTCTGTCGTCTCTCTGTGAAATGACAAATTAAATTTTTAGTGTCCGCAGTCAGCGACCGATACGATATAACCACATTGTGTACCTTCTTCAACCCAGTAGTGCAATTCCTCGATGTCTCTATTTGAAGCGTAGCCGCCCTTGGTACTAAGGATCTAGATGTCTGCGCTGCGGTGAATACATCATTGGCATTTCCAACGATATAAAACTGCCCATTCAAAGGGGACGTTAGTACTTGTACGGTGTTGCTTCCTGCTTGTGACACAGGCAGTTCTATTTCATTGGCTGATTGTATGGCTGCTGTGCTGTTCACTTGCACTACCCTGTATGCCAGGGCTTCTTGGTAACGCATGTCATCTTCTCCAACTGGTTCTCCTAATAGGAAGATCGAGCACATATGATAGAAAATTTATTCCTTGCAGTCTATATAGAGTCGTGTAAAGGCAGGATACTGTAGCGGTAAGTATGTAGCTTACAAACACGACAAGACACGGACATAGTCTCTCTCTCTCTTCTTAATATCGTAATCTTCCTCCCCTTCCTTACCTTCGCAATCCACGAATTCCGCTTCCTCTATAACAATCCCCGTTCCACTGTCGTCCTTTACGGCACTGCAAAACAGATAAGGTGTTGAGACGCAATGTCATGGTGACTGGTCTCAGCTCGAACTCGCTGTATTAGGTGTATTATTACTTCGGACGGTTACTGAGCGTGTCGATCCTAGCACGTCTCGTTAAATGCGTACTGTGGCACTACATGATGACCTTGAGGAGACCTCGGACAAGACGGAAGGGATAAGGTGTTCGCAATATCGGGCGGCTGGTACTAAATGTAAACACTACCTTGCATCCTGCGGCTCGATATGCTGTCCCAAAATGTCCATTTCTTCGCCACAAAAAAAAAAACGTTTGAATTTGTCAAAATTCACGTGAGCTGGTCACGGGACACGCCAACGAGGTCATGTGGTGCATAAGATGGCGGTGAACATGATGCAGGCCATCTCGCGTTATACCATCGGAACCTCGCTCGACGATGATTCCTAGTATCTCGTCGGTGACATGGATAAAATATATATATATATACGCGCATATAATTTTTAAATATTTAATTTCACTTTAGTAAGAGATGAGAAACCATTTTACATATTTTTGTTCCTCGTAGAAAAACAAGTGAAAAGCTTATACGAAAAGCTTAAACGTAACTTTCTTCTGAGTCGCAAAGAGGAGCTGAGGGAGATAAAAATCAACGGACTAACCGTAACCGTCGGTGAAGCAGACCTAGGTTCACAGATATGATTCACGGACATTCTGTATCTTGTTGTTTCGAGATATTTCAGATAATTTTCTCAAAAATATAAAATTTACTCATTTCTTTCTTACAGCGCTATATAAATGCAGATATGCAGATATATATGAGTGAAAAATCTATCGACATGAAAATCAGTCGAATTTAAAAAAATCGAAAGGGCAATCGATTCTTTGGCGAAGAAAATGTCGCGAATGTCGATTCTCCGGTCGATCGTTACCGGTGTCTATAAAGCAATATTCTGATTGGTTCTTCAGCCTTGCGTTTATGTCTTACGTTACGACTACGCGGAATTGTGCGCGATGGTCCTCATTCCTTGGCGCGAGAAAGAGGTTGGTGCGAGTAACGCGTTATAAAATAGCTCGCCACTGAAATCGCGAATCCTCTCCGGTACCCACCAGGATGACCAGGTGAGCGACGGGAATTTTCCAAGGTTATGTCTACCTAACGTAATTGCTACTTAAAGCGATCTCTTTTGAATTATATTTCGAACGCCAGAGTGCCCTGCGGTATTAATAGACGTTGATCGGTGGAAGTAATTCTACATTTGATATGACCGTGTTTTTTTAATGCAGGTCGAAAATAGAGCTGGGAGACGTGACACCTCACAACATCAAACAACTGAAATTACTCAATCAAGTTGTATTCCCAGTGTCGTACAATGAAAAATTCTACAAGGATGTACTGGAAGCTGGAGAACTCGCCAAACTAGCATATTACAATGATATAGTGGTACTTACAACAATTTTTATACTTAACAGTGGTCCTCAAAAACTCTACCTCTTGAAACTCTAATAAAGATAAAAGTAGAAACATAAGGAGTTCTACGAACATATAATAAGTATATTGCTATTATCTTGTATAAAAAATATTTGTTTCCACAGAATTTGGTAGAAGCTTGACAAACATAGGTAAAATTAATTAACAGAAAAATATACTTATGCAGTAAGTATACTAATGCAATTAGTATACTAGTAAAGTATATATAAAGTACTTGATATTTCATTCGTACAAGAGAAACGTTGCGGCTGAAAATGTTTGAGTATCGCTGATCTGACATTCAAATTTTAGTTTAAATAAAATACATTTGCAAATGCTATACAATATATAATCATGATTCCGCAGGTTGGAGCAGTATGCTGCCGTGTAGATACTTCAGAAAATTCTAGACGTTTATATATAATGACATTGGGTTGTCTTTATCCCTATAGAAGATTAGGAATCGGCACTGTTATGGTCCAGCATGTTTTAAATTATGTTAACAAGGATGGAAATTTTGACTCGATCTTCTTGTAAGTTTGATTACATAATGAGAATAATAATTTAAAATAATTACAATGTGTAATGATACATATCTGTGTGTTGCTGGCAGACATGTTCAAATAAGTAATGAAGGTGCGATTGACTTTTATAAAAAATTTGGATTTAAAATTGTCGAAACTAAAGAACACTATTACAAGAGAATAGAGCCGGCGGACGCGCACGTATTGCAAAAAACGCTACGTCCTCAAGCAAATCAAATGAATCATCAAACTGTCAACCAATAAGTAGCATTGTTTATTAGTTTATCTTTTCCACAATTTAGAATTTATGTGTTTCCATGTTCTGTCAATAAAATCGTTTTGTATTATAAGATATCTGTGTTACAAGTTGGATTGCTCTACCTCATCTATATCATATGTAAGACATAAGCGAACATTCAACTGAATCAAATTGGAGTCGCAATAACCGAGAAATAAAAGAGAAATAAGTATTACACGTAACATAAGAGATTACTATTTTATTCGTACGTCGTATTCTGAGGTGAAAGATATTATATCGACTTAAATTTTTACATATTTTTATTTATTTTTATTGTCCATCGATCTTTTCTATTTATACATACTGAAAAATTTGTACACAGTGTATTTAAGCCATGCTCCTCATAAAATGGTGATATTAAAACAGTTACATATGTATTGAAAATATAAATGAAATAAGGAATACTGATTATATCATTCTGGATCTGCGCGCGACGTATATTAAATTTCCTTAATATGAAATAATGTACGTATATATTACAATGAAGTGTATAAGATTGCACGAAAAACCGTGCGAAGAAGCTCACATATTGTATAATAGTGCCTTGTAAATATGTTTACAACGATAACTTATACCCCTCTCTCTCTCTCTCCTCTACGACGCACATAAGAAATCAGCATATGATACTAAGTACACGTCGAACTTTTTTTTTTTACATGTACAAGATGTTTATATCATTACCGCTAATACTCGCGGTTTCAAGAATATTTGAGGGCTATAAGCATTCTAAGTGGCTTTAGACAATGCTGCGTTTTAATGCAACACATCAATGTACATGTAATAATATCAATAGTAATTGTTAAAGCCCATTTTGTTGATGACACATGATTCGCGATGAAGCGGATTCTACAGAGAAAAAATAATTTGACAAATAAAATTTACACTTCATTGCTCATCGTTCGCTACGTAGATTTCATACATTCTTGAGGATATTTTAACTAGACGAAATTTAAACAATGACTAGTTCCTTTTTTGTCTACTAGATCTAACGGGACGTTTAATCCGTTCTAAATCGATCGAGAAAATAATATATCCAAATTTTCCGACATGACACTAAAACAATGCAAAACACGCCAATGCGGATCTATTTTCTTTCGGCAGAAAAATAAATACTATATACATCAATCGTTTTACTAAAACACTTAACGAGGTCTTTAAAGGATATCTTTTGAAACGACAATGAAATAAAATAAATACGCAGCTTTCAAATTTTCGTCACGGAAACTCCGAACACGATCAAAAACGAGATCTGTTAGCAGGAATCCTCCCGATATTATATAAATTAATTTAAATTACCAATTAATTAAATCTCGTGTAGCGAGAACTCGCGAATTATAGATCGTCCAAAGTGGACTTTAGCTAGAGTAAAAAAACAGCAATGCGAATGGCCGAATGCTGACTGAAAGCTCCGATATTACTATCCATTATTTGTCTATTCTTCGTGGAACATCGTTATAAATCGTTGATGAAAGCCGTTGAAAATAATAACAGTGCTGGTCGTGACGGATAAATAGTTATCGCGACACTAAAGTACCTCTCCCGTTTATAATCCTATCTAAATCAGCATTTATATGTTAACAATGATATAACTACTCCGCGTTGTATATAATTACAACTCCAGCAACTCCTTGATTCTCGTAGCACAGAGATCAGTGGCCTCCGCAGCTTCTTTTGAAACCTACGAATTACAATATGATGATACGCATATACTGCGCATCCGGAAGTCAAGCAATAGATAATAAAGAAAGACAATGTTTACCAATAGCAGATTGAGAAATCCGTGCGGCAATCCCGGCAATATATCCAACGTAACTTTATTACCAAGCGAACGAAGTTTCCTCGCGAACATGACGCTATCATCGAGGCAAGGGTCAAGCTGTAACGACTGCAAGCGAATTATTATGTAAAAATATGCTATACATACGTGTGTGTGTGTGTGTATATATATATATACATATATATATATATACACGTATATCAAAAATATCCTTGAACTTTTGATTTTTTCCTGATAGAACCTGATAGAAAACCATCCACTTATTTTCAATATAAATGAGTTGCAACAAAAGTCTCGAACAGATACCAGTAACTTTATGGGCGGCAGATGGACTAATGTATCGTCTGATGCGAGATAAGGACTCAAGAATGGATCCCTCGGTATCGTAAAGGTGAGTTCTTCCAAAGGACTTTTGCTACTCTCCACATCGAGTTCCTTGGTCTCCTTGTTGTTCTTTCCGCCGAAGGACCATCCGAATAGAGACCACGATTTGTCGCTTCCTGAAATATTACCATCTCTGCTGTCACTGCCATTCGCAACGAACGATGACGAAGCGAGGCCCGAGTTTCTGTACATATCTACAAATCGGCTGATATATTCCCGCGACTTTGCCTGTACTTTCGGACATTCAGTACCTATCGCATTAAAAAGTTTCTCAAAATATATACTAGGAGGAGAGAACAATTGTACATATATCTGTACTTCGAAGGAAGAAGGACCAGATTTATACATATATCTTTTTCGAGCTTCTATCGGAGAAAGTCTTCGGATTCCTAAGAGAAGAAAAAAGAAAGAAAAAAAATTCTCTCGGTTCAAACACCGTGGATTTTGTGGTGGTTAATCACTGGGATAGCAGTCAACCAATTAGCCTAATTAATTAACATACCGTAGACCAACATTTTCCAAGGTACAGATATAAGTAACATAATCGCGTAATAATATAACACAGCATGTACTTGGCTGTGTGGTTTGTATGTACCATCGACTTCTGTCAGGCTGACGGAATTTAATGTAGAATCGGACGCTAAAGATACTAATTTCTGCGCGCCATTTGCGCCGTCGCCGTTCGGACTCAGAGCGAGCGCTATAAGGTCACTTTCGCTCACTTCCGCAAAGGACTCTGTGTCCGATTTGACGCACTCTTCAATCTCGTGTTCCCTGTCAATCACAAGAAAAATCGATTACAAATCGGTAACTCATCGCGTCACGTACACATCCATCCAATTGTCAATCGTGTCATCAGCAATTGAAATCAAATGTAGCAATAGCTTAATCGACAACGAAGAAAGCGTATGTAAAAAAAAAAAATTGTACTTCTTTTATCGATTACGTACTTCTTCTGTTACTTTCGTATAAGAATAGATTATTGCTCTCTAGTGACAATTCGATAAGTGAATTTTACAAATTCTCTTAGTCTCTCGAAGTCTTACTTGATGAGTTTTTTGTCAGTTGCAACATAAGCTTTCAAGCATCGCATCATAAATCCGAACGGCAATAACGGGTCAGTGAGACAAAGCATACGGGAGGGCGATGGGATGAAATCGACGAGTATCGGTACGTATGCCATAAAAATACCGTCCGGTTTCCTTATGTTTAATTGTAAGCATCTCATAATGGCCCCGAGATTTAAATTACCACCCGCGGAGTCACCTGTCGAAATATTGAATTGTCGAAAATCAATTGGTTCGCTGTGCAATTGATCATCAAATCGACACATACATACACACACACACACACACACAACTCGAACAGATATTTATTTACCGACGAATATAACTTTTTTCACTGTGCTTCCAAGTAACGTGCTCGCATGCTTCAACGCCCAGGCGTATGTGTACAACACTTCCTCAAGTGCACGAGGATAGGGGGCTTCCGGAGCTAAACTATAATCTATACTTAAAATTGGTACACCGAGCTTCACCGCCCAGCTTCGTAAATACACCTCGTGCGATCGTGACGTTTGGGCCACGAATCCGCCCCCGTGACTGTGAATGATCAATCCATCACTTAGGCTTAGTAATTCTCCCCCTATACCCCCAGATCCAACCTTGATAAAATATTATCGATTATTTCAAGAGGATTCTTGTTCTCTCCCATTCACATTCTCTTTCTCTCTCATTCACACATACACATACATACGCACCCATATGTGTACCTGCCCCCCTTTCTCTCTCTCTCTCTCTCTCTCTCTCTCTCTCTCTCTCTCTCTGTCCGTCTCTTTCAACCAAATACCAAGTCAATCGTGTAAACATTAAAAATATTTACCATTCCTAAACGCCGTTTGGAGCTGAGTAATCTAACATGAATTGGCTTCTTTCCTATATGACTATTTGGTATCGGAATTGAAACAGTCCCGCCATCAAGAGTAGGCAAGATCAATTCCTCGGGTGGAATAGATATCACTTGATTGATAGCTAAATGCCTCTTTATGGATGGTAATCTGGGTAATAACTCTAAAATAGATATAACAGAGACTTTGTCACTTATAGATAAAAGTATATTAATTAAATATCTTTGTGCTCCAACAATGTGAATATAAACGTTTTAAGTGTAAAACAGCTCTTTGATACATATACACACACACACACAAACACACACACACACATATATATATATATGTATACGCATATATATTTATTTATTAAATATTTTTTCTCTTACCAGATTCATTGAGAAACCAAAATGCTTGACAGAAAGAGATATCAGCATGCTGAGATATACTAACGATACGACGCGCCCTTGCTTCAGGATCCAATAAATACTTAACAAAATTAGACCATCGCCCTAATAATGTACCATTGTTATAAAAAACTTCACTATAAGATGCCATACCAAATGTTATTGTTTTCAGTACATGTCTCAAGCTATCGCAAAACTGAAAGCATGAATAAGAGTAAGAAAGATTGAATCCAAATACAAGTATGTCACATAACGTCAACCGAAATACCTGGAACCCTAAACATCTGCCGTAGAAGCAGTACTGATTAACGTCCCCCGTTTTACTGAGAAGTTCTTGAATAGTGTGGTTTTCAGTTGGGAACAGAGACAACTTGCCATCACTTATCACCTCTGTACTCCATGTATAAAGTGTTTTTAAATGCTGTAAACATGTGTACAATGAGGCTAATAGCTGGGAGCATGCTTCTACCTCCCTGAAAATGAAGAAGGCAAATTCAGTGTCGTTGGTCGAATAAATATTATAGCAATAATATAATAGCAATATAATAGCAATGATTAGTAGCACATTGCATTGTTCACCTCATGTGATAACTCTTTCGAGACAGTATGGAATTCTTCTGACGATACATCTCCTGACATACCATGTTGCAGTGCAAGATACCCTTGTCAACCAATGAAAGGAAACTCCTGTACCCGTTGCCAGGGACCTCTTCGTCATAGTCAAAGTGCACCGCGATTTTGGCTACCTCTCGATACAAGGGCCGCAGTTGATCCAAGTGATCTAGGATCGCTAGAAGTGCGGCCTTGATCCTGACACCGTTCGCGTCCTGATGGGACGTGAAATACTCCACATTGGCACAGCATATCTCCCGCAACGCGCCCCATTGCAGCGGCTCGAAGTCCTCGAACGGTCTGTCGAAGTCATCGTTCAACGACATCTGAGCGATACTACGAATCCGCTTGGCTTACTTGTGGCTCCCTTGTGCTCCGCACTAATTCATACGTTTAATCGATCGAATAAACAAGGTTTCGCACACAGGTATCGCATGTCCTCAATTTATAACCACTTGTCTCGCCTGTCTAACGAAGCGTATTCGTGTGCATGTCCCACGGGTATAGGTTAAAGTCCAAAAAATACTCCTTACCGATGTGGAGACACAACCAACAGTTCAGTCTCGTTAAATATATCAAGTGTATTTGTATATGTCAACACATTATCGCGCTACTGCGATACAATGCTATCGCCGACGAGACCACGGACAGCGAGAAACGGCTGACAGGAACCATTCATCGGTGCGATTCAATGCAGCTCTCAACAACCGGGAGGTGGACGGCTAGGTAGGTGCTGCTGACTGAGAATATCACCGGCCGCGCGCTGTGAGCTGTGTGAGAGAAGTCGCGACCAACGTCCTAACTGGACTTTGAGATAGCACAAAGTGACGCAATATATGAAGTTCATACGTACATACATATGTACAGCTGCCACACGAACGACCGTTTACTGTTTTGTCCACAGCGTAAACACAGAAAACCGCTTCGCTTGGGATTTCACATTATTAGCCACTCGGTCGACTGTCAATGTTGGAAGACAGAGCGCGTCTGTTCGCGACGCAGTCGCGCGCAATTCGATACCGCTCTTGATTCAACAGTTCGCGAAGCAGAACGAGAACGCGCTCCAATTCAAGTCGATCGCCGTTATTCTCTCACTCACTAGCTTGTTCGTCTATTGAGGAAATTCGAACGAATAATAACTTTATTCGCTGAATCAGTCATTATCGAGTGACAAAACATGCACGTGCACGACAGAGAGAGAGAGAGAGAGAGAGAGAGAGAAAGAGATTAATATATCGATGATTCATTCAATGACGTACGTATATTTTTACTAGCATGTAAAAACATCTTTCGCAAAATATCAAAATGATTCCAGCTAATAGGCGATAATTATCCATATGCGAGATCATCAGTTTTACATCATGAATAAAAATATACGACGAGATATCAACACAATATAAATATAGCGAATATTATTACTCAATCAAGATCTAACAAAGTACATGTCAATTAGATTTACGCAAATATACGCTAACGTCTACAATAAAACTTTTTTACTTTTACTATAAAAATGTCTATGAATTATGACATTGATTCCGATGAAAGTAACGTATTACAACCGCTATGACAAAAAGAGAATCGTTCAATGCGATAATACAATATATTAACATGACATATAAGTAGCGAAATGTGATTACGTTTAGCCAATATATATATATATATATATATATATATGTAACATATATATATATAGATGTACATAAACATACACTGATTACTTAAATTAGTTTTCTTCTGTTCTTTTACGTAGAAATATTTTTATAAGACATAAATTTATATTCAAAGTAACAATAATTATTTAAAAACTATTCAGTGAGAGATGCTATATTCGATTGCGTTTAGCCAAAATTTGCGTAATATTTAAATTTAAATTTTAAATTACAAAAAATGCGTGCGTACTATTTAAATTCAAATTTAAATTTTAAATTACAAGTTTACAGGATCGAAGACTTCAAATGCCGAATTTGGAATTTCAAATCTTTAAATCTGTAAAGTTGAAAATTCTTAATAGGATTATAATAAAACATTCGTAATGAAACAAGTAGCGGGTTTCTTTTATAATTTATTTATTGATAAGTAAAATTACATATATCCACAAACACAATACGTTCTTTCACGGGGTGTAATAATGCGTTAAAACTTGTGAGCGGCGAGGAGAGACTCTGTGAAGGAGAAAGAGGGACGAGGGGACAAATTTGGTTTTGGTCTTTCGACACTGTCCCTTGCTTTTTCACGTGAACAACGGCGACCCTCGGCGTTTCCTTTCGCGATTACGATTATCGATCGTGAAGAAAAAAAAGAGATATTCAAGATAATATTCGCTCAAAGCAGAGGTACACCACATCAATTCATTCAATTCACAATTCAGTTTAATTCAATTCAATCTTATCAATTAGTCTCGTCGCTATCGTTCGCGAGCGCTTCTTCTTCAATTTCTAAAGAGCGTCTTGAGAAAGAAAAAAACTTGACACGTGCGAAACATGCGCGTGTCAACTCACGTACAAAATACACGATACACACATGCACGCACGCGTGCATATTCGCACACACATACACACACATATACACCCACATTCGCCCATACGCGCGCGCACACACACACACACACACACACACACACATCTGAGTGTATATAAATATTTATTACATATATGTATGTTAATGTATATCCCATACATCGGAAAGAAACGTGGGGTCAGTCCTTACGTAAATTTCTCTTTGGCATTAATTTATGCCAGCAGTTCAATTTAACAACAAATTTTTGTAACTGCTTCTGTGCGAGGATAACGTCTTTTTCCCAGCTGTCACGATTAATTGCTACGTAATTAATTATTTCTCTCGTATCGCTCCGCCACGAATCGCCGTTGTTCGCGGTGAGGAAAAACAAAAATCTTTCGTGCGCATTAGTATGATAAAACTTCCGAAAGTTCGGAAAGTTGAATTTCTCGACCCTATATGATAAAAATATTATCGGGAGTCGCGGCAATTAGTTGCCCTCGCGCGTCAACACGTATAATTTTATCCCCGTTTGTTTTATGCACGAATGAATAATAATCGTGCGTGATGACCACGGAGAAAAGTTTTACATGTGCAAGATAAATATATAATCATATATGAAAATATCGCAGTTATTTTACCGAGCGTTTAACGCAGTTCGCAGTTAATTGTACCAAATTAATATATAGTTGAACGAACGGCATAGCCGAGAGTTAATTTGTAGTTGGGTACACACGGGAAAGACACATTGCGCGCAGTCGACGGGACGCAGAGTCGGGTGAATCGCGATTGCTGTGCTGCTATGCGGCGTAGAGTTTAATTAACGTCGTCGTCGTCGGCTCGACAAAGACATTTTTCCGCGAGACAAGGTCGAAAACAGCGCTGAGCGGGGGCAACGTAATCGCGCGAGAACCGCGACGGTCGTCGCAAGACGAGAGGATGATACACACGAGAGGAGGAGACACCGAAAGAACTGTAAAAATAAAGTCTAGCTTTTAGTCGTTATTATACTCTTTTTCTCCGTCTCTTGGACTTGCTAATCTGGACTGTGACTTCAAGGACGTATATTTTTTCTTCTCTCTTCATCTTCTTCATCTCCTTCTTTTCCTCACGTCTCACATGGCTTTTAAGCTAAGTCAGTTACCTCGATATAATATTTATATGTGTTTGTATGTGTGTATATATATGTGTGTGTATACATATATACATGTATACACAAACACACGCACACACACATACCATTATACTTTTTTACAAAAATCAATTCTTAAACTTATATACGGAGATGGCCCGATGCAAATTCACAGTATTTTGAAGTACACACGCTAGCACGACTTTCTCTCTCTCTCTCTCTCTCTCTCTCTCTCTCTCTCTTTTTTCTCTCTTTTTCCGCTCTCTTTCCCACCGCCATGTAATCACCGAAACATGATATGCTCCGACTGGCTAATACTGATACATCATCTCAATGTCCGACATGAAAATCATCGCGAAAGCATTAGATCATTGTTGTCTGCGCGCGGGAGCACAGTCGCGCGTTTTTGTCTCTTGGTCTATGATAAGCCGATTTTATTCATTTACGTGTATATTATCATACGCACGCACGCACGCACACACACACACACACACATGTGTGTGTGCGTGCGTGCGTGTGCGCGCGTATATGTGGTACTCGAGAAATATATCTCTTTCTCTCTTTCTCTCAAATAATTTGCTCTGCATTTAATCGCGAAAGATTCGGCGAATTTAATCCCGTGAAATTTAGCAGACGGAATATCTTGATCGAACATCCGTTGTCGTTAACGCAGGTTAATTGAATCGGCAGTACTACGTTTCTTAGACTAGAAGAGCCGCTCCCAGCCACGGCAGCCAAGGCGCGATCGCTTAGAAAAATAATAAGCCCCTTTTGCTGTAACCGCAAGATCTTCAGCATCTGTGAATCCGTATCAAGGTCAAGGTTCATATGCGATGTTGTCAATGTTGCTTTTTTAACGACTATGCGCTATAGGTACATAATATTTAGTTAATTTAATATGTATACATGTATATATGCATGTGTATATATATATATATTTGTGTATATATATATATATATATATATAATCTATATATTATCCATACGACACACACACACACACACACATATACATATATAACAGATATTTATATCATTATTGTTAACGCATTGATGCTATTTGTTGTATTCATAGTCATAGTACATTCAATGGTATATAATTGCTATCGCGTCTTAATATATCTAAAATAATATTTTTAACATTTAGCGATGTGTGTGTTGTTTATGTGTGTGTCTGTGGTTGCATTTTTGTTGCAGGCTACACACCCTTTTCACCGGAGTTGCGTGAGACAAATGATTCGCGTTGTGTGATTCGCTAGATAGAAAGGCAGCTGCTCCACGTGCGCTTAGGAATAATATCTAAAGATCTCTCTCTTTTCTTCCCTCCTTTACCATTCTCTTCTTAACCGCCCTACTTTACGGGCGATTGTGTCACGCGAATGCAGTAGTAAATAGTAGTAGTAGTAGTAGTAATAGTAGTAGTAGTAGTAGTAGTAGTAGTAGTAGTAGTAGTAGTAGTAGTAGTAGTAGTAGTAGTAGTAATAGTAGTAGTAGTAGTAGTAGTAGTAGTAGTGGTAGTGGTAGTGGTAGTGGTAGTAGTAGTAGTAGTGGTAGTAGTGGTAGTAGTAGTAGTAGTAGTAGTAATAGTAGTAATGGTGGTGATGGTGGTGGTAGTGGTAGTGGTGACGGTGGTGGTGGTGGTGGTGGTGGTGGTGGTGGTGGTGGTGGTGGTGGTAGTAGTTGTAGTAATAATAAAGTAGCGAGTATTTCGCGTGGTAAAGTGAGTTCAATAGAAGAAGGGGAGACCTTAGAATGTTAACTGGGAATGTATTCATGCACGGACCATTGCATGTGGAACACTGTACACATACACGAGACAAAACAGCGACTGCGTGCGTTTCGCTCTTTCTTTCCTCTCTCTTTTTGTAATCGCTACCTACACGGTGTGATAATCGTCGCGCGTCGAGCCGAATCCGTCTCTCCTTTTCACACGTATTACTCGCTATATATGTGTAATATTGAATATACCAGTGAACGGTCGGTCGACCGAGCACGTGAAGGTGCGCGCATACGGTGCAAAAATTATGGCAGATACTCGAGAAATATCGTCTCATCTCTGTGTCTCTTGTGTGTCCGTCACGCGACGGACAATCGAAAGTCCGGAAAGACGTCGCTGTGAAGAATAGCGACGACTCGACAAACAGACATCCTAATCTCACGGACGTCCAGACAGCGTGTTGATCTTCTCCGCTGAAGATCACACCGATCTTTCATCTCTGCGATACTGCGAGCCGAATGATACATCTCACCCGGCGGCACTAATTGACGCACCGCATTGCGCGGACGTCACACGCACTCGTCGCAAATGAGTTCGATGAAAGCGTATACCGCGTGTTTCGAGGTGAACGTAAAGAGAAAACTGTGCTTCCCCACGCGACCCAGGCGCTAAAGTGCGGGCTACTACTTTTTTTTTTTTCTTGACCATATACAAATATATATAAGCATTAAACGTGTAATATATTATATATCATCGTCCTCGTCGTTTTCGTCATCGTATATAATTAATAATACCCTAAGATAATTATTGTATAAACGATCCAATCCTTTTCTTGTATATTTTTTTTCTTTTTCATTTTACCTTTATCTTCCGCGAACGCAAAATGGGAACGCAAAAGAGAAACGCTTGCTCCAAACCCGCCGCCGCTTCTTTTCTCGTTTCTTTTCCTTTCGTTTTGTTTTTCTTCTTTTTTTAACGACCTAAGAGTCGGAGGTACTAATGCCACTCAAGTATGTGCTCCAGTGAACTGTTCCTCTTGCTCGACAGTATCGGCGTGACCTCTCCGATGCGCGTCGGGTCGCGTCGCGTTCGCGTTCACGGTATGCGACGTACGACGAGCGTCGCCTCCTCGACTAGGTCGAACGAGACTGCCGAACATTCTCCGTGCTAGCGTTCTGTCAGCACCTCGACAAAAACGGTAGACTTTCGCGTGGAATGATACAGAATATTTACCATCTTGCTTCGTTCGTCGTTATCATCTTCATCATCATTATAATCGTTATTATCGTCGTCGTCGGTGTCGTCGTCATCATTGTCGTCGTTAACTTCGACAGATACGTCAATGATTCTTATAATTCCCTTATATCTTAAGTTCTCTTTTTTTTTTTATCATCTAGCAGTAGACGTGTTTTTTAAGTACTGAAGAAGGTCACCGAGAGTAAACCAGGCAGTGGGAATATCGAACGGAAGGACGAGGGGGGAAAATAGGAAGGGATAGGTGAAGGGGCGGAAAAAATACAGCTGCATTACAAAGGTGAAACGTGCAACGATGACACGCTTGTGACAGTATGTGTTCTGATATTTTAAGAGTGCCCCGCATACAGCTCGCTTTTACTCTGCCGTCTCGATTAATTAGCACAACGTTACAACGATTATGTGCGCGCGATTACAATCGAAATATTTTATACTTCTACGCTGTCTCAGTGACAAGTTACTATAATCGCTATCGTGTTCTTCGTGCTTTTTCTCTTTTTTCTTCTTTCCTCTCTCTCTCTCTCTCTCTCTCTCTCTCTCTCTCTCTTCGCGAAATACTTAATTAAGCTGCGTTACAACATTTCTCTTATTGCCATTGATTATCTCCGAAAATATCAGAACCTAAAAATACAGCAAAGAGCGCAAAAGGACGCCGTGTTTACGCGCCGTGCGCCGCGTTCCTTCCATTCGTCGTTTGAGCGACAAGGAGGTTCTCTCGTCCAGGAGGAGAGCGAAGAGCGGCTCGAGCACACAACGTTAGAGGCGAAGGAACATCGAGGTCAAGTCTAAAGGACGATGTGTTTCTCTCTACTTTTACAACGAGACGCGCTCCTTCCTGCGTTTTTACCGGACATGTAGTACATATGGACGATAACGCAATTGTAAAATGATGCGTGTGTTGCGTGAGATACTTCCGAAGATAGCTTCTATCATACATATCTGGCATGTTCGTATGGCACATCACGTAAGACATATGCGAAATTTTCAACGACTGCTTCCCCGTCTGTGCGCGCGTGTGTCCTCGCCTACAAGCTTTATTTTACACGTGTATATTGTCAAGCTCTCTCGGAAACCGATCTTGCACCGCGACGCAGTCGCGGTTTAAGAGAGAGAGAGAGAACGTGTGGCGATTACGTTACATAAATGCCGCGAGCACGATCTGCTGATTGAGGGACGCGTATTCCCGCGCGATTCGCGAGAGGCGCATTCGAGATGCGCAGATTCCACGTCTGTGGTTGTCTTCGGAAGAATCTCGAGGGAGTTAGAGATGTGTGTGTGTGTGTGTGTGTATGTGTGTGTTGGTGTGTATGCATGCGTGTGTGTGTGTGTGTGTGTGTATGCATGCGTATGTGTGTGTACACGTACACGCACACGCGTTATTTATATCTTACTCTAACAAAATATTATGAGATTCTCGAAGAAAATACGCGAGAACGAATGGCTTTGCAATCAGCTTGAAATCAAAACTGCGAACGCCTCGGGCGGCCGAATTATTCCTTCACCTCGAAGTATTTGTATGTAGGATTCTCGTACCCGTTGATCTGCATATTCGCAACGTGCCGCTCTTCGGGCGTAGCCGCCTGATCGACCTCGATGAAACCCTGTGTCGGAAATGGAATATGCGCCATTAGTCTTCATGTCGCGCGCACTATCCATCAGAAGGTATACGCCGTTACGCGTTGCGAGAACGTTATTAATATCGCATCGACCAGATGGAGATACAAATCGACATTGTGTCATTCAACGATGATAATCTGACGTACCTGACTGTGGGGGCTCCTCGCGCTACGTCTCTTGAATACCGCGACACCCACGACTGCAGCTGCCATGAGTACTATTCCGCCGAACGCGAGCGTGAAGTAGACGGATCGGCTCTCTCTGTGGTACACCTCCCGCCTCACGGAGTAACCCTGAAAGCGAAAATGGTCGACAATCATGTCGCCATCCAAAATATTTCTCTCTACGATATATCAATACCCGATATTTCAACTGTGCATCTACGTGTCCAACAAATTATAGATGTGTGTGTGTGTGTGTGTGTGTATGTGTGTGTGTAAAATTGTATACTATAAATTATATTAGGTATATTACATAAATTATACATATTATGTCAATATATTTAATAATAGTGATTGTTATTATTATTATTATTATTGTTATGATTACAGGCTCGGAATGAGAGACATCGTGTGTCATGCTGTGCGCTGCTCTGACCACTCCCTCATTGTGCATGGCAGCGACCGCGGCAGGCTGCTCCGATTGCTGAGGGATATCCTTGGTGTCAATGGCCGAATCGCTCTCCTCGTGCTGCTCCTGTTCCGTGCGCAGCTCGCCACGTTCCGCCTTGCGTTGCTCCTTGCGCGCTCGTTCGAGTTGCTTCTGATGTTCCTTCTCTGTAAAGTGTAATTCGCCTTGATGCTTCTCGCCATAGCGTTTCCCGACCTTACGAGATGCACGAGATTCGACATCTTCATAGACCGAGAATTTGTCCGGTTGATCGGATTACAAAAATAAATAAATACCTTGCTGCTTGCTGGCGACGTCGGCCTGATACTTGTCGAGAATAGCTGCCTCCGCTTCGCGCGTCATCGCCAGCAGCAATCCCGGAGTTTCATCCTTACTCCTGAGGGCCAAAACGTAATCGTCCATGAGACGGCCAATCTTTGCGCTTAGATCTGGATATCTGAACACAGGAGAAAAAAAATGAATCTGTCTCTCTCGAGTCGCGCGGCGTCAGCGTTCTCTTTTGCTCGTTTCGCGTACGCGATGTCTCGTGTCTTCGCGCGTGTTCAAGATATTCGTAGCAAACAAGCACCGCGCGTTTAATAAGCATACATTACCGTTCCAACATCAGCAGGCTCTGATTGGTAATCCTATCGATTTCCGCCAGGTGCTCCAAAGTCGCCGGCTTCTCTCGCTGTGCCTGCTCCAGGCTGCTGTCGAGCAGATGTTTATAATGAGCGATCGTATGGTGCCTGTCCTTGTGGAGAGCTCTGAGTAGCTTCTGCAAGCACTTTTGGATGCGGTGCATCTGCAAAACACATACACACACACATAAAGCGCGATCGTCGGTAGACCAGGCAAGATGAGTGTTGCGCATTGCGGAAGTACGGAAGTTACGAAACGTACGAAACTGCGAGAAACTCACATTCGGCGGCGTCTCGTTGAGGGCTGCGGTGTAGCACGACATAGCCTCCTCGTTCCTCTGCTTGACAGCCTCCTACGCAGAGAAAGAGAGAAATAGAGAGGGGAGAGAGAGAGAGAGGGGGGGTAAGGTGGGAGAGGGGGTGAGGGAGGGAGGAGAGAGACGATCACAATAATTGCACGCGACCAACTCGAAACACTCGCGACTCATATTCACACCGCAGTGTACCTGCACTCGCTGCTGATGCATCGCGCTCAGCTGATGCTTCTCCGCCGCGCCGCTTTCCTCGAGCGCAGCCACGGTCTCTTGGAATCGCGCAGTCATCCAGCGTTTGAAAGCATCCGCGGCGACCGGATCGTGGGCCCTGATATCCTGATATCTCTCCTCGAGATCACTCCAGTCCTTCATCACCTGAAAGCGTTGTAGCACAAAGATTTCGACACCAATATCCCGCGCCATGATATCCGGCTCTCAAAGACACGCACAGTACCTCCTTTTCCTCGTGACTCTTTTGTACCCAAACGGAAAAATATCTCGGCGCGATCTAACTCGGTCGGATAGCTCGCGCTTGCGAGGTTCTCTCGCGTTCCTCATCGTGCTTCTATATGCGCAGTCGAGGATACACACGGCGCTCGCGTGCGATGCAGCTGTGCACATTTCTCTCGCTGCGATTGATTGAACTTACCTTCGTCACTTTCTCCTTGTGTACCTCCTCGAGCCGCATCTGAGCCTGCTTGTAACTTTGATGCTCGGATCGCGGATCGAAGTGCGTCAGATATGGATCGGGAGTGCCCTGCGGTTGAGAAGGCTGCTGTGTGCTCGTACTGGCCGGCAACGGCATCGCCGTTGCCTCCTGCTTGGTTTTCTCCGTCGGAGAAATTGTCGTCGATGGTCGACTGATTCGGATTGTACAAAGTAACTTTAGAACTCTCGTTCAGATATCATTTCAATCTTATTCTATAATATTGGCCGCTAAAAATTATTGGGTCATTCAATAAGAATCCGTAGAGATTTTCACGAGAAATTCAGAAGCGACGGTTCTGCTTTCTTAGACGCCGCAATTTAAATCAATTTAAATGCCGCACTCTGTGTATAGGAATATTGTATACAGAAACGAAGCTGTCGATATCACTCGCAATTACCTGGTAGTCGTGTCATAATCGTCGAGATCATCGTATTCCTCTTCGCTCTCGTCATCATCGGGCTGATCGCTAAGCACGTCCTCGAGATCACCATCGGAATTGTCCTCGTCCTCGGTGTCGCCGTCCAAGTCATCTTCATCATCGAGATCATCCTCGTCCTCATCAAGATCATCGTCCACATTCTTCGGGATAGGTAAGTCAATCGGTTTCTTGGATTTCACATTCTCTGCAAAAGACAGACGTGTGGCACGTTATCTTCCTGGATATTCGCGTATTCATACAACAGTCTATCGATATAACGCGAATATAAAGTGGTCAGTGTCGAAGTGCTATATGCGATGATTTGATCCGAAAGATACACTCTCGTCGACTGCGCTCGCGTTCGACGCATGAAACCTGCATGAGGAAAGAGCGGAAGTCGTGTCAGTGATATAGGTGACGTCACGCCATCGATCATCACGTGGAATAATCTCTCTCTCTCCCCCCCCCCTCTCTCTCTCTCTCTCTCTCTCGACTCTTTCTTTGTCGCGCTTTTTTTTTCGCGCTCGATAACGATTCGATATATACTCTCTAAACTGCAATCAGTGCATTCCTCGTTGAAACGCTGTGCTGATAACTGGTGGATCAGTTACAAGTATAGCACCGTAATCAGTGAAATCTCGCTGAGAAGATCGGTACATTGAGAGAAAAAATATCTAAGATATAAAACACATTCGTTCAGTGAGTTGTAATATATCTTTTTACATTGCGAAAACACTTTTCAAATGACAAAATATGCATTTTCTTAAAACTATAGTCTTTTTCTTTCATGAGAGCAACTATTCGTTTTATTTGAACGAAAGAATTTAGATTTAAATAAATATGTTATCAGTACCCACTCTGCGAGTTAATATTTTTTTTATATCTTACTGTGTGCACCGTATAATAAGAAATTTTGTCAGTCAAATTTTACAGTGAAATCTCATTTCCACCGGTTGAAATCAGTGAAGAACGTAAGACGGAGCAGTGTTTCCACCGCAAATCAACGGATGCTCACTAATCATCGACGAGATAACCCTCTCACTGATTTAATCAGAAATATTTTTCATTCATTTTTAGAGAGTACATATATATACATATACGTACACATGCGCGTGCCACGCCACATGCATACGCGTACAGCACGACATGTACAATAATTGGAATTCCTGTCTGCGCGCACATTCCGGTATATCGACTGCCATTGTTTGAATAGTAAACGGACGGGATTGGGCTGGCCGCAGATAGCTCTGCGGAATTCTGGCCCATAATCTATATCAATGCGCTCCAGTGATACACTGCCGTGTCACCGGACACGCTTGGTTATTTATTGATACAGTTTGGAAGAATGCGCCGCGATCCGAACGGCGCGCGCAAGCGCGAACGTATCGTAATTTTACAATTTTACAAATTATATAATCCACAATGTGCGAATTCTCGCCTCTTGCCGCCGCGTGAAGAAGCATCAGCCGTACAGGCAACCGAGAAATTGAATTTTTTTAAATTGAATCCTTCCTCCTATCCTCATTCCCCTTCCCTTCTACTCCCACTTTCCCTCCCCCCTCTCTATCCCCCCCCTCTCTCTCTCTCTTTCTCTCTCTCTCTCGATCACTGTTCATAAGATACATTTTGCCTGGCCGTATGTTTGATCGGCCAACGCAAAGACAATCAAAGGAGATTATCGGCGATGAAAACAACCGAAAAATTCAGACATATTTTAACTGCGTAAAAGACGTCTCATTTCCGCCAGCTTGCAACTCGCGCGGTGCACAAGAGCAACGCGCTTTTTTTTCCTTCCTTACTTCCTTACTTCCTTCCTTCCTTCCTTCCTTCCTTCCTTCCTTCCTTCCTTCCTTCCTTCCTTCCTTCCTTCCTTCCTTCCTTCCTTCCTCCCTCCCTCCCTCCCTCCCTCCCTCCCTCCCTCCTTCCTTCCTTCCTTCCTTCCTTCCTTCCTTCCTTTCTTCTTTCCTTCCTTCCTTCCTTCCTTCCTTCCTTCCTTCCTTCCTTCCTTCCTTCCTTCCTTCCTTCCTTCCTTCCTTCCTTCCTTCCTTTCTTCTTTCCTTCCTTCCTTCCTTCCTTCCTTCCTTCCTTTCTTCCTTCCTTCCTTCCTTCTTCCCTTCCTTCCTTCTCTCCTTCTTTCCTTCCTTCCTTCCTTCTTTCCTTCCTTCTTTCCTCCCTTCCTTCCTTCCTTCCTTCTTTTCTTCTTTCTCTTCCTTCTCTTCCTTCCTTTCTTCCTTTTATCCTTTCATCCTTACTTCACCTGCAGTTTAGAAATTCTAATTTCACCAGGTTACCACGCTGAGAAGCGAGGACCGGAGCACGGCGGCGGAACTTGGCTAACTAGGTTCTCGAGATGCCTCATTCTCCGAGAATAGATGCTCTGATGAGACGACTTCTCGACTTCTGCAAAGGCGGACACAAAAGCCTCTCCTGACCGTATCCTCTGTGTCGTCCTTTTATCTGGGTCACACGGTAGATATGCGGTAACTGCACACGTTGGCAGTTTCACCGGGAATGGCTTATGTCACGATTGTTCGTTATACAGGGTTATGCGGATTTCTCGAGAGGACAGTTTATCCGAAATCAATCGGTGATGTCAAACACGAGAGAGGGGGGGGGGCAGAGAGAGAGAGAGAGAGAGAGAGAGAGAGAGAGAGAGAGAGAGAGAGAGAGAGAGAGAGAGAGAGAGAGAGAGAGAGAGAGAGAGAGAGAAAGGAGGAGAAGGGGAGAGACACACAGAAATGACGCGAGGCTGACGGAAATTCAGTGTCATCAATGTCAACAACGAAGGCCGCAGAATCACTCCCCCTCCCTTCCCGTTGTTTTAGTATTGCGCATCTCTGAAAGAGTCTGTTTCAACGCCCAACCCGTTTCTCATCCCCCGGACGACGCGTCATCCCTGTGCGGTTATCTTAACGTGTGCTAAAAATAATGGGGCGGCATAGAAGTTTCGAGGCGACGCGCATAACGGGCGAAACGTGTGTTAATCGAGCAACCGTCGTACGTGTGTAGGAGAAAGAAAAGTTGCGCAGCGACGCCGGAAGCTACGGCGGTACGTTGCGCAGTCGTCGGGAACGTCGGCGGACATTATTGATTGCACGAGGGAGAGAGAAAACAAGAGAGCGACGGGACGAGAGGAAGAAGAGTGTGTGTGTGTGTGTGTGTATGAGAGAGAGAAAGAGAGAGAGGGGGGGGAAAGGGAGCGAGAAGGAATGAGAGGGGGAAACAGGAAAAGAGCGAGAGCGAGAAAGAGAGAGCTTGCGAAGGGTGGCACGAGTCCGGGGTGCCGCGAAGGAGACGAAGGAGGCGGCGAGGCGAAGTAGGTGGCACCCCTCACTTAATACACCCTCTCTCTTTGCACCCTCCTATAGTCCGCTCTCTTTGTTCCTTGCGACAGTCGATTGAGAATGGGTAGCGTAAATGACGACTATCTCTATAGGAGCTTCTCTTCTTGTCGCGCAATAAATTCGTCGCGAATTCGCGCAAATATTCATGCCTTTTGCGCGCGTTCGCGCGCGCGCACGCGCCATTCTTCTCACCGATATGCCGCTCTGTTTGATAGACATGCGTTTCTATTAATAATCCTCGCTGTGTAAAATCAAAAAGAGAGACGGAAAAAAATGAAATGCAATATAAAGTGAAATGAAGTGGAAAAACGGAGAGGCGAAATAATGGCTCCGGTTTACGACATGCCGACATATCCGCACCGCGCTAGCGAAAATCGAATATTCACAGGACGCAGCAAAGCTTGAGGGGAAGACGGGGGATGGAAGATACAAGGGCTTGTGCGGTACTTATCAAAGTAAATGACAGAGCTTTAGTAAACACAGGCGCGAAAGCTCCGGTGGATTCCGCATGATATAAATTTAACATCGAGCATCGTCGTGCTTAAGACAGTGTTTAACATCGTTCCGCCGTGGTTTCTCTTTATAATGTCGACAGAGAGAGAGAGAGAGAGAGAGAGAGGGGGGGGAGGGGGAGATTGTGCAGCGTTATGAGACGGTCTCTTGCCTGAAAGAATAAAAGTACAAAGTCAAGACCAAGTACACAAACGTGCGTCTCGCTTCGCCTGAAGCGAGATCGTTGCGAGTGTTACAACCGCGAAATCTACTTTTCTTTTTACGGTTAATCGACTATGCTGAGAAAGACGCGAACGTTCCGAAAAAAGCGAGTTCGCGCGTTCTTGACAAGTATGAGCATACGGATGCAGCGAGATGTCCTGTGCAATGGAAATATGCGTGCGAAGATGAATGACCGCGAGCGTCTTTGTATTTTCTTTTTTTTTTCTTTCCTTTTTTTCAGAAAACGTAATAAAGCGAGCAGAGGAAGCATGGTGATCATGTTCGATCGTTTGGCAACGATGATCGCACTCTACGATTTTTTCCGTTCGCGGCCGATCTCACGAATCGCGGCCGCTTCTCGCTGCATCTCGCGCGAATAAAGTTACGAATGAATGAACGTAGAAACGAACGTACAGTCGACTGATTGAAGATTTCGTTTTCTCAACGAGCTTCGTAGCACGTTCTGTATTCAACGGGATTCAGCGGAATTTGTTTTTTAGTCATCTTCGGAATATATCTTTCTCTTTCTATTGGATATGGAGTACGTCGCAAAACTCATCAAAGGAGAGTGTGTTGCAACATTTAATCAGCTGACTGCACGAACGAACGAACAAACGAACAAACGGACGGATGGACAGACGAATGAATGAATGAATGAATGTAGCTGAGCGTACGTACGTTACGTACCTTTCAGGTGTTTCGGGCAGCATACAAACTCGACACCGGAGAACAAGGATATACCGCAAGGCAACAGCATTGCGAAACTACGCAGGTTCATATTTCGCTCCCTGCAGGTCTCTGCGGCTGTGGCGTTCCATCTGAAAGGCAAATTCGCGCGATCATCGCATCTGCGCCCGAGGACGGTGAGCGACGTACGGGTGTACACACCTCTGATTTTCCCGCTGCACATCGCGATAACGAACACGATCGTCGTCGTCGTCGCGATCTGCATCCATGAAAGGATGATAACGCGACGAGAAATGAATGCACGATATCGCGCCAAAGTGATAATTGGCCCGATAAATCCGACAGCGATTGTTGTATAATAATTTAGTCAGATTATGTGTATATGTGTATGTGTGTGTGTGTGTGTGTACGCACGCGCGCGCGCGCGCGTTAGTACCCTCCGTAAACACAAAAAGCATGCTCTAATACTCCCGCGCCGGATCGCGACCGATTCGATGCGCTTTGCACGTAGTATCGTAAATCTAGACCCGCTTGGGAATTAATATCGTCCGTCGACAGATCCGTATGTATGCACGCTCGTTACCTGTGAGACTCCCAGCATTTTGTTTGATTGTGTAGATGATCAAAGAGACAGCCCTCTGGCACGAGGAGCGCGTCGCTCTGGAAGGGTCCCTCTGAAAATTGCAAACAATACATATTGCAACGGCTTCAACTCAGGTTCGATGAGACCGATAAAGGTCGCCGCACGCGCGCAGCCTGCGCTGCTTATTATTCTTATTCGCTGTTCCCGCGAATGCAATAAAGCCGCATTACGCGCGAGAGCGTTCTTCCCGGTTCTAGCGAACGTTCCAACCTAGTGGAAAGCGCGGGATATCATAGACGCGCGTGCTCGCGCGCGAGAGGGAGAGGGGGGAGAGGGAGGGAGAGAGAGAGAGAGGGGGGGAGAGAGAGAGAGAGTAAACAATAATAACTCGGTTCTCAGTTGTGCAACTCTGCTGCAAATAAAGCATCGCGACTAACCTTATAGACACGATATAGAACGGATAAACTGCAAGTAAGAGAAGACAAGAGAAGGACAAGAAAAAGAAGAGAAGCAGCGGACAGAGAAGAGCGGGGAGAACAGCCGGCGAAATGGAAACGCGTCTAGCGGATGACGCATCGGTACGTTCGCCGGTGCTGATCAATAGAGGGCTAGTCACGCAGACCTTTCGAGGGTATTACCCGGCCACTCCGGCCGATTCGTCTGAGTACACTCGTGTGTCGCATTTCCACCGAGAAAAAAAACACACACATACACACACACACACACACAATGCCAGGTAAATAAACGCGACTGCTCGTATTCTTACGCGCGAGAGATGTGTAAGTAAATCTCTCTCTCTCTCTCTCTCTCTCTCTCTCTCTCTCTCTCTCTCTCTCTCTCTCTCACACATGATCCGTGTATATATTCGCACGAGATACAAATTCCACGGTCTTGCATTTTCTATGATAATTCTGAATTATAAACGACGATGGGAAAAAGAATGTTTAAAATATTTCGCGAGATGTTTTAGCCTGGTAGATCACAGTCAGAAAAATATTCTGCAGTGACAACTTGAAAATTTTCTGTTACACGAGCTTCGGTTGCGGTGACAGAAAAATTTTGTTTCGCAAATCGAGGAACCGTCCGCATCGCGACAACTGTTTACGATTGAAGGAACTGAAGCTTTCAAAAACGTCTCAGAAATGCAGTGGGGTATTCGGCTACTCGCGCACAAGACGTGGGGAACTGTGTCGTATCGTGTCGAGAGAAACGAAATCTCAGTTAACGCGCCCGATAAGATACGTTCGAACAAGTTGAATGACGTGGTGCCAATGATGTGACTTTGAACACGGCCGCGCAAGCGGTTTTCTCCCTGCACTTATGTCCACCAAGAACCCTCTCTCTGTTTATCCCGTGTGCAAGAACAAATCTCGTATCCTTGTCGAACATTAATGTTCGATTCAGGTGGCCGAGTAGATTTCTGGGACAACAGAAACTCCTCCTAACTTCTCTTGCGTTGCAAGCAAATTTTCAGTTGATTCCTGAGGAACGGAGAGTTTCGGCCGTCGCAAGTAAAATTCAGTTATATCAAGCGAGTAGTTTTCTGCGTGCAGTAAAAATGTAAGACCGGAATTTTTCGTGCACGACCGGGAAGGTCCTAACGTTGCAGTTTGTGACGCGAGAAAAATGAAGATGACGGGAGATCGACGGGTTGAAAATTAAATAATAAAAGGACTCTGCGGCGAGTTTTTTTTTTCTTTTTTTTTTTCCATGAGGATGCTCGTTGGGCAGGCAGTGATGAATAGAGCCCTCGACCAAGACACAGGACACGCAACAGAAGACGCAGATACAAAGCGGACGACCATGACCACCTGCACGTGACCAACGTACCGGAATAATGGCGTTTATCTAACACAGTTGGAAAAAAAAGAAAAAAGAAGAAAAAAAAAAGAGAAACAGAACACAGGCCTTTTTTGTGACGAGTCCGAAACTCGCAAACGAGAATGCGAAGCGGCTCGGACTTTTCGGGCACACGTTACGCTACACTCCTCGTCACGGCATCGCTGCTCCAAATTTAACACGTTCCCGGAAACGAGTCTCCCGGAAATTTTGCTGGCGAAAATTCGCATGAGCGAGGAAAATTCGATCGGACGCGCGTTCCGGACGGCGCTCCGCTGAAAGCGGACGAAGGGAGGCGAGTTTGTGATCTTGAACTTCACGCTCGCGAGAGATGACGCGTTTGATTCCGCACGTCGAGAGCGTCGAGAGCGAACGAGTCCCGCGCGTCTTGCAAGACGCAATACAAAAAAAAAAAAAAAAAGAAAAGAAAAGAAAAAAGAGGAAAACTTGATCAGGAAGAGAGGCAGAGTGAAGCTCGAGCGACTCGACGAACATCGCGTTGTCTGTCGCACAGCGTATTGACTCTGCAAATTGAATTCTTCCGTCCGTCGGAGATCTCTTCTCGGAGCGCGTCTCGCTAAATTTACAACTGAATCCCCGTCGTCGAGAGCGAGCTCGAGAGATCGATCTCGCCAGCGTCGCTGGGGCATTATCGACATACCCTCGACCGATTGGACGATTCACGCGTAACGATGGCTCAACCCAACGCGAATCGATACGCAACCGAGCAATTCTCCGCGAGTACCGCGAGCAGCCGAATATTACCGAACACTGAGTTGGGTTAAACGTCCGGTAAGCGGCACTCTGCAAGCTCTCTCGGCACCTCCTCGCGCGAGTTTGGCCGAACTGGTACTTAGGATGCATGTAAACTTAAGAAAGCATTTCAGAAATAATAACCAGAACCAATAAAAATCAGACGTAATATAAATAAATAAATAAATCCTTACATACACACCTTCATTCATGAGTATACTGAGAACCGCAGATGCAGAAAATACCAACTAACTGGACGTTTCTTTCACCAGGCGACTGTTAATGTCCGATATCCGAAGCTGCGACGTCCCAATAACGAGTCGCTACTAACGCGATCAATATCGCGGAATCTGCACGCGTCTTCGTCGAGTGCAGAGATACCTACGGCGAACTGTATCGACGTCTACGTTACTTTATTACTTTCCGATATCGTCCTCGAGTGATGTTCGAGGTTTCGCTTACGGCGACGGACCAAAGAATCGATATGTCGCGCGTGGCTTTTCGGTTTGCGAGCGCTCGAGCGGAGACGACAGTCGGTTCCGACGACCCTCGACATTTCTCGGAGTGAAATTTCACTCGGAAAATGGAATGACCATCGATCGAGTCACTCGAATTCGAGCGCTTCTTCACTCGTGCAGGATGAACGTTCCTCCCGTTTGAATCGTCGAGTGAATACTTTCACTGAAAATTATCGAAGAGAGTGAATCTGCTGTAAACTGACTTTCTCCGCGCGACGGAGAGAACTCGTTTCTGAAAAATTCCAAAATGTTAAGTTCTCTCACCGAACATCCGCCGCGTTCCGAAGTGCAGTTCAAAGGAAAGCGTTCGGACCCTTTTGAAAGCCAGTGTGCGTGTGCGTGCGTGTGTGTGTGTGTGTGTGTGTGTGTGTGTACTCCACCGAAGTCACCGAAGAACATATCCACTCTATTCTGATCGGAGCGTTCGTTCGTAGTGGAGTCGCGATTCACTTCAAGCCTGAGCGAAACATTCATTCTTGCAATTGTCCGAGTGACAGTGTTTCGTCATTCATTATCGCACCGCATTGGGTGAAAGTGCAGCCGTTTTTTCGATGCCGTTTTCAGCGAGGGATTCCGCTCCGCGAGGGAAGCTCGAATTTGCAAACTCGCAATATGTGCGCCTTGCGCATCATCCAATTCGCCAAGCGAATCATCGGCGTGAAAAAAAAACAAGCTCGACCGAGACATCGTCGCAACTCACCCAGGCATCTGTAGGGTTTGACCCAGCGAGATAGCTTGCACTTGGTCCTTCCGGGTTTGCACCATCCGCTGACACGGACGTAGTGCGACGATTCGACAATATTGGTGATGTCTCTCTTCGGGTAAGCCTGCAAGAGAAAATTGCAAACGCGTATATTAGAAGAGAGGCCTGTTGCAAGCGACCAGATTACCAGATCGATCTGGGCAGCCTGTAATCAAGCGGCTGTTGAATTATCGAGCGCACACACGCACTCCGGCGAAGCTGTGTCATTATCGCGAACGAATGACCGCTTAATCCTCCCTGTTTAGGAGACTGTAAAAACGCACATTCCTGCGCACACGACTATCACGCGCGCGCGACACTGTTCTTTTTTTCTCACGGATTGTACGGATGGCCGGACCTCAGAGTTATCGTCGTAACAATTTTTCTTCCGACCGGATCGATAAACTAAAGCAACCGTTAAGAATACATCTTTCTCGTAATTTTAGCATCGGATTTTGTTGACCGAATATTGTATTATTTGGCATATTACCACCCTCTGCACTCGACGAATATTTCCAACGTTTCCTTCCACCAACACGATAATTATAATTTGTAAATTCCTAGGAAAAGTAAGTACGAAAAGAGCACGCGAGCGAGGATCGAAACGACGAAAGTGCTGCTATCGCAAAAGCGGCGACGCAACGAGCCGACAGATCAGACGAGGAGGGGGCGGGGTGACTTCGTCGTTAGTATCACAGGTATACTATAGAGCCCCACGGCGAGCTCTCACGCACCGACGCGGCGAAAAGAAATGTGGGTGAGCGCGGCGAATAAATAATTCACACGCACGTTGTCGGTGCGCGCGCGCGCGCGACCGTTTCAGCCGCCGTGTGATGAAATCATCAGCGAGGATTAATGTTATTTTCTCAGCGAGCCGACACAGGGGTCTCCCCCCGCCCCGCCGGTTTAACGAAGCGCGTAATTCGCGTGTTTTGTCGCTACGTAAAGACGCACCGACGAAAGGATGAAAATTCGATTTACGCCGTCCGGAACGGATTATAAACGACTTAATCCCGCGGCCGCGGAGCAAGCTGGCGGCTTGCAACGGTAACGGTAACGGCAATGGCAACGGCAGCGACAGCGGCGGCACTAGGGCACAATGCTAAAATAACATGTCAGCCCTTAATTAATAATTCGCTCGCGGCAAAGCGAGACGACGACGGCGGAGTGGCGTTTTCTTTCTAAATACGAGTCCGAGTCGTTAAACGAAGTCGCGAGCAAATCCGATCCCGACCTCCCGGCTTCGCTTAATAATTGAGCCGACCGCTCGAATAATTCAAGCGCGCGCGTGTTTTCGCGTCTCTCGAGTCGGCGGCGATTTTGATCGATCTACTCGTCGCTACCGCCGCCGCCGCCGCAACGCACGCTCGCTCGCTTCTCGCGTCGCACGCGACGCACATATATGAAAAAGTATACACACGTGGGACTAGTACGCGTCCGCAAGCACAGCCCGTACTTATCCCCCACCCCTCTCTCTCTCTCTCTCTGTCGTGCACAGGCTGGATTGCGCGAACGTGTCGCACGAGCGCATGACACACATGTGAGCGAGACGACAAACGCCATTATCCGCTAAATCCATAAGCGAGTCTCGCCTTTCACTGTCTAGCAGCGGCCTATTCGCGACGGATCCCGCGAATGCGAACTACTGCGAGACGATACATCAGATACCCCCGTTACACATTTCCATCGCGTCCGCCACTTGCCTCTAGTTGTGCGTTTTTTCTCATTTGCAAGCCGCTACAGCAGCAGCAGCAGCAGCAGACACGAGGAGCGTCTCATCGATTTCGCTCGTCCTCTCTCGTTCTCTGAAAAATTCTCAAGTGTAACGAGATTATAACTATCTTGGCGCGCGCGCGCGTATAATGACGCGACGAGGGTTGAAATGTTTACTCTTATCTGTGCGTATATACAGTGCTCCGTACGACGGGTCGGAAAAACAAAATAGAGCAGTAAGTCGTCGGGAGTTAGCACGGCGCGGTGGAAAACGTCGGGCATTTATTTTTAACGTCTATACATAGACTTTCTCTCGAGTTGATTACGTGTGCGCCGCCGGTCGAACGTGTGTGCGCGCGTCCACTCTCTCGTTTGCACCGTATGTGTACGGAGAGGGGATTTAATGGCTGCGTGATCTTAAACTTTTTTTCTCTCTCTCTCTCTCTCTCTCTCTCTCTCTCTCTCTCTCTTACCTTCTTGCAATATTCCAGAATCTCGAGCTTGTCCGTCATGCAGCTCTTCTTATCGGTCGAGGAGACCCATCGACCTTGCTCTCCCATGTGCTGCGCAAGGTACACCTCGCCAGCTTCGCACAAGGTAGCGACCTTCGTTGAGGGAAAGACGGCGGTCATTAAAGATACACATTGATATCGACGGCAAACACATTTGGCTCAGTGTAACTTCATCAAAAGTGTTTCGCACCTCGCGCGCGAAAGCCAGTGGTACACACACACACACATACACACACACACACACACACACACACACACACACACACACACCGCGTACAATCCTGGCTTTCCTCGCGAGTGAGTGCCGAGCAGGTACGATTTAATTTAATTTGTCCTCACCCTCTTCTCACTCTTACTCGCGACCGTGTCTCCTGTGAGACACTACGGTGAGACGACGAGGTTGGGGACGACCCAGCGTACTACTACGCATGCACGCGAAAAAGCGACTGGAATAACGAGGACGAGAAGAACGATCGCGGGTAATCGCGAGACGACGAATTTTCGACGAAGAGAGAGAGCTATAATTTCGCGCGGTGTTTCCCTTTGAACACGGGCGCAAGGCTAGACCGAGGTCTCACCACGAGGTACTCACCTGCGGCTCTGATCTTCCGCCAGCCGGTGCCAATTCGAGCCTCTCCGACACCGCCTGCAACACAAAGTGAGAGAAAACATTTGAGAGCGACTTCGCGCGCGCGCGCGCGCCACGTAAACGGCAAAGAGGAAACGAGTACTTAAAACGTTTTCCGTCCCAATAAACGTGTATTTGCTCGCGTGAATTCGAATCTTTGGCGTAGCCCCGCCAAAGCACGCAGAGCACACGCCAAGTGCCCGCGTTTTATTCGCTTTATGCAGCGAGAGCGACGACTCGATAAAACGCTCTTGGAACGTACGTTTGCAAAAAGAGAGATGAATTTCGCGACTGAAAGAGGTCAAACGGATACGAAGATCGGCGATTAGGTGCATTATTCCTGTGACGTGACTCGAGGGCGGCGCACATAGCAAAAGAGAGAGAGAGAGAGAGAGAGAGAGAGAGGAGAGAAATTGTGCAAAATGGGGGTGAAATGCGAAAGGTGGGGATAAAGAAAAAGGGAGTAGAGAGAGAGAGAGAGAGAGAGAGAGAGAGAGAGAGAGAGAGAGAGAGGGGGGGGGGAGTATACGTCCCTCTAGCGTGTGCATGTATTACGCGAAGCGCTCGTGGACCGCTTCGTTATATCCGAAGATGGAAGCGCGTAACGTAACGTAAAACGAGAAATCCCTGACTCAGTCGAAATGACGAAACACGTTAACGACACGTGCAGCGACGGAGCGACTCGTTTCGCGGCTTGATAGCAGCGGAGCCGATTTCGTCCCTCCGATCGTTCAAGTGTCAACGTGCTCAGCAAGTAAAATTCTTGTAATGAGGACGTTTCATCTCGACGGTGTCGAGTATATAAATAGAGAGAAGGTACAAGGGTATTAACACGCGACGTGTGCCCGCGAGCCCTTTAGATTTTCACATCTATCTCTCCTCACACACACACACACACACACACACATATATCATCACATGTGCCGCGGAAATCCGGGATTTTTAGTCTCGCTTAAACGACACTTTGGCGATTTCAGTCTGCTGCCCGTCACGACCCACCGGGTCGTTTCCAAGCGGACAGGAAAACTTTGGAAAGCCACGGAGGATACATTTCACTTTTCGGGCAAGAGCAAAAGAAAGAAAATAGAGGCTGCGTCGCTCAACGACCAACACAAATCATGAGGAGCTCGCGACCGGGGGGGAAAACGAAAATTGCCGGGGACGCATTTACGAGAGACTCAGCAGCGCGGCAACTATCTGGCGCGGACAGGAAGTTCAGCCGCGGAGAGAAGAGGGGTAGGAACAGCGCAATTATGTCGCTCCGTAATACCCGACTGACTAATTATATCACTCCGATAATTGCGGCCGATCCTCGGTACGTGGTACGTTAACGCATCGTACAGGGGACATAGGGGCCGCGGTGATAAGCGCGCGCAATAGCAGTAATCCGCGAGAGTATCGAGCAAGTGCATTAATTTTGTTACATATCGAGAGCAGCTTTTCTTTTTTGCTCGCGAGCTTTTGCAAGCGTCCGTCTGGACGCGCGCACGGCGCACGTGACGACGGCGCGTTCGAATGATGTCTCGCGACTCCAAGAGCGCACGATTGAAACAGAGCGACGCGCATTCAAGCGACAATCGCAAGCGCTGCGCATTATCGACCACGGAAGGGAGGAGGAAAATGAGATCGGGGAGGAGGGCAATGCATTACCTATGCGCGAGCGACGCGGACTGTTACTGTCATTACTATCATTATCGCGCGGAGCGATACGTTCCGAAAATGCGAGCTAACGCAATTACTCGTCCACGGCGAGTCGGCTGGAAAGGGCGGGCGAACGGGCGCGTTCGTCACTCGACCGATAATTTCGTTTACGTTCGCAAATTGCGACTCGCGACGCCAGTCATCCAGAGAGGGAGGGAGGGAGCGGGGGCGTCGCGACGCCGGTGCTTTGCATTTCATTGATCCACGTCGCTGTGTCAGGGACAGATCCGCGCCGCGCCGCGCCGCGCCGTTATGTACGGAAGCGGTTCAGAAACCCTGCCGCGCGCGCGCGCGAGCTCAACCCCAGCCGAACCCCAAGGCGGCCTTCGAAACGTTAACGACGACAATTTTTATTCGTTTCGCGCGTTTCCCAAACTCCCCCCTCCCCCCTCTTCTCTCTCTCTCTCTCTCTCTCTCTCTCTCTCTCTCTCAAGAGATTTTCCAGTTTCGAATAATATTCGAAATTAGCTAAAATCAGTTCGTAAACTCTCGAGGTCACTCTGATACGACCTCGAGTTCGTAACCGACTTTTAGCGGTCTCTCTCTCTCTCTCTCTCTCTGTTTTCCTATGGGTCGGCGCAGGCTGCACGGTACTTTCCGAGTTTTTGGTACGGTCACCCACGCAGATTGCAGTGGCCGGCCGGCCGGCTTATCGACTAGCCGGCCTCCGATGTGTGTACCTGATGTGCCCGACTGGTTGTCGGTTAGCGCGCGCACGGCCTGCGGTTTACAATTTCGCTTTTACGGAGGCTGAGACAGCTTGTCCAAAAAGCTCGTAACCTTGAATACGCCCGCAGTTTGGCCCGGTTCGATATAGCGTAACCTTCAATTCGCGTCAATTCGCGCAAATAAACGCGCGCGACCCACTTTGACAGCGAACAATTTACAAATCCTCAAATCGTAATCTCACGCGGAAAGAGAAGACGCTTATTTGCGTGAAGTCGCGCGAGAGCTCGCTTCCGGCCGATTATCCTCGTCTCCTAAGCGATGGCGATTTCCAGAATTTTCAGAATTCTTGAGTAATGCGAGATACGTGGGCGGATTTAAAGATTTGAAAACTTGAAGTTGGAGGAACACTTTGCTCCAGAGAAGAGACAGAGACAGAGAGAGAGAGAGAGAGAGAGAGAGAGAGAAGGGGGGGAGATATCATAGTTGTAAAAAGAAGAATCCATCACCGTACACTCATTAAATATCCGTCACGGCGCGGCGCACGACACGGAGGATTCAATTGAAATAACATCCCGCCCGGAATATCAATGTCTGCGCGCGAGTCCCCGCGCGCGAAAACTCGACTTTCCGTTCGGAATATGGTTTCCTCGTTAGAGGAAATTACTTGAAGGCATCAACGTCCCTGGGATCCCCCAGGACATGTGCGGTTGGTGGTGCGGCGGCGTGCTCAACACCACTCCGGAGCCGCACATTTAGCGGGCTCTGGTCGTTGCACCGCGCTAACTGTAATATAGGCTAACTATTCCCGCGAGGAAGCCCGTGTCCGTGAGTGGGCGCAAGTCCGCAAGTTCAGCCGCGTGTACCACCGGAATACTTCCGCGTAGCTTACCGCGCGGGGGGGGGGGGGGAGGACGGGACGGGACACAGTGACACAATAAGAGGAGGAGGAGGAGGAGCAAGAGAAGAGGTATGCGTGGAACGACGTTCGTTTAAGCCCGCCGCTCTTAATGGATCACACCTTCGTGCGCTTCGTGCGCGATCGTGCTGACGAAAAATGTGCAATTTAACGCGCATCAGCCTTCTCACATACTTCATTCATCTCCCCGCGAAGGAGAAAATGAGATGCACGGGAGGGGTTAACGTAGCCGGTTGCCGACGCGAAGGGAAAAACGCGAGAGAAAACAATGCGACGAATAATATCGTGCGCGGAGCTGCTGCGGCGCGGCGTGCTGATTGCGCAAAGTCCTTGTATTTCCAAATATTTGTATATCGGCAGAGACGGGGGCGGGAAATCGCGCGTGATTTCCACGCGAGGGGGGAAATCGACCCGACCCGACGACCTCTTTTCGAAAGTTGACGGATCGCTCGCTCGGAGTTTTTCTTCAAAGAGGAGACGACATGCGCGCATAAACAACGACGTTGTTTGACTTTATCATTCCACGAGGCGCGCCTCGCAGAAGCACACATCCCGCCAGCGCGTCGGAGGGGGGAGAACTTTGCTGAATAAACAGAATCTCCTTGTTACCTCCCGGTTATTAGCGAGATGCGGCGACGTCGGCAGCGGCGCTTCACAGAACTCCTTCAGCCGCCGCCATCGAATTTTTCCACGGTGCAAAAAGTCCAAAGAGGCCACTCCCGCGCGCGCGCGCGAGAGAGAGAGAGAGAGAGAGAGAGCGCGCGCAGGGGGAGGGAAGCCTTGCGCCAAAGGCACGAGAAAAATATATCATCGCGCGCAGGCACAGTGCGTCGGTGCGTGAGCACCGACATGAGAGAAGAGTGACAGATGATAAGGTGTTTTTCCACGCGAGTGTGCTCTCTGCATTCTCCGGCGAGAGACGGAATGCGAACACGGCGAATCTTCGCGCTCTTTCAGAGTCAAGAGTTTCTTCTCGCGTCGCGTCGCGTCGCGCGCGTCAAGACACACGGATTATCGCGATTACACCGCGATTACATCGAGTTAGCCTATTTTGACGTTTGTCGAAAGATTCGGCTTTCCGGCTTTCATGCGCGCAAACGAGCGCTAAAAGACCGGTAAACGGCCTCTAGCTTTAGCGGCGCTCTCTGGAAATATCCGGCCACGCGTTTGACATTCAACATTCACGCCACGCGCGCGAACGCCTAATTAGCCAGCCTGCACTATTCAGCGGCTTATTATTTTATTAAAACGCCGCCGACCAGCGGTTTAATCACTATCGGCCGTACGTGAATGCACGCGCGTTTTATTCATCGCGGCCCTCCGCCGACGCGCGCGCGGTTCTTTGTCGCAATACTCTCTCGCACGCAACGCTCCCGCGTGTATATATATATATATATATATATATATATATATATACTTCAACAGTGTCGACCCTTCAATTAAAATAACCTCCCCCTCGCCCGCTCGCACGCGACGGCGAACGAACAACACCCCCCCGCCCCCCCCTCGCGCTTCGGTGCGGAGTCGGAACAGCCCCTAACGACGATTCATTCATTCGATTCCCGGGTGTGTACGGCGAAGTGAATTTTTCCGGGATTTAAAGCCCCGGCGCGACGGCGATGATTCTCTCTTCGAAGCGCCGCTTGTTCACACTGCGTTCACTTTCTCGCTCGTTCTTGTGACACGCGAGGGACAGCTCTGCCCCGAAGGAACAGAGAGGGCTCCCCCCGTC